TCAAATAGGCAATGTATGTTTTTAAATAGCTCCTCAACCTGATTGCTAATTCACAATCTCCATTAGCCAAAAATGAGAGTAAAATTTCATCTCAGATGTTTGAAAATCATATACGCAAGTTCAACTTCAAAATCCTAGTCATGTTAGACCCATTCTTTTCTTAGGCATTTTCCTACAAGCAAGAAAGCAAAAAACATAAATGTCCAACTTCAAAATCCTAGTCATGTTAGAAAAACTTTCCCAAAGGACATACGTATAATGTATAACAACAACCTTTAGAGTACTCGCTTAAGTTTCAAAAGAATATGAGCCAAACAAGAATTTTTAAAAGGCACAAGAAAGAAATAAAATGGTGGCATAATTTTTTATTTCTAATAAAGAGGGAAAACAAAGGATGCTCAAACCTACCATCTGCAACAATAGATTCATAGCCTAGCGTTGGTCTCTTGGTTGTCTGAAGGGGCCTTCAAGTCTTTAATAGCTATAATTATCCATAATGGAAAATTCTCAAATGGCAGTGCTCAATCAAGGTTGCTTCTCTTTTATTTCTTCTCATAGTTTACATAAATAAAATACAAAATACCTTAAGAATTAAGTTCTTGAGTGAAGGCTTAGCAAAGAAATCTGAAAAATGCTGAATCACTGCAAGATCCAGCAAAGAAACAAAGTATCAAATACAAGACACCACCAGGCAACGCAAGCACAAGAAATCTTCATAATAATAAAAAAAAGGTAAATCTTAACATTTCCATGATTCCAAACTCGTAACTCAAAATATTTAGAGAAGTTTTCATACCTAACATAGAGGCAGCAGATGAGAAGTGGTTGAGGAGTCGTCGACCACCTCGTTACTAAGACAAAAACCAACTAAATTTTATTTTTACAGAATCAAAATCAAATAATTACAGAAAAATAGCTAAATAAACAAAAAAATCATAAAAGCACCTTTGAATCAGAGTTGGTATGTGCCTAAGCACATTGCAGAGAATCTCTAGTATATGTTGCTGTAGCAGCAAGTGGTTGGCATTGTTGAAGGATGATTTTGGGAAAGAGAGTGAGAAATAAGGGCCATGAGAAATCTGAAGGGGGATGAAGAGATAGTGGGTACATAAGAGATTGGCCGGCATCGTTGGAAGATTTCATTGCGAGCGTCCGTGGAGGACTTAATTGAAGGCATCGGTGGTGGAAGACGGCGGAGAGAGTGGATACGAGAGAAGTAAATTGGGGGAAGTAACGGGTTAGGGAAATTTTTTTAATTTATAGTCTTCCAGAATCAGCCACCAAGCTATTTGGTTGCCAACATGTCAAATAAGGAAAACGACACAGTTTTAATACTTTATATTCTTTTTCACAGGAACAGCGACCAAAAAAATTGGTCGCCAAGTTTCAAGAAATATTTGGGCGGTATCTCACAAAATATTTTCGCGGCATCTCAAATTTAGAGACGACACAGGCAACCTTAGAGACAACATAATTTGGTCGCCAATAATTTTCAAGCTTAAAGGCGACCAATCTTGTGATTGGTCGCTAATTCCTCCCCTAGCGACCAAATCTTTTGGTCGCCATTCGGACATATTTTCTGGTCAATTAGTTGATAAATTTGACGAAATTATTGGCGACGAAATAAAAAACTTCGTCTCCCATAACCTTGATTGGCGACCAAATTTGGGTTGGTCGCAAAAGATTTCGTCGCGAAAGAGGTTTTTTTCTTGTAGTGCATGTTCACATGTCTGACACCCCAACACTTCGACCTAATGGAGTGTCTCTCTCTTTAGTTACGACAAGACACAATCCCTCAAGAGCATCATTGGTTAATTTGTTTGGCTTTTGGTGATATCATTCTCTTATGTTTTTTTCCCTATCCATGCATGTTAACGTTATCTCTTTGCTCTATGCTCTTGACATATTGCAATGCTTGTGTTTTTTCTTGCTTTTTGGATTTTCTGACAAAAAGGAGGAGTGATAGTGTTGTGGAATTAAGGGGGAGTTGTGTTTTAATTTTGTTTGAATTACATTTCTTCTCCCATGTACTTCATTGGTTGTATTGTTTCATGTTGTGCAGGGTTTAAAGAGCTTCGAGTTTAGAGTAGAATTTCTTTTGTTAAATCCCATGTAATTCCTTTTGAGTTGTAATGGGTGTTTTGTCTAGGAAATGCTAAAGGAGGAGATTTTTAGTATGGAATTGTGTTGGCATTTCCTAGAACTTAGTATAGGTTTGGAAGTGTCATTTATCTGTAGGGTTGAAGCACAATTGATGTCTCTGATTTTCAAAAATTTCTCAGCAATCCTCGAGTACCAGTATTGTAACTTAACACATATGAGGCACATGACCTGAAGGGTAAGACATGTCATTTATCATGCATACATGACAGGAACATTTTTGGCATTTAATATGATTTTATTTTCTTATTTTTTAATCAATCAGAATCCCATTAGGAGTGCATCTCATTTAGGCAATTTTGGCCAAAAAATTTGTTTTTTTTTTTTTTTTTTTTTTTTTTTTTTTTTTTTTTTTTTGGATGTCATTTTTTTCTTTCTATTCTCCTCCTTCACTGTTTTTTTAACATCTTCCATTGATTTTCTAACATGTTTTGGTTGCTTAGAAATCATTTTTTCAATTATATCATATATATCAAGGAGTCAAGATGGTATTAATAGTTGACCTAAACATAGAAGGATTCCTTTGATATTGTGATTGGTCAAAATCTTCCTTCTTCAGCATCTCCTTTCCAAAATAGTTGGTTTACACATGATTTGCATTTAGAATAGGAAATATTCTATTGTGATTTTAGTCTAGCTTGAAGAATAGAGATTTGGTTTACGCGCAAGTTTGAAGAAAACTTATATAAAAACAAGGTTTTGTGTTTTTCCTTTTGTACATCTTTTTAACAATAATTTGTGTGCTTAAACGTTTAAGAAAGATGCGTTTTTATTTGAGATAAATCATCAAGTGTTCCATGTTTATTTGGTGATTTATCAAACACTTTATCATTCATATTGCATTAATTTGCATAGTTCGGTGACTCATACGGTTGAGAGCACTAAGACCGTGATGGCGGTTTTTCCAACGAGCTTGAAGCAATCGTGACCAGTAATGCATTTGACATTAGGAGTGTTGATAGATCATCCTGTGACAGAAGTTGAGTTACGAAGAAGTCGGTAAACATTATCTAGAGTGTGTCTAGGATAAGTGTGTAAGTACTTATCGTAATCATCATTCTATAGTATATTTATTTTGAATTGAGGAGTCCCGTGGATTTTCCTTAGAGGTGGGGTTTTACCACGTAAAATAATTTCTCTATGTGTTTCTTTATTTTATGCTCTGCACGTTTTAGGATTGATAAGCCATATCAATCATTCTACTGAAGTTTATTTTTATTTATTAATTATAATATTAAATTGGCCTATTAACCCTCTCTAAGAATTATTAGTTATCCTATAGGTAATTTCAACATTTGTAGCCCTGAATCGGCCAAAAGAAAAGTCAAAATATAGCAATTCTTTTTAATTGTTATTTATACAAATAATATTAGGAGGAGGGAGCATTCGAACATAAGACCTCGAATATGGAGATAACAACTCTTAACTACTTGAATTACAAATTTTTTGCATATCAAAATATAGCAGCTTGATTAAAAGCAAAGAGGTCGTTAAAACTGATTGTACAAAATCATGTGCATCTTTCTAAATCCACAAGATGATGGGTAGCTACTGCCTCTATTGTCCCACTACCATAAAAGTTTCTTCTTGTTAAGAAATAATAGCGGAAGGCCTAAAATATTCGGAAATAGCAGTTCACCATGCGTTTGACTGACCACTATTCTTCATACTTACATATATCTTGTAGGCATATAAATCTTGAAAATACCACACGTAAAATTGAAATGGTGGGGAAAATCTGAAGCAATGAAAGGGCCCCAAATTAGGTACGCAAAATAGAACTCTATAATTCTTGTCTTTTATTTTTCCATCTCTCATTCAATATACAAATGTTATTGGAGAGCCATTCACATGCACAATCTTATATTCAAAAGTCATTCCTCGCACTAATAGGCTCCTATTTATTTGTGGTGTGGTTGTTGTTAGGCCAAACTGAGGGATGACTTTGGATCCAAAAACTAATAATGTACAGTATAAAGCGATTTTGCTCAACTTTAGCCTAGTGTACATTCGTATGTCCAATTGACATGATTCACACATCAACGAAATACAAAAACAAACCTTAATGAAACAAGTATAATCATAACATAGTGAAACAGTTATAATGGTTTGCAGCATTTATTCACCAATTAATGAACCACCGCGATTCACTAATTATTCTCTCATTCATTTATTTCACATTATTTTTCAGGTAAGTAATTAATACGAACCTTTTGAGTTATTTGACTTAGTACGGAATGAGTTCAACAGTAATTCACGGTCACAGAGGAGTCACTAGAGTTTGAAACCTAGTTCAAAATTTGCATCAATGAGACCGACACTCTAGCACTGGAGATGAAAATGACCAGGAACTTGGTTGTTGCACCGACGAGCGTAGCAAGTGAAGTCTTGCCCAACAGAGCTGGTGCTGTTTGTTGGTATATATGTACATATTCCCTTTGTACCAACTGAGAAATCAACTAACACACACCAAACCCTAGTTGGATTGGAACAGCACATTTATCTCTTTAACCATATTATATTATCAGAAATTATAAATAATAATCCAATTCTAAAAACTGTCCACTGAAATTGGTTGAATGGCTGCTAAAAAAATAAAATAAAATAAAATAAAAAATTTGGTTGAATAGGGGGATGATGTAGGTAGAAACTTCGTATCGAAAATGACAAAAACCGTTGACAATCTGCATAACATCACCTTCACCAGCCACCATATATAAAAACGTCTCCCCCTCTCTTCCATCCCTTTCTCCACGCTAATTATTCTCACAATTTTCAACTTTCAAACGCAGAAATTAAATTAAAATTAACAACAAAAAAGAGAGGAGAAGAATAAGGCGATGGACAACTCCACCACCATGAGTTACAGTGGCGATGAGACAGACGGCAACGCCGCCGGATTCGCGTATGGCATAGGAGTTTCAGTCGGCGTCTTGGTCTTAATAATCATCGTAACCCTCCTCTCCTACTTCTGCACTCGCATGCGTTTCCCTCCAAACTACCCGTCGTTTCGAAGATCGTCAAGCGCCATCAGGCAGCTGCAACTCCAAAACGACGGCGCTGCAGCTGGTGGTGTCCAGTTGGGTCTTGACGACTCCGCTCTACGCAACTTCCCTCAGCTGCTCTACTCCCAAGCGAAGCTCCATAAAAGTGAGTCAACGTCAACGTCAACGACTACGAGTTGTTCTATTTGTTTGGGTGATTACAAAGACACAGATGTTTTAAGGCTGCTGCCTGATTGTGGTCATCTTTTTCATCTCACTTGCGTCGACCCTTGGTTGAGGCTGCGCCCCACGTGCCCGATTTGTCGGAACTCCCCCGCCCCGACTCCGATCGCTACTCCGCTTGCTGAGGTTGCGCCCTTGGCTGGGAGACGAGACTGATTGGTTTGTAGAAGAGTCATCACTGAGATTTTGGGTGATCAATGAGATTTTTGTACATTTTTTCGATTTTGATATACATGGTTTTTTGTTTTTTGTTTTTCCTCTTTCTATCTAAGCACTACTGTTTATACGGTGAGATATTTGTATACATTCATGGGATATTTGTACAGATTCACGAGGTTCCCATTTTTGTTAGGGAGCTTCACATTTAAGCCCGAAGATAGAGCCTAAAATGCAGAAAAATCCTACACTAGCCAACATGGGCTAAATAATATTGTAAATGGAGTATACATTTTACAATTGCAAACATGATTCTGGGTTTTAAATTATTACGGTTCAGTGGTTCTAAGTCAACTAAAAGTTTTAAGAAAAAAAAAAAAAAAAAAAAAAAAAAAAAAAAAAAAAAAAAAGACCCTAATTAACATTTGTGCTTCGAAAAAAAGAAATTTGAAGCTGAGTTTGATTAGAAAAACCCAATTTCCATTGAATGCAGATTTAATTTGTAAAACACGGAAAAACTGAAAAAAACAACCATATAACTTAATCAAAAATAAAAACAAAAATAATTACCATCTTCTTTTCCCATGGAAGACTCCACGATTGATTGAACGAAAAAAAACAAGGAATCTTTCGTCTTCGTCTTGGGATGGTGGGGGGTTATAGAAAAACCCTATACTACAACATGCTTCTTCATATTGTGACAATTTATTCATCACATATTTTTTCGAATTGTAACGATTTTTGTGTCATTTTGTCCTGTAAAATGTGTCGATGATTTTGTCACATAATTCTGCAGAATTTGATGATGTATGATGCATTCCAGACTAAAGTACCTAATTATGAATAATATGTGCAATTGTTCAATGTACAATATAAAAGTAGATAATTTTTTTTTTTTTGGGTTAATGACCTAAATGGTCTCCCAACTATTGTCTCAATATCATTTTGGTCCACCAACTAAAATTTTCATTTTAAACATCCTTAAACTTTTTATTTCGTACCAAGATGGTCCATCCGTGACAGATTCCGTCACTTCTGATCACGTGATGGCCACGTGACTGAGTTTTGAAGAGTATATGCGACTTTTTGAGAAGTCCTATCGTTCAGAACCAAAATGCCTCCAAAATACCTCCACTTTTTGAGAAGCCCTCTCATTTCCCGTGATTACCCTCGAGTGAAAGGGATTCTAATACGAGTTGCTGAATTGGTCGATGCTGTAGTAGTGTGCGAGTATTTGAATTGGTGAAGTTAGTGTGTAATTTCAGTGTTAGTTTTGGAGTTCGAATTTGGGAGTTTGGGTTAGGGTTTGATTTTGGGGATTTTGGAAATTTTGGGAAATTCACTAGTTGCTGATAATGGAGTTCGAATTCCGTTTGGGTGGAAAGACTCCCAAATACGGTAAGGGCTTCTATAATGCATTTTATGTTGTTTTTATTTGGAAATGGATGAAATGGATGAGTTGTCCTTGTCTGGAACTGTGGTTTCTTTATAAAGATTCCTTTTTCTGTGTTTGTGTTTGGCTTTTTGGTTGTTTTATGTTTAATATAAGGGTAAAGGAATCGTTTTCTTGTATGTGGATTTGGCTTTTGCTACATTGACTGCAGAGTGTAAGCTTTATGTCTGTGGTCCCTTGGTCGTGGTTCCTGTATGTTGAATATGAGGGTTTTTTAAACGGCTGTGGTCCCTTAGTTGTCTGGTTCACACCAAACTCAGTAATTGTTGCCCTTGTTGTCATTAGCATTAACAACAAAACTATGACTTTAGAATAACATATTGTTGTTTCAATTTTGCAGCTACCAATGGAATGTGCACTCTAGAATTACATCATGGGGGCTGGTTTGAAAATGGGGTTTATAAGAAGGGTAAGGTCTGTTATTTGGACAATATTATAGAGGATTTTCTGTCCTTGTTAGATTTACTGAAAATTGGGAGAGGTCTTGGTTATGATGTTGACATTTCTCAAGTTGAGCAACGTTTGGAAATTAGGTGTAAAAATGCTGAGGGTGGACTAGAGCTTGTTACATCAGATGCTACAATGGTTGAAATGGTTGGTCACATACCATCCAATAAGGTTATTGTGTTATACTATAGTGAGGTTGAAGACTATGAGTATGATGCAGACGCAGAGAATTGTGATGGGGTTTTGACTCAGAATTACCAAGTGAAAGAGGTGGATTATATTGAAGTTAGAGATGATGAGACTTTTGAGAATGTTGGGACAAAAGTGGCAAATGAAGATGCGGTCAAAGAGGTACCAAATGAAGATGCAGGGGCAGAATTACCAAATGAAGATACAGGGGCACACGTGACAATTGATAATGAAGGGGCAGAATTGCCAAATGAAGATGAAGATGCAGATTCAGAAATTAAAGACAGTGATTATGAGTTCAGTGAAAATGAGGCAGAGGACAGGCCAATTGTTGGAGAAAATGTAGCAGATGAGGGGACTAGTCATGGTGCTCCAGGAGAGGTGTCATCAGATGGTGCTGACACATCATAATTTGACACTGGAAGTGAGACTGAAGATGAGGGTAACGGTAGAAAAAAGATAAAATTGCCAAAGTTTAAGCAGTATAGAAGAGATGTGGATTTGAAAAATCTTGAGTTTAGATTGGGAATGAAGTTTGCAAACAAAAAAACTACAAATAGAGGCTATCAAGGAGCATGCAATTATACATGGTAGGGAAGTGAAATTGATAAAAAATGACAACAGACGAGTTCAGGCTAAATGTGTGAAAGGGTGTTCTTTCCAGGTATATGGATAAAAAATTAATACAGAGGAATGGACATTTGCAATAAAAACTTTGAGCCTAGAACATCAGTGTGGAAGAGTGGACAAGCTTAGGCATACTACATCAAAATGGCTTTGTGACAGATATGCAAACAAGCTGAAGCGCAACATAGACTTTGATATGAAATCATTTCAAGAAGATGTGTTGGAAGATTACAAAATAAATGTCACGAAAATTCAAGTTTATAGGGCAAAGAGGCTAGCCAGATATTTAAATGAAGGTACTTTCAAAGAACAATATGCTAGATTGTGGGATTATGCAAAACAATTGAAAATTGCAAACAAGGGAAGTACAGTGAAGATTAAAACTTAGATTGTGAAGGGTAAGATAGTGTTTCAAAGGATATATGTGTGCTTGGCTGCCTGTAAGAAGTGATTTTTAGAATGTTGTAGACATGTTATTGGTGTTGATGGCTGCCATTTGAAAGGGCCTTATCCTGGACAGATCTTGACGGCTGTTGGGGTGGATGAGAACAATGGTTATTTCCCAATAACTTATGCAGTGGTTGATATTGAGAGTAAAGACTCTTGAATTTGATTTTTCAATCTTCTTATTGAAGATTTAGTGATTACAAATGGAAAAGCTTGGATAGTGATTAGTGACAAACAAAAGGGACTTGTACCTGCCATTGAGACAATACTTCCAATTGCAGAGCACAGGATATGTGTGAGACACTTGTACAGTAACTTTAGGGCATCACATATTGCTCTTGCTCTGAAACATATATTGTGGGCTGCAGCAAGAGCTACAACTGTGTCTTGATGGGAGGCAGAAATGCATGGAGAATATGAAAAATGAGGATGAGGAAGCATGGAAGTGGTTGAAGAAGAGACCTGAAAAAAATTGGAGCAGATCTCACTTTGAGTCACATTTTTAATGTGATCTTTTGTTGAATAATCTATGTGAAAGTTTCAATGTAGCCATACTAGATGCAAGGGATAAGAAAATTTTGAGGTGCTTGGAGAGGATAAGGGTGTATGTGATGCTTAGGATGGCTAATAGGAAGTCTGCATGTTAGAATTGGAGATACTTTATTGGGCCTAGGATCTTCAAAATAATTGAGAAGATCAAGCTCGGTTCATCACAATGCATTCCTAGATTGGTTGGTGAGAAATTGTATCAAGTGAGCCACATTTATGGTGGAGAACTTGTTATAGACCTTAGAGCAAAGACATGCTCTTATAGGAGGTGGAATTTATGTGGAATACCATGTCCCCATGCAATCTCAGCAATATTTCAAAGATGTGAAAACCCAATTGCTTATGTGGATGATTGTTATAAGCTCGAGACTTATATGAAGGCTTATGAACCAGTGATTCACCCAATCCTTTCAATGGACCAATGGAGTAAATGTGGCCTTCCTCCAATTAAACCTCAACTTTATAAGCAACAACCGAGTAGGCCTAAAAGAGTTAGGACGAAGGAGCCTGGTGAGGTTGAAATACTAGCCCCTATCCCACCAAACCCTATGCCTCCAAATTATATTGCCCCACCAGCCAAGCTTAGAAGGGTTTTCATTCAAATAAGATGTCGTGGATGCAGTCAAAAAGGCCATAATAAAGCAACATGTGATAGACAAAACAATGAAACCCAACAAGTATGACTGTTAGACACCTTGTTTAGTTCTATGTTATGGCGTACTTACATTAATAATGTAGGTTAATGCATCTTCAACCCAAATGGAGCAAGGTTCTTCTTCTAACACAGTAAGAGGGAGATGCATAAACAGAGGGAGAGGCATAAGTAGCGGAAGAGGAAATGCTGCTCAAGCTACTGCTTACCCTAATTCTCTATAAAGTGTAAGCTTTGGTTGCTCTTGTGATTTTAAATTGCAAAATTCATTAGGCAACTGAAGTCATTACTTTTTTTTAGATGGCAAGAGGTAATGGAGAAGGAGGCAGAGGCATAAGTAGAGGAAGAGGCAATGTTGCTCAAGCCCCTGTTTACCCAAATTCACAAGAAAATGTAAGCTTTATTTTCTCAACCATTCAATTTTTTATTGCTTATGTCATTGGAAAACAATAAAGATCAGTAACTTTTTCAGGTGAAAAGAGGTAATGGATAAGAAGTCTTACTATCTTCACATATTAGCTTAGGAAGAGGTTTACCATCTTCAAAGCTAAGTGCAATTAGAGGAAGAGGCTTAGGAAGAGGCATAAGTGGAGGAAGAGGCTTACCATCTTCACGACCAACTGTAGGTTTTTGTCATTTGGTTAATTTCTTACTCATTTCACTAATTGCCAATTTTTCAACTATTATACACCTTACATTACTACATTATTTAGGTGGCAAGAGGAAGGGGACAAGGAGGACTATCTTTGGACAACATTTCCCATGATAATAATATGGCCTCAATATAGGGGAAATTATTGCTAAGGCTGTCATATTTTGTGTATTTTGGGATATGTAATTTTCTGGCCAGAGGGATTTTGTGACAAAAGGGACTGATTCTGACTTTAGACTGTGTAATTTTGTTGAGTTTGAAGGGCTAAAACTCTGTAATTGCTTGCCTATTTTGGGTTAGATACTTTTTTGAGCAGGAGGATTTTGTGTACTTTGTGTAATTGGTTTTGAGCTAGAATGGCTCAAACTGTGAAATTGGTTGTCTATTTTGGGTTATGTACTTTTCTAGGCAGGTACATTTTGTAATTGGAATTCTGTAATTGGTCTAACTGGTCTTGAGCTCAAACTCTGTAATTGGAATTCGAATGTTTATATGGATGTTCATTTTGTAAATTGCATGTGTGGTCAAGAATGGAATGCCTTTTAATTTGTTCTACTCAATGGAACGACATCTCCCAAATATTCAAATAACCTCAATTCAAGAAAATTTCAGAACACTAATGCACATTCAAGGGACACTAATGCACATTTCAGAACACTAATGCCCATTTCAGAACCATTACATTCAAAGGAACAAACCCCATAACAATTACAACTTCCCACTAATCACAAATGTTATAAACAAAACCCAAGACAAAATTAAGGAAACCCACATTATCAATTGTCTTTGCCCATGACCCCATTCCAAAACCTTTTTCCTTGAACCTTTTCTTTCAATTTCTACTGCAGTTCTTTCTTTTTTGCTTCCACAGCTCTCGATTGTTCTTCCTTTGCTCTACCTTCCTCCTCCATTGCTCTAAGTCTTCTAAGCAAACCAATGACCACTTGTTTTCCTCTTGGACAAGTTTCATTATCAACCCACTTGAAATAATGCATACCTCTTATGCTATTCTAGCAAATCAAATCTTACCCAATTTTAGACCTCATCAAGCAATTACAAATGGGAAAGAACAACTTTTGCAACCCAAATAATAACTTACCCAATTTTTATCACAAGCATCGAACCTTCTTCCTGTCAAATCTTTCCACGAAGTCCGATGAATTATCTTTGTCCCATATGCGTAGTATCGACTCGTCCCACTTGAGGTCGTTGAAATCTCTTACATTGCAAACCTAGGGTTCTAATTTGGGGGTTTTGGTGGAGCTTCTAACAGAAATGGGAGGGAATGCGATACTACATTGGCTTGGTCGTTTTAGAGGAGGATACTAACCTAAAAATACTGTTTTGTCCCTCGATTTAACGGAATAATACACAGACTTTGATGGATGGACCATCTTGGTACAAAATAAAAATTGAAGGACGTTTGAAATGAAAATTTTAGTTGGTGGACCAGAATGATACTGAGGCAATAGTTGGGGGACCATTTAGGTCATTAACCCCTTTTTTTTTCATTACTAAAAGTAGATAATTACATTACAAATTGCATGTTCCAAAAATAGCAAAATAAAGATCCCAAATTAAGTATAGAGACTTGGTACAACCAAAAGTAAGTCTAGCAATGTATAATCCAAAATGTCAGCGAAAGGACATAATTTATTCTTAAACTAGTTCTCATCAAGATTGTATAGTTTGCTAGTTCATCGTAGTCGTCATAATCAGAATGGACACCTACATTATTACCTCTAGAGTTGGTGTTGATTTGCCCCTAAGATGCATGCAAAGCAGGCCTCAATTGGGTTCTCAACTCTTCGTTCTCCTTAAAGCCATTAAAGAAGTAGCACATGAGCTAGAGGTCTCCATATATGCGAGGAAAAATACCAATGCCATGGATAGATCTTCCCCTCCTCTCGAGCTTCTCACCCATGATTCCAAACCTAGCATCCAATGACACATCATGCTTCTCATCATGTCCTTAAAAGTTTTATTTCTTCTTTTTGTGATGTCATTTTGCTGTGGTGTTCATGGATTAGTGTATTGTATAATTCCTTCTTATTGTAGAAATCTAGTAACATGATTTCTCCTAGCCTCATCAAACCTTCCATGAAACTCTCCCTCCCTGTTAGATTAAACTATCTTGATATTTATGTTGAATTGTTTGTCCACTTCTAGTAAATTTTGAACATGTCTAAGGCACTTGATTTTTCATTTATTAAGTACACATGTCCATACCTTGAAAACTCATATGTAAAGGTGAAAAAGTATTTAAAGCCTCCATGAGTTGGAGTTGGAAAAGGTCCACTTGTGAACCAACTCCAACACACTTTGGCTTCTTATTGCTCCTTTCTTTTTTAGGTTTGTTAATTTCCCCTTTACACATTCAATGCATACTTATGCCATCAACAAGAATTGCTTTCCCAACTAGCATTGTTTCTGAAAATAGAACAATAAAAAATCATCAAAGTCCAAATTGAACTTTGACTCTACAAGCCTACTAACTGAAACTAAGTTTTTTCTCATCGAAGGAACCTAAACCATCTAGCTCCAAAATAAAACCAAAATCTAGTTCAACGCTAACTACTCCAATTAATGAAATCTATGTACTTGGACTTTGACTTCATCATTGCCCACGAGCACATTCACTTCATCCTTGTTTGGTAGCCTCTTCCTTATGAATCCCTTTAGGTTTTTGCTTTTCCAACCACCTCTTGTACCTTTTACAGTCTTCTTCATATGCCCAATGATAAGCCTATATTATATATATATATATATATATATATTTTATGCCTCATTTACTTATTTATTTGTTAGTTTCCTTGGATTAAATTGGTTGTTTTAATTTGTTTTTTGAGATTTGTGAAGGAACTGTCAAATAGGTGAAATTTAGGTAAAAAGGGGCGAGAAGATGAAGATTGGAGATTATTAATCCATATGCCAACTCATTAAAAATTTAATCTAATAGATTGAAAGTCGACACATAATCCTTAAAAAAAAACCTAGCTAATTTACTTCTAATTAAAAGCTCTAACTCTGCTACCAGGAAAGTTAATGTCCTCTAGTAGGTTTTTTTTCCTTCCTTCTTTCTTTCTCTGTTCCCACCCCTCCCCCAAAATCTTACCCTATCAACAAGTTTTCCTTTCTCCCAAAACCTCTATATATCACATATATTTAAACAACAAATCTTTTCTTTTTCCCCTATTAAAAAACAAAAACAAGTTCTAACTCGCTCGAATACTGCTAGGATCACCAAATTTGTTCACCATATTATGTTTCCAAATAATGTGGCAGTTGTGTAGAGATGATTGCCTAATACTCTAGGACATAGGCTGGTTCTTTTGTACTTGTCTTCGTCCTCCTAATCCTACTTCTCTCTCTTGCTTCCTACCTCAGCACTACATCCACAAACCCATCGTTTCACCAAAGCCGTGCTTCCCCAATCCCGGCTGACCAATATTCTAGTGATCAACAAGGCCTGGATAAAGCCACTATAGTTAGTTATCCAAAGCTTTCTTATTCCATATATAGTTAAGCTCCAATATGGCATCAGCTCATCTGCTTCTTGCTGCCATATGCTTGGCTGATTACAAGGAAACCAACACGCTTCTTGTGTCACCGGATTGTGGTCATCTCTTCCATGTCAAGTGTGTTTATCCATGGCTAGGCTGCCTGCTACTTGCCCCATATGTCGGCTGCTCCAGCTCCTCTCTGCATTTCTGTCACTGAGATAGCACATTTGCTTACTAGCTAGGGAAGAGCCATGACATTGGTATAACATATAAATCGTAATAAGATTATTTCATCTTCTTACTAGGAGCCAGAGCATTAACCTCTGTTTTTCCTTCCAAGAAGGTAAATTAATTCATTTGAAAAATGTCAAAAGAAAAACCTTTCTGTTTGCAATAGGCAGCTAGCAGAAACTAGGATGTGCAGGGAAGGATAAAAATCCGGTATGTGGTCGGGTTCGGGGAAATTTTTAGGTATGGTGTTAGAGTGGCTTCCAACTCTGTCCCACGACTCTCATTACATATATAAATATATATTATTTTACATAGAATTATTCCCTACCTCTACTAGTGTAAGGTTAGGCCAGTGTTTTGCTACATTTCCCGACCCTGTTTAGGCCAGCTTTCGTCCTCAAAGATCTCACAAATTACAAATCCACAAGGAAATTAAAAACGAGAGATTTATAGAAATTAAATGCTAAATATTATTGAAAGGATCCCTGACAGACCCATGTTATTGATTTCTATCTATGGTTTGATTCAGTGACTCCAAACAGGATCTTAAATCCACTAATTTTTAATCTACGTGCGAAACTATAAAAATGGCACTCAAGTAGTCCAAATTAGAAAAAGATAAATTCTGCCCTGTCCTAAGAAATCATCTAAGGCTAGTCAAATTATTCTCACCATTTTAGGTCCCAATCCAAATCAACTTTCCTAGACCAACCCAGAAACAAGAAGTAACACCAATTGGGAAAGCCAGCCAAGAAGCACCCCTTTGTGTATCAATGCTGCAGAGTTTGAAGGACCCTGAGGGGAATCATTATCAACTGTGGACGGAGCTGGACTTGTAACCTGCACATAAGGAGGCTGGGAGTTATCTGGAGACGGGGGCAGAGCCGGTATATGTGGCGAAGATGGTGGAACAGGAGGTGGAGAAGCACGAGGAGGGGAAGACGGTGATGGACTTGGTGTGGCGCAAGGGCACTCATTAACTGCAATGGAAATCTTTTGCCCAAGACGACAGTAGTTTGAGATGTTGCACATGTAGTAGAAGACGCCTTTTTCTCGCAATGGAATATTCACTGGACCACTGTTGAAGACCTTCAAGGGCTTGTAAGCTGTGCAGCTATCATACTCTTTCTTTGTCACTTGCAGCACATTGAAACGCCCCGCTTCGAAGTCAAAAACTGCAAACAAATTAAATTAATCGTAACGTTTTCTTGTTCGACATCCAAGCAGGGCCTCATAACATAACGTACCAGACTGTTTGTATATAAATCTTATATTACGTATGTATGTAAGATCATTAACGTTTTAAAATGTTTTGGTAAAGGAAAATTAACAGTGTATGTTTTCATGAACAAATTTGTATCCCAATATATACCGAGAGAGTCGCCGATCTTGAAGAAATGGTTAGAAGACCAGTTGGAGTAGTAATCAACAATTGGAGGTATGGCCCAGAATGTGTCTCCGACTGAGTATCTCATGCCCCCGCTGCCGTTCTGCAAGCAACCATAGGATGGAACAACCAAAACAACCACCATCACAGCCAATATAATGCAAAACTCCCTCTGCACAGCCATTGCAGAACACAGAGAGAGAGAGAGAGAGAGAGAGAGGCTGTTTTCTCTGCGGTTTCAGAGGGCTGTAGCAAATGCAATGAAATGGAAGCAACAGTAACATGCAAAGAGGCCTGTAACGGGTTATATAAAGAGGTCAGAGCGATTTTCCATTTTCAGTTAGTCAATATTTCTTTGGCAACATTATTAATCTATTTATTCTCTGAATTTTTTTTTCTTTGGAAACAGTTTCTTAGCATTCATAATAAACATTGACCAAAAAAAAAACATTCATCATATACCTAAAGTATATAAATATTTTCTATTATCGTTATTTAGAAAATTAAATATTTGCTATAAATGTTAATTTATAGACTCATTTGATACAGATATAATGTAGTTAACAAAAGAGGAAAACTTTAGCCCCAAAAAAAATTAAGGAAAGCAACGGTAACATTAATGAAATAGATAAGAATGAACTCGAACGGACGATGTGGAAATACCATTAAACATGAAGAAAAATAATTTTGGTTCTGCATATGGCTCGTTTAACTCAGAAACAACAAATAGTTATGTTAAAGTGCTAGGGTTCTAAAGAGGCAATAATTACCAAGAAAAAGGGACAAAAATTACGTTGGAGACTCTAAATTATCCTTCAAGTTTCCAGCCCTACAACCCTGTTCCTCCATGTTTATTAAATGTGTCAAATGTATATGGCCTGCCTGAGCACAACATGAACACAATCCGATTTAGTAAGGTCCGACCCGACATGACACGACCCGTTTTTATCAAAAATAGTCAAAATTTACCCCTTATTTTCATAAATGTCAGTTTTTAAAAAAAAAACTTTCAAAAATAGCAAAAAACTCACCTAAATAGACTCAAATGCCCTCAAAAGTAAAACCCACGTAAACCTAAAAACATAAAACCTGCAATCTTTGTTTTCATTTGATTTCCAACATATAATCTCCCCTATGTTTCGATCAATGTTATATCATTGGAGGACTTGAACCATGAAGCTTCCCTACAGTGCCCCCAAGCCTATATATCTTTCACTGAGTTGCATAGCAGTACAGCTGCTGGCACAAGTGTAAGTCATTTGAATCATGATCACTAGTCACCATATGTTTGCTCAAAGGCCTGTATTTGATGATGCGCTTCTAATTGCTTCTCGATGGTACCTTCCTGTTCCAATGATATAACATTGATCGAAACATAGGGGAGTTTACAGGTTGGAAATCATATTCATGGTTCAGTCCTCCAATGATATAACATAGATTGAAACTTTGTTTTTATTTTTGAAATCAAATTGAAAACAGAGATGCAAGCTTTGCCTTTTAGATTGATGTGGGTTTTAGTTTTGAGGGCATTTGACTATTTTTAAGTGAGTTTTTTGCTATTTTGGAAATGTTTATAAAAATTGACATTTATGAAAGTAGCGGGTAAATTTTGGCTATTTTTGATAAAAACTCTAAAACAAGTCCATTTTACCAACAGATAGTTTTAGTACATTTTTAATAAACATTGTGAAGAACATATAGAATCTTCCAGGCTCGTATGCTTGTTATTATCATGGACATCACATTGTTCGCAAGAAATATAAAACGAGTAATTATACCACGTGATCATACTATCGTACTATTCTTTAATTTATCAAATAGAACAACGCAAACTCACAATTGATAGATACAACAAATTCATGCCACAATTTCTCATAAATTTCATAAATTCAACAAACTAACATAGGAATTACAAGGCTACGCTTATATAGCGCACAAACCTCACTATTAAAAAAAGTAGAAAATAGAAAACAATAAAGGAAAATAATACAGCATCTTCTTTCTAATTAAAAAAAAAAGTAATTTAGAGAAGATATGCGAAGATACACACTGTTATGTGCGTAAAATAATCTGAAAGATTGCTTAGGGCTTTGGTTACCCTCTGGGTGGCTTGGTTTTGGTGCATTATTTGGGACAGATTCCTTGGGGCTTTGTGCCCTAACTGACCTATATTGCTTGGGGCCGTGGTTGCCTTCATGGGGGCTTGGTGCATCACTTAACGACAGGCCATAGTGCTTGATTTCTCGGCAATTGAGAGGTTGTAATGGTCTTGTATTCATCTCTGCATACTGCATTCAAGTTAAGCAACAGTAGAAATTAATTATGAAAAATTGTTACTTCGATGATAGGTACTGATCGTTTGAAAGACACTGCTCTCACGAGTTTTCACTTTCTTGAAGTAGGTTGTCAGTTCAAATCTCATAGACGCCGGTAGATGAATACAAATAAAACAAAAATTGAGGAATCAATTAATGAAGATAAGGTTACTTACATCATCCACAGCTTTCTTGAAGTAACTCCACTTGTTCTCTTGAAACATGTTTTACCTGAGGGCAGTTTATGATAAGCTAAGTCTCTCATAATTTTTTCCGCTAAAAAGGATATGAAGAAATGCTAAGTAATTAGGGCTGATGAAGAGGTTTTGTACCCTTTCGTTTATGGTCCAAATAACTCCTTCAGTGCAAGGAGGGGATGTGAGTGATCCAATGTATCTGTAAAAACTGAAGCTAGTCCATTTTATTTCCCTTGGATCATTCGCTGCTAAGTGTACCTCCTTTGTAGCAACCTCAGACATCATATCTTTGTTCACCTGAAAATTGTAATAGTTGGAATAACACCATTCATCTCCTACAGTTTCTTTTATACAATTGTGTTAATCTTGAGGCCTTTTAGCATGGATGTTGCTAGTTTTGCAACACTGGCTGTCTTAACAACGGGCTGTAGAGCATGATGTCTCGGTCGCTGAGAGGCTGTGATGGTCTTGCGTTCATCTTTGCATACTGCATTCAGGTTACTGTACACAAGTTAGATAGGTGCTCAAAATTGATACTTTAATGTGGTTAGTTCTAACAGAGGAATCACATGACAAAGACAAGGTTACTTACATCATAAACAGCTTGTTTAAGTAACTCCAGTTGTTCTTTCGAAACAGTATTTACCTGAGGGCAAATTATCAAAATGTGAATTTACAACAGTTCAAGAAATGTTCATGGCAGATGAAGAGGTTTTACCATTTCGTTTACGGTCTTCAGTGCAAGGAGGGGTTGTGAGTGAGCCAATGTATCTGTAAAATTTTAAGCTGCTCCATTTTATCTCACTTGGATCAGTCAGTCCCAGTTGTGTCTCCTTTGTACCATTCATAGACTCTAAGCCGTTGTGCACCTGAAAATTGGAATATATATATAGTTGAAAAAGTAACACCTTTGAGCTCCTGTAATTTGTTTTACATATATGTTTTGAGTCTTTTTACCTTTGAGAGAAGAGGATTGGGGCTGCCAATTTTGAATAGAAGTGCAACTACAGCTTTAATGTTCGGGTCCGGACTTCGGTGAAGCATGTGCAGCTCCAAATCATACCTAATAAGTAACTCTTTAGACATTGATCAAACAATTTGGATTTTTAAGACAGAGGAGCTGAGATAGAGAAAGAGAGAGACCTTATGCCATTAATGGAATGCTCAGAGGGGGTGTGCCAATGGCATTGCTTGAGGAAGTAATTTGTGCCATTGATTTTGACTGATCCAGCATCACCCTCCCACTCCATCTGCATCAATTGAATATAATACGAAGAAATGAAAATTGCAGCACTATGAATGTCTCTTAAAATATGTTTTTTTTTTGGTGACAAATTAGACATTTCCATACAGCATATGTAGTAAAAATTCATAAGACCTTGAATGCTACACATTTGAAAAAAAACAATAAATTATCTCAAAGAGATTTTTAATTTGCCCACCGCTATATTTTCATGGTTGCATTGCAGGGCTTGTAACTCATTTGAAGATCCTCTAAACTTGGGATCACTTTGGTGGCACGGCCATCTGATAAATCTATTGGCGATTGCAATTTTCCATACTTGCATGCTGCCCATTCTTTCTTAAGCTCTCCCCAGTGTTCTGGTCCCTTCTCATTCCCATTCCTATAATCAAACTCTACTTCTTGACCTGCACCAAAAACCCAATGGCTGTGATCATGATGAAGCTGGTAAATGAGATGAGTGCAAGAAGTAAATATATTTGGCATTACCAACAACTTGGGCTCCAATTGGTATTTGGTGCCAGTAGAGAAGAAACAAAAATACAAGGAACTGAAGATGGGCTTGCTTTGATTCAAACATCATTCACAGACAACAGCCACTAAAATCATACAAATGTTAAGACAGAGGAGCCTCTGTTCTTTGTTTGAACTTGCTACAATGAAGAATGATAGAATGATGCACTATGAGCCTATGCCTAATATACAATTTACTGGATCTAGATGTGGAAAAAAATTAAATCATACATCATCCCTCAAGTAATATCTTTGTAATACTAATCACTTTTATTGCATACTAAAATGGGGTTTGAATGATTTCGAAATTTGATGACGCTCAACAGCTAGGACATGCATGCATCTTTGATTTGCATGCGAAAGTACTTTCACTTCCTATGATGGAGAAGTTTATGTGACCTAACACCGCCACATGGTGTTATTAATCCACGTATTAAACATGTTAGCTTCTCGGTGTCTCGCTGTATTTGTATCCTCGTCTAATACACTTGCATTTTGAGAAAACCTCTTAACGACTTGGACTCTCTCGTGGTGGACACTAGAAAGAATCATCAGTCTCTGCTAACTAAGGTATCTGTTAATAAATGTGGGTATGTTCCAATCTTGCCCTTTATTTTTTGGTAAGTCTTTATCTCTGTTTGGTAGCGGAAAGATTTACCTCAATTCTTTCCTAGGATCATTTTGAATTTTCTTCTCATTTTATTTTTATAAGTTGGTACATTGTGCTTTGCACTGCCAGAGGATAGCATTTGGAAAGATAAAATGATTTCAATCCATTTTCAACAATTCAATGTTGATGGAAAATTTCATAAAATGTTACACATTCATTCTAATTCTGTTTTTGACTAAAAACTAGCTTAGGACTTGGCAATGAGAGAGACCTGGAGTTGGAAATAGTTTGTGATCATGACGCAGCACGGAAGACGGATCGACAAACATCTAAACCCGAAAAGATAAACTAAAATCCATCAGCAATTGGAATCCACCAGAAAATGGAGAAATCTTTAAATTTTGATTAATAATATGATAAAACTGATTAATACAAGTACCATGAGTCAGCTTAAATAGAAAACAAAGAAACACTAGGTTACAGAATATTCCTAAAACTTAATTAATAAGAAAATAATTTAAATCATATCAGGAAAATAATATCCTGATTGATAACTTATCTAGAAATATAAATATAATATAGATCTTCTCAAGAATCAAGCAACCCGAAAATCCCAGCGATATGCTCAAGCATGATTTTCCATATTTTGATGCTCAAGCATGATTTTCCATATTTTGAAGCCCAATTTTCTGATTTTGAAATTTCCCTCTTTTTCAAATTTCCTTCCTAGGAATAAACACATGATTTGTCCTACATCAGTTCAGAACTTCCATTGTCCTTGCTTTAGTAGCTTGGAGGTAATCTAAAGACTTTCTCAGTATGCAGCCACCAATGGAGGCCGATGTGGTTAGTTACACATGTCTCACTGGGAGAACGATGAGCCATGGAGCTTGATAGCCCGGCCATTAAGAGGTTGTAGTGGTCTTGCATTCATCATTGCATACTGAACTCAAGGTAATCAACAGAAAAAGTTATTATACACTCAAAAATGGATATTTTGATATGCTTTTTGGTGGACATTATCATTTCAAAGAATCTGTTGCACAAAAATCACTTCACAAAGACAGGTTTTACTTACGTCGAAAACGACTTGTTGAAGAAGTGTCACTTGTGTTGTTGAAGAAGTGTCACTTGTGGGAGCAGATATTTTCGTCTCCAATCACAGCACGCCACGTGGAAAAGAAGATTATCTCTTTTAATTAATTAATTGAACCAGTTTATCTGGCCAATTAATTAATTGGGATAAATATCTTAATTAAATGATATTATCTTTATTTAATAAGATAATATCATTAATTAAGATATTATCCTAATAAAGAGAAGATAATGTCATTATCTCAAATATTATCTTCATAAAAAGAGATAATATCATTTAATTCAGATATTATCTCCATAAAAAGAGATAATATCATTAAATCAGATATTATCTCAGTCCAACTCGATCCCTACGAATTTGGGTAGAGAATAAACTCAGCATATTCTCTAGCCCCGAGGCTCCTATAAATAGATGACTTCATTCATCATTCAAGGTACATCTAAACCTACTCCTTATACCCGAGAAAAATACCCAAAGCTCTTTCTCCCTCTCCACTCTCCATATTTTCTCCCTCTCCACTCTCCATATTTTCTCCACACGGCTCCGGCCACCACACACGGCTCCGGCCGCCCGGTTCACACCCTACATAAACACTACTCCGTACCCTTTGCTTAGCTATTGTTTTTCTACAAACACTCGAACTAACTTAGGCATCGGAGGGCCTTTGGCCAACACCCCCCGGGTGTGGTCTATTTACTCCAATATGTTTTACAGGAATCGAGGAAGAGAGAGAAGGAAGATCGAAGGTTGAAGGATCTAGAAGCGAATATTCTTCCGTGAGATTATTTGCACAAACATTTGGTGCTTTCATTGAGAGCACGAGTTATACTCAACGCGTGCTCAAGGAATCCGTTCCTCATATTTTCCAATCCACCGAATTCTTCCAAACAACCATGGTTGGAAGCAAGCGCACGAGGAGTAAAACCGCCGCGATGGCTCAATCTGTGACGGCCCAAAGCCACTCCACCCACGATCCCGCGATCAACATGGTGGCACCACCACCTCTCGCCACCGTGCCACCTACCGGACCCGCGACCGAATCTAGCAACCTCCGTGGCACCGCCGCCGAACATGGTGGAACCTCCCATCAAGGTGGGCTCGTTACCACCACCGACTTAGGCCCGGTCTTGGAGCAACTTCAAGCGTTCCCTCCATTGCCTCCACGCTCGACACACGCTCTCGCGTACACCTCCAGTGAAACCCTAGCCCGTGTGCAATTGGGCTCCACACGCTTCTCTCCTCCCGATCCACAAAGTCAAGCAGATCTCAACTTGAGAGTTGACCAGCTAGCTCAGAGAATGGACGACCAAAACGCTCTTATGAGGCAGCTCCTTAATCAAATAAGCGTGGCTCAAAATCTTGGCCTTGGACAACCAGGCGAAGTGAGAAGAATAGACGAACGCACCGGTGGGCAGCTCAACGGGGACCAAGCGGGTCGAGCAGGAGCGAGCAGACAAGGGGATGCACAACCACGTGATCAGCTTGCCGACATGTCGCAAGCATCTGCAAGCCACACACAAAGCAACGTGCGAGAAAAGCTCGGCCCACGACTTGACGTTCGTGCTCGCCTGGGCCCGCAAGGGAATGTACTTCAAAGGCTAGGCTCCCAAGGAGATCAAACTGACAATCGCCGCAATGAGGATTGTGAAGAAAGGCGCTCCGCTGCCCACTCGCAGAGAAATATTCACGAAAGGCTAGGCCCCCAGGGAGGTCAACCCGCTAACCCTCGCAATGAGGATCGTGAAGAGAGGCACTCCATTGCCCGCTCTCAGAGAACCAACTCTCGCCGTCAAGCTGCAGAAAATCCCTCGCAATCGCAGTCCACCAACACGTCTCTTAGGCAGCGCGGACGAGAGGACCGACCCTTGCAGACCAACGAGGAGGTCAATCAGCGTCGCCCGAATCGCAAAAGTCGCCAACGTGATCCACCAGCACTGCGCGCGGAAGACGTTGAGAAGCTTGTGAATGACCGACTTCGAGACTTGAAGACTGGCGGGAACCTCGAGGATGCACTACGTAAGGAGATGGACCAGGCGATCTCTACTCCTTTCACCCCTGAAATCGAGCAGGCTGCTCCCCCGAAGCGATTCTCAACGCCCTCTTTTACATGCTTCAAAGGCGATTCCGATCCCGAAAGCCATCTGAAGCATTTTAAGAGCCTTATGATCCTCTACAAAGCCGAAGACGCGCTAATGTGCAAGGTGTTTGCAATGACTTTGCAAGGAGCAGCTTAGGATTGGTTCCACACCCTGCCATCCGGGTCGATCAGCAGCTTCAAGGAGCTTGCTTATGTCTTCACTAAAGAATACACTTCTTATCGGTCAATCAAGAAGAATCCTGACTATCTGTTCAACCTGCACAAGAAGTCCAATGAATCCCTGCGAGACTACATCAAGAGGTTCAAGGCGGAGAGGGCAAACATTGTAGGATGTGATGACCAAATTGCGTTCTCTGCCTTCAAAAGGGGGTTGCCAACTGAATGTGAGCTGTATCGTGAGCTGACCATCTATCCTCGCCAAACACTGGTAGAAGTCTTCGCTATAGCAGAGCGCTACGCATTATGGGACGACGACCGGATCGCCATGAAGAAGGCTGATCAAGTAGCTGAGCAGGCAAGCCAAGAGAACGGCAAGCGCAAATCACAGCCTCAGGAAGGTGCTTCAGCAGCGGAGAGCTACACCAAGTTCACTATCCCGATACACCAGATCCTGGCCCAAGTAAAAGACATGCCTTGGTTGAAGAAACCATCGCCTTTAAAGGGAAACCCAAACAAGAAGGATACCAGTAGATACTGCACATTCCATGAAGGGCATGGTCATTACACAAACGACTGCTTCGCCTGGAAAAGGCACCTTGAAGATCTAGTCAGAGACGGCCATTGCACAGAATTCATGGCAAGGAGGGCTATCCAGCAAATCAAGGATTGTGACGCAGCTAACGATGAACCTCCACGAAAAAGGTCATATGGATCAACACGATCCTAGCTGACTCCAAAAGCCCAGATTGACCACCAGGGGGCAAAAGAGAAGGATCAAGCAGGCGACTTCCGTCTCCTAAGCCGTCACTAGCTACCAAGTTGTGGAAGACGAACCTTTCATCATCTTTCAATGGAAGGAAGTTCTAAGACAATGAAATACCCATCACCTCCAAGGGTACTATCCATGAAGCTCTTCACCTATTAGCTCGGCTCTAAGCAGGCGACCAAGCCTTCCTCACCTCCATTGAAGACAAGTTACTTTTGATGTTACTCATGCACTCATCTTTTTTGTTCAATAAGGCAATGTAGTCACACAGACATCAATACAAGTTCAAGCTTTTCTTTCCAATGAAGTATTCACAAAAGCAATCGACACGTTTCCGGACGTAGGCCAAACGGGCCACTCTCAACGACACGTCTCTGGACGTAGGCCAAACGGGTCACTCTCATCGACACGTCTCTGAACGTAAGCCAAACGGGCCACTATCATCGACACGTCTTCGGACGTAGGCCAAACGGGTCACACACATCGACACGTCCCCGGACGTAGGCCAAACGGGCCACTATCATCGACACGTCTCCGGACGTAGGCCAAACGGGTCACACAACGACATGTCTCCGGACGTAGGCCAAACGGGTCACACACATCGACACGTCCCCGGACGTAGGCCAAACGGGCCATTATCATCGACACGTCCCCGGACGTAGGCCAAACGGGCCACTATCATCGACACGTCTCCGGACGTAGGCCAAACGGGTCACACATCGACACGTCCCCGGACGTAGGCCAAACGGGCCATTATCATCGACACGTCCCCGGACGTAGGCCAAACGGGCCATTATCATCGACACGTCTCCGGACGTAGGCCAAACGGGTCACACACATCGACACGTCCCCGGACGTAGGCCAAACGGGCCACTATCATCGACACGTCTCCGGACATAGGCCAAACGGGGCACGCATCGACACGTCTCCGGACGTATGCCAAACGGGCCACTATCATCGACACGTCCCCAGACGTAGGCCAAACGGGCCACTATCATCGACATGTCTCCGGACGTAGACCAAACGGGTCACACACATCGACACGTCTTCGGACGTAGGCCAAACGGGTCACTATCATCGACACGTCTCCAGACGTAGGCCAAACGGGCCACTATCATCGACACGTCTTTGGATGTAGGCCAAATGGGTCACTCTCATCGACACGTCTTCGGACATAGGCCAAACGGGCCACCCTTATTGAAACGTCTCCGGACGTAGGCAAAACATGCCTCAACCCAGAAACACTCAAGCAGTTCACAAGACACTATGCAAATTGAAGTTGAAAAAATAACTGAAATTTCCTTAGTAAAGTGACCAACCGGCCAAAGTTCAACAAAAAGAAGACAGTCAAGGAAGACCAATTATTCTAAATGAGAAAGCAGACTACAAAAGCTGAAAAGAAATAAAGAAGTCTTCATCTACTTCGAGACGCCAGCAGGAGATCCCTGATCAGCCACACTCTCAGCAGCTCCACCTGCCTGATCCTCCACGTCTGCCCCCACCTCCTTTTTGAAGGAGAAGAAATGTTGCTTCCTTTTGTTTTTCCAAGGAAAGACTTGGGAAAGTACCAAGATCGCCAGCCTGACGGATTTGATGAACCAGCTCAGCACAAGTGGATGGACTTGACAGAAAGTTCGTCTTTAGCTGATCAGACACGCCTGCATCCTCTACAGGGGTGGACTTGTCCACCTTGGGATTAGCTGCTGACGTTGCAAAAGAGCCCTTCGCCCAAGCAAATTACTCTCTTGCTTTCTTAGCCTCTGTCAACCTCACTTCCAAAGGAATTGGCGACGATGAATCCACTCCATGCTTGACTGCTCGTGACTCAATAGTTGAAACATGATGGTTGGATGGATGAGCAGACTACCCAGATCGACTTCCAATCTTCGACTAGTACAAACGACTCAAATTTCGAAAAGGAGCATCCGCATCTCTTTGCCTCTCAACAAGTGAGTTAGATCGCGCACGGACTACTTTACGGAGCATATCACGATCTCCAAACTCATCAGGCTTGAGCTCTCGAAGACTGACATCAGCCTTCCTCTTTTAGGGGAGTTTAGCAAAACAATCCTTATGTCCAAAAGGCAAATCATCAAGGCTCGGACCATCCTGCTTCCATCTATCGACATCCTTAGCAGGGGGCAGTCCACCAACTTCCTCCTGATCATCGCTCAGCAGCCGCCAGCGGCCACCGCCGCTCCAATCGTCTTTGGCCGGCAGTCATGACGACAACCAGCCTGGTCCCACCCAACTGGTCCTGAGCCTTGAAAAAGAGAAGACGAAAAAAAATTTACGTGCTCGACTTACTTTGGGATGCACGGCAACTCCTCTCTTCGACAAGCAGTACAAAATTCTCCAAGATCTTTCTCAAGCTAGAAAGTAAAGAAGTTAAGTTTGCGATGTAAGAAAGAGTGAAGAGAAGCCCTGTATTTATACAAGTTGGACAGCCCGGGTCAAGAAGGAATCTCAAGCTCTTTCCTACTGGGAATCCAACTCCAACAACAGTCAGAAGCCTACACCAATTGAGAATCCGATCTGCAAAAGGAGTCCAACTCACAGAAGAAAGCCCAGACTCAATTGGAGAGCCCGAAAAAAATAATTTCATCTCCTACATGCCACACAAGTGTCACGCAGAAGCTGGGGGCATTTGTGGGAGCAGATATTTTCGTCTCCAATCACAGCACACCACGTGGAAAAGAAGATTATCTCTTTTAATTAATTAATTGAACCAGTTTATCTGGCCAATTAATTAATTGGGATAAATATCTTAATTAAATGATATTATCTTTATTTAATAAGATAATATCATTAATTAAGATATTATCCTAATAAAGAGAAGATAATGTCATTATCTCAAATATTATCTTCATAAAAAGAGATAATATCATTTAATTCAGATATTATCTCCATAAAAAGAGATAATATCATTAAATCAGATATTATCTCAGTCCAACTCGATCCCTACGAATTTGGGTAGAGAATAAACTCAGCATATTCTCTACGAAACCCTAGCCCCGAGGCTCCTATAAATAGATGACTTCATTCATACATCTAAACCTACTCCTTATACCCGAGAAAAATACCCAAAGCTCTTTCTCCCTCTCCACTCTCCATATTTTCTCCCTCTCCACTCTCCATATTTTCTCCACACGGCTCCGGCCACCACACACGGCTCCGGCCGCCCGGTTCACACCCTACATAAACACTACTCCGTACCCTTTGCTTAGCTATTGTTTTTCTACAAACACTCGAACTAACTTAGGCATCGGAGGGCCTTTGGCCAACACCCCCCGGGTGTGGTCTATTTACTCCAATATGTTTTACAGGAATCGAGGAAGAGAGAGAAGGAAGATCGAAGGTTGAAGGATCTAGAAGCGAATATTCTTCCGTGAGATTATTTGCACAAACAATTATCATTTCAAAGAATCTGTTGCACAAAAATCACTTCACAAAGACAGGTTTTACTTACGTCGAAAACGACTTGTTGAAGAAGTGTCACTTGTGATTTTGAAACAGAAAGTACCTGAGGACAGTTTATAATTAGCTTCTCATTTTTGGCTACTGAAATGTGAAATTACAGGAGCAGGAAAAATTTTCAGGGCTGATGAAGTTGGTTGTACCTGTTCGTTTATGGTCCAAGTAACTCCTTCAGTGCAAGGAGGGGTTGTGAATGAGCCCATGTATCTGTAAAATTTTGAAACAAGTAACCCCGTCTGAGCCTCCTTCATCTTCCTCGGATCAATCACTCCCAGTTGTACATCCTTCTCCACATCAGTCATAGATGCTATCTCCTTTGTCACCTGAAAGTTGGAACAACACCATTGATCTCCTATATTCCTCTTCTCTAATTTAACTGAAATGAGTTTTTAGCACATAAATTTTGAAGAATTTTACCTCAGAGAGAAATGGATTGGGTTCACCAATTTTGTAGAGGAATCCAACCACAGCCACATTGTTGTTCTGGGCTCTGTGAACCATGTGCAATTCCAAATCATACCTTTTGCCATTAATGGAATGCTCAGAGGGTGAGTGCCAATGGCATTGTCTGAGGATGTAATCTGTGCCATTGATACTAATTGATCCAGCATCACCTTCCCACACAATCTGCATCAAATTACAACACAAGCAGTAAATATTCATGTCTTAATTTGTACATAAACAAGTTAAAGCAGAGTTTTTCACTTTCTTACCGCAATTACAGGACCTTCGTTCTCGATCTTGGCTTCGGCAGGCTTATAACTGACTTTAAAATGCTCTAAACTTGAGTTTACTTTGGTGGCAATCCCATCCCTTAAATCTATTGGTGATTGTGATTTGCCATCCTTGCATGTATTCCATTCTTTTTTAAGCTCTCCCCAGTGCTCTGGCCCTTTCTTGCTCCCTGCCTTATATTCAAATTCTATTGCATTCTCTGCACACAAAAACCCCAAACTCAATAAATTATGATGAAGAAGAATAAGAGAAGAATGTAAATTTATATATGTATGTATGTATTTGAGATTACCAGAAGGTTCAGCTCTAACGGGTGTCGGGTTCCAGCACAGAAGAAAAAATGTAAAAACAAGTAACCCAAGATGGATTTGCTTTGATCCAGCCATCTTTCAAAGCCAACAACACTTGAGTTTCAAATTGCTACCACCCAAAAACCTTGTTCAATTCCAGTTACAGAATTTGAATGTGGAAACAAATCACAGCTTCTCCACTTTTAAGCAATTATATAATTTACCTTTCTTGGCATTGAAATTATTATACTTTGTTAATGGAAATTTAAGAAGTTGTATTAACTCCTTCATTTATGTAAGCTCTCCCTGTCACTAGTATTGAAGATTTTTTGTCTAAATATATACAAGAGTTACTATATATAGAAAATAAGAAGTTTTGGTGCAGTTTTTTTGTAGTGATTAAGCAAGCATATCCTCATAATTAGCGCTAGATTTTGGAGGATTTATACACTTTTCTAGCTAGAACGTCTTGGTACAGAGAACAAAAAATAAAAATTAAGACAAATGACTTGGTAATTTTTTTTGTTTTGTTATAACTAAAAACTAACAACGACATCCACCCAAACATGTCTACAGCAGAATTAGTTTCACGAAAAATATGTTGTAAGTTCACCTTAAGGAACTAACCAAATCAAACAGAGAATGTTGTTAACCAACCAAATTAACGGAATTGAGATGTGTGCTTTCTGATCTATCATAAAACAAGGAGTTTTTATAAAAAATAGTCAAAATTTACCCCTTATTTTCATAAATGTCAGTTTTTAAAAAAACTTTCAAAAATAGCAAAAAACTCACCTAAATAGACTCAAATGCCCTCAAAAGTAAAACCCATGTAAACCTAAAAACATAAAACCTGCAATCTTTGTTTTCATTTGATTTCCAACATATAATCTCCCCTATGTTTTGATCAATGTTATATCATTGGAGGACTTGAACCATGAAGCTTCCCTACAGTGCCCCCAAGCCTATATATCTTTCACTGAGTTGCATAGCAGTACAACTGTTGGCACAAGTGTAAGTCATTTGAATCATGATCACCAGTCACCATATGTTTGCTCAAAGGCCTGTATTTGATGATGCGCTTCTAATTGCTTCTCGATGGTACCTTCCTGTTCCAATGATATAACATTGATCGAAACATAGGGGAGTTTACAAGTTGGAAATCATATTCATGGTTCAGTCCTCCAATGATATAACATTGATTGAAACTTTGTTTTTATTTTTGAAATCAAATTGAAAACAGAGATGCAGGCTTTGCCTTTTAGATTGATGTGGGTTTTAGTTTTGTGGGCATTTGAGTATTTTTAAGTGAACTTTTTGCTATTTTTGAAAGTTTTTATAAAAATTGACATTTATGAAAGTAAGGGGTAAATTTTGGCTATTTTTGATAAAAATTCCTATGTTTGGGTGGGCTGAGATGAGCTAATTCGGCCATGCATGATTAAAGGCCATTTATTAAATTATTTTTGTTTTAGAAAAAAAAAATATTATATTTGTATATTAAATTCGAGTCTATTTATTTTTCTCTGATAATATATATATTAAAATTTTATTTTTTCTTTATAAATAAAATAATAATTTTATTTTTCAAGTTTCAATTTTTAAAATCCAAATAATAGTCTAACTATTTTCTATATAAATGTACTTCAAATAAAGGTATTGACATATTTTTCTAACAAATAATAAATCTTGTGAATATAAAAATATGATAGTGAATACAAACCTCATAACCACCGAGGTGTCAAACGGACCGGGTGTGAAAGCCCGTATTTTATATATATATATATATATATATTATATTTTGGGAAATTAAATATTTTATTACATATTTAGTTTATAACTTATATATTTAAATTGATTATATATATTTTATATATTTATCTCTGTACGTGTTATATTTTCAGAAATTTTTCCTATTAGTTATTAAAAATAGTAATCTTAGAATACATATATGTTTTGTTTTAGATAGCCTTATCTCGTTGTTACTTTTGCATATTGATACTTGAATGGCTAAGTTCAATAGTCTAGTTGTTATCTAAATCTTTTTACATACAAGACACTTTAGAGTCACAGGTGTCATTATACCTAGATGACTAAGCTCTATTTTAGCATGAGGTGTTGGCGACCTAGTAACAATTATCTAAACTTGGCGCCAAATGTTATCATCTGCCATATATTGGACCAATTGAAGGAAAGTAGTTGCCGCCTATGGAGTACTATAAACAGGGGGAATTCCATTTCACCTTGAAGAGCATGGTAGGCATAATTTGCATGAGAAATAAGAGAGGGAAAGAAAGAAAGAGAGTGTTGATGAAATTCTTCGAGGAGAGAGAGTGTAGCTTGCATTTTCTTAAATTGACAGGACCCACCCCGAATTTCTCAAAACCCGAGACGAATCCTGTGGAATTCCCGACATCACCCCGATGTCGGGCCTACTTGTGCAACTATATCCTCTTTTGCCAAAAAGGAATAAGGGCCTGAGACTTTCTGCCGAAATTTCGGTCCCTTGTAAATTGGACATTCCCCAAAAATTCCAACCTGCATAAAACACATTTAATATCCCAACCGGCAGCACGCACAATGTAATTTCATGCAATTCACATAATCGGCCTCCGACCTTCAAACAATCCGAAACCAAACAACCAACACCATTCCTCAGTCAACAATAATCTAAACCATTCAGATAATGAATTCGAATAGTTTTTATAAACGCTCCTTATAATCAACCTAACACAACCTCCCTCAACCATATGGGAGTATGAACGATTATTTAATCGCATCTCGTTTTCAATCGAATTTCGGGATCAACAACTTGGTCAAAACCAATCTCCATAAACCAGACGAATAAAATCTAGTCCGCGGCTGCACTTAGGCACCACCCTAGGTTGCCTACGTACCCCTTGAGAGGGATCAAGCCACACATAGTTCTTTCATACAAAATTTCCAAAACCATCAACATGCAATCAATTACAGAAATCCCAAACAAACTCTTTTTCAAACATCGTTCGTTCCCAACTTAGGATAATAATCCTTAATTCATCTCTCTAAAAATCACATAATCTCCCCATACGCCGGAAAATCCAACGCCACGTATAGGGTCTGTCAACACGCCGGAAAATCCTACGCCACGTATGGGGTTTGTCAACACGTCGAAAAATCCTACGCCACGTGCGACCTCAACATGATATCACAGAATCTCCTCATACGCGGGAACTACCAACGCCACGTATGGGGCCTGTTTGCATGCCGAAAAATCCTACGACACGTGGGACCTCACAATCTTGTCACAATAATCCCCCCATACGCCGGAACTACCAACGCCACATATGGGGTTTGTCAACATGTTGGAAAATCCTACGACACGTGTGACCTCATCATTATACCACAATATCTCCCTATAAGCCGAAACTACCAACGCCACGTATGGGGCCTGTCCGCACGCTGTAAAATCCTACGACACGTGGGACCTCATAATCACATCACAATAATCTCCCCATATGCTAGAACTACCAACGCCACGTATGGGGTCTGTCAACACGCCGGAAAATCCTACAACACGTGTGACCTCATCATCATATCACAATATCTCCCCATACGCTGGAACTACCAACGCCACGTATGGGGCCTGTCCGCACTGTTAATGTATGCATTTTGAGTTTTTCTTTTGGCTTCCCTTGACAACTTTGTAATAGGATTTGTATTGTTATTTATCAAGCTCAAGTTTAGATTAAGAAAAGCTTCTCTTGGTGTTCTTATCTAACTTATATCCTATGGAGGTTCAAGCAATTTGACAAAGGTAAGGTGTGCATTGCATATCCCTGCATATCATTGCATTAAATTGTTTTTATAAAAATTATGACTAGTCATCTATTTCTCGTATGACTAGTCATCCTTGCTCTGTTGGATTTCCAGCTGGATAACCAACTTCTTTGTCCTATTCTTCTTTCTCTCTCTGCTGCCAGGTGTGATTCTGACCTAAGGGATTTTCTGTCTATAAAGGCTACGAATTCCTCTTTGGGCAGTTGTCTCTTTTGGGGTGGAAGTTTTGGAAAGATTGGTTTGACTTCTTTCTCTTCTTCTTCCTCAAGAGAGAACCTAATATTTCATCTATGAGTTTTTCCAATTAATTTCTTATTTGAAAAACTGCATTTGAAACACGAATATGCATCTAGCTACTTAAATCATTCTCTCATTTATATCTAGGTCAGATTCAAGACTGATTTCTTCAAGAGTATGGTTTCTTGAAGAAATTGGTCATTCTCCTTTGAATCCAGGTTTCGGTCTGTGTTAGAGCTTGCAAGCTAGTGCCATGAGATGAACAAGCTGGAGAAGGAGCTGCCATTGCCATGAAGAATTGAGCTTCAAGTTTTGCTAAGTTGGAGAAGAAGATTGCACGAAGGAGGTATAGCTCATATTCCTAAATAGATCTAGGTGTTTATTGAGCTTGGTTGTGTTTCCTTTGTAAGAATCTTTTTCTACTTAGTGGAGTGCCTGGTCGGTTAATGACTCCCAGTTTTTCCCAATGGTGGGTTTCTGGGTGAACAAATTCTGTTTTGCATATTTATAATTTTTCTGGGTTTGTGTTCTTGGTGGTTGACTAGTCATCTTTATCTGCTGTTTGGTGTTTACTTGATAATGATGATTTCACACACTTTCACCATAGTTGTTGCTAGCACAGGGGATACCTAGATTGACGGGTCCTTCTGAGTGCCTAGGTTGTCACTAGTAATCTTTTAAGGTTACAGGTACTTTGTGGCATGTTCTGTGTGCTCTCTTGATTGTGGTTGTTCATGACTAGCAGTTGACTAGTCATATGTCTTTTTTTTGGTCAATGTCTACAGTGTGTGAAGATTGTTGTGTGTTGTGTCTTGTTTGTGTCGTTAAATTTACCCCTCGTCATCTAAGTACCATTTTCAATTGGTATCAGAGCGTCAGCTCTTAACACAAATAGAGAGATCCTAGGATTTGTTTTGGTGTTTAGGTGTGCTCACTATGGAAAGGGATCGAGTTGCTGGATCTTGCAACTCCCCTCCTTATTTTGATGGCAATAACTACGCTGCATGGAGAGAAAAATTTGAGATATTCCTTGATGCTCTTGATGAGTATGCAAGTGGGTATCTCACAAAAGAGTGGGTTGCTCCGGTCAAGACTGTTGAGGGTGAAGTTGTGCCCAAGCCTAGGTCAGAATGGACTGAAGCTGAGGTGTTTGCTGCATATTCAAACAAAAAGGCCAGAAATGCCTTAGTTATAGCCTTGTCTAGCACACAGTTTGCACATATACAACACATCCTTAATGCTAAACAGGCTTGGGATAAACTAAGGGTGGTTCATGAAGGGGACGACCAAGTTAGAACCCTAAAACTTCATATGGTGCTTGCACAATTTGAAGAACTTAGGATGTCTGAAACTGAGTCTATTTTTGAGTTCTATGGGAGAGTTGAGATGATCACAAATGAAGCCATGAGTCTTGGTCAACCTATTGAAGAGCTTCTTGTTGTTCAGAAAATTCTTCGTGTTCTACCATCTAGGTTTAGAGCAAAGAAAACCGCAATCATGGAGGTCCAAAACTTAAATGAAATTAAGCTTGGCAAGCTTGTAGGAAAATTGAAAACCTATGAGATGGAGTTGAATATGGAAGAAAATGACACTAAAAAAATCAAAAAATGTTGCACTTCAAGGAGTGCATGTTTCCTCTCTGAAAGGTGGTGAAAAATCCTCAGGTTTTGAGGATGAGATGGCCTTGTTTGTCAAAAAATTTAGGAGAATTCTTAAGGATAAGGGAAAGTTTGCTAGAAAGGGCAGCTCTGGTAGTGAGAAACAGTTTAGACCATCAACTGATTGGTCTAATGAAAGGAACAAGGATGTCAAACCTTTCACTAAAGATTTTAGAAAATCCGTCAAGTGCTTCACATGTGGAGGCATTGGGCATTATGCTGCCGACTGTGCAAACAATCAGAAAAAAATACTCCAAAGGAAAGGACAAGGCCATGAAAGTGAGCTGGAGTGAGAGTGAAAGTGAAGTGTCTCAAGAGGATTCGTCTTCCTCTGATGATGATGACCAACAAGTTGCCTTTGTTGCCTCTGTGCAGCCCGTGTCTAATGAATCTGATTCTGAGTCAGATGACCTATCATACGAGTCATTAGGAAGAAAATATGATTGCTTGTTCAAAGAGACTTTGTCTTTGAAAGAAGAGAGCCTCAAACTTGAGGCCAATAACCAAGATCTTCAACATGAAATTCTCATCTTAAAAGAAACCAAAAAGGAGGTGAGTGACAAATTTGAGTCTCTAGAAAAAGAAATTGTTGCTCTTGTGTCAATTAGGAGTAATCTAGAGAATCAAGTTAATGTGCTCAAGGAAAGTAACATTGGTTTCCAGAACTAAAACAAACAGCTCCTAAGTGAATTGAATGAAGCAAAAAGTAAGATTATATCTATGACCATTGGTGCTTCAAAAATTGACAAAATGTTGAATATGGGAAAACTTCATGGGGACAAAGGTGGTCTTGGATTTAATCACTTTGATCCTAGTTCGTCTAGCTTTACCACTAAGTTTGTCAAGTCAGAAACTCCAGTCACTGTACCTCTTGATGTTCAGCTGGTAGTCAAGAAACCTAAGTTTGTTCCAACTTGTCACAGGTGTGGGTTGACTGGTCATATTCGACCAGTCTGTCATATGTATAGCAAAGATAAGACCAGAAAATTGTCTTCAAAATCTAAAAGGAATCCCAGATCTTTGCAAGATCAAGTTGATCATTTGCTAAATGAAGTAACCAAGATTGCCAAACTTGTCTCCCTCAAAATGAGTTCACCCATTGTGCCTAAGTCTACTTGGATTACAAGAGGTCATACCAAATCTCTTGTTGTGATAAATGCTTTTGCTGTTTCAAACACCAACTCTTAGTACTTTGATAGTGGCTGTTCCAAACATATGTCTGGGGATAAGAATGTTTTCTCATCTCTCAGCCCCTTTGATGGAGGCACTGTGACTTTTGGTGGAGGTCATAAGTCTCAAGTTGTTGGAAGAGGTACTGTTTGTATCCCTGGTTTACCCGAGCTTAAGAATGTTAGATTTGTTGAGGGTCTCACTTCCAATCTCATTAGTGTGAGTCAGCTATGTGATGATGGAATAGTAGAAGTCAGATTCTCCAAGCATGGCTGCAAAATCATTGAAAAAGGTGGCAATGAGATTGTGAGCGTGGCAAAGTCTAGGGACAATTGCTATTGCATTGATGGTGTCAATGATGCAGAAGAAGTTTTTTGCAACAAGGTTGTGAATGAAATAAGTGTTTTGTGGCATCAAAGACTTGGACATGTGAATTTTAGAGACTTACATAACTTGTCCAAGAGAAAGTTAGTAAGTGGTCTACCAAAGCTTGACAAATCTAATCAACATGTTTGTGAAGGATGGTCAAACAAGTTAGAGTGTCACACAAAAAGGTCAAACACATTCAAAAAAATGTAAGTCTAGAACTTGTTCACATGGACCTTGTTGGTCCTATCTAAACCGTGTCCCTTGGTGGAAAGAAATATATTCTTATCATGGTTGATGATTTCTCTAGGTTCACTTGGGTCTCATTCTTACGTGAGAAATCTGAAAATTTTCAAAGGTTTAAGTCTGTTTGTCATCTTTTGCAAAAAGAGAAGATGACTAGTCATCTGCCTCTTGTTAGAATTAGAACAGATCATGGCTCTGAGTTTGAGAATTCTCAGTTTTTGAAATTTTGTGAAGGGGAAATTTGTATAAATACCACTTGAACTTTCAAGTATGTGCGTCATTACCACTTGAACTTCTAATTTTTATTTTTAACCACCTAAACTTTGTAAAGTGTTGTAATCCACCACCTACATCTAACTCCGTTAAAATTTCTGTTAAGTTGAAGGGTATTTTCGTCAATTAACTATAACAAAGAATAATTATAAATAAAAAAAGATTATTGTAATTAAAAAAAAGAAAAAAAAAAGTTGACCTAATTATAGCGCCTTCACCCTACTCCTACTTTTCCAACTTTTCCAATGTCAATTCGCTCCGCCGCAAAATTACCCACCCTCCCAAAACCCACCCTTTGCTCTGCACACACCATACTCTATATTCATCTTTGTCTCTTGGCATCTCGTGGGTGTTGTTGAAAATTTAGCAAATACATCAACATACCAACTAAGCTCTAGCTTGCCAATGGAATCACAACCCGTTTCTTTTGTGACAACCAACACAACAAGGAAATTTAGGCTCAAGTCTCCTGTTAAGAAGACAAAGATTTAGAGATCATAGAGGACTTAATTGCTTGGTTGTATTTCTGTTTTCTAATTAATTTGGAGTTTATTATAGGCATGTCCTGTATAAGGACTGCACTGGTGTTTTGGTACTTGAATTTAGGCATTCCTAGAACTTGTCTGTCAATTGCAGACGTTTAGGACCTTTTTGGGATATTTATATATACTGGGAATGCAATTGATTCATTCCCAAAACCCATGATGAAGTTACACAATTTAAATTCTAGCTTTGATGTTAAATTTTTTGAATTTGCTGGATTGAGGGTGAGAGAGAGTAATTTTTTTTTTTTTCTTCCATTGAAATGAAGGACAAGCCTTTGAACAAAAAATGCAAGCCATGAAATGAATGCAGGAAAAAAAAAAAAACAGGAGGGCAAAATCAAAAATAGACCATTGCAATCTGACATGATATTTGGTAGAATAAAGACGATGGAGTAGAGAGAAGAGAGAGAGAGATAAGGAGGTTAACTTTAATTTTTTTGTATTTTAATTTATTTTTTTATTAATTATTTTAGTTCTAGTTCATTAATTAAAATACCCTTAAATTTAACTAAAACTTTAACGGAGTTAGACGTAAGTGGTGAATTGCAACACTTTACAAAGTTCAGGTGGTTACAAATAAAAATTAAAAGTTCAGGTGGTAATGACGCACATGCCTGAAAGTTCAGGTGGTATTTATGCAAATTTCCCTTTGTGAAGATATGAGAATTAAACATGAGTTTTCTGCACCTATTACACCTCAGCAAAATGGTGTTGTGGAGAGAAAGAATAGAGTTCTTATTAAGATGGCAAGGGTGATGCTAAATAGCAAAAATCTTGCTAAACATTTTTGGGCTGAAGCTGTAAATACAGCTTGTTACATCTCAAACAGGGTAAGCCCAGCACAAGTGGAAAATCCAGCAAGTGAGGTGAAGCCCATAAATCCAAGGACGGGCCCAGTACTGGCAATAGACGATGCAACATTAGCACTAGGGACAACGGTCCCAACTGACCCAGAAGGGGTTGGCCCATGAAAGGCTGCTAGTGGGATCCTGCGATGAGGGATGTAACCTGTCGGAGGACGATCATCAGGGTGCATACCCCTGAAAAAGTTCATAGCCAGCGGGGTCAAATTCCAACTCATCGTCATAGTCATCTGGGCCCGCCACAAAACCAGTGCTCAGGGAGCTGTTGACATTGAACCCAATCGTATCTGAATTGCATGGCCATCTTGACCCTGATCTGCTTGGTGTTGGCTTGATACTCCTCGTCCCTATTACGTGCGGCATCCACTAGTTCTTGCTTAAGGTGGTCAACCTTCATCCGTATAGTGCTTTGGCCGCTTCTTAGGTTTCGCAGTTTGTCCAGCTGTTGTTCGAGCTCAGTCTCACATTCCTGATGCGATTCCGCCTAAGTTCGAGGGTTGCCATCTTTTCGCATATCTCGCAGCTAATAGCCTAAAACTTTGCCATGTGCACATTGAGAATTCCAAACATCTGCGAGAAATAAAAAGTGAGCATTAAACAAGCAGCTATGACAGGACATGGCAATTGAAGCACTATGATTGGTAGCCCCACATTTGTTCGTCAGTCATGGTTGTGAAGTCGTTCTCGCCTAGTGAGCTAGCAGGAGTGGGGGCACGAGGGACTTGTTGAAGTCGGGACGGAGTACTTGAAGCAGATACATTGGGTGAGCCCAAACCCAAAACGACTTGTGAAGCATGGCGAGATTTCTTCGCAAACCCGGAGGGCTCGAGCTCTTTTCCCGATCTCTTTTCCCTAAAGCCCAGGACCGACAATGAGCGTGGCGCTGACATATCTGACTGATCAGACTTAGACCCGGATACGCAGTCCTCGGAGCTGCTGTGTTGAGCTAACTCAACCTCTCTTTCTTGAAAGCTAGCCTGGATAAGAGACGCTAAATCCTCGATGCAACAAAGTTCAACGTCGACGGAACAAATGTCTTTGAACAAGTCTATTTCACGCAGGTTTGGATCAACCAAAATGAATTAGAGGTAAGTCACCGAACAACGAGCAATGGAGAGACGAATGAGAGTAGCAAGATCGAGAAAGCGTGTGATATCCCACCCCCGACCAGCTAAGTTCTCCTTCAACCAAGCGATTCTGTCCTCAGAAAGGAGATACCTTTTGTCCGAAGGAAGTACTGCAAAAAAGAGGTTAGTTAGACCTGCAAAAGCACAATAAGCTGTATTTCAAAGACATAAATATGTATACCAGGTTTTCGGCCAAACTCCAATGGGATAGGCATGTTAGACATCTCAGGCGCCGCCCACTCCCCAGTGATTAAGAGAGGTTGGTTTTTCCAGTTCTTAGTGGAAGTGGGCTTACAAGTAAATACCTTTTTACTAGACCCGAAAGTAAAAAAGAAGTAGTGACTTTCCCCCTTAACACAAGTCAAGTCGTACATGTAAATGAAATCCTTAAAGCTAAGGGACACACCTCATTTCAAACTGACGGCTAGAAACCCAAATATGAAAAGGTAAGAATTCGGGTTTAGTTGCTTGGGGTAAAGGCCCAGGAAGAACAGAAGCATATGAAAGAGGGGGTGGAGCGGAAACCTAACATGCTATAAGTGGGCCGGCGAGAGAATTAAGGAACCTCGAGGGATACCAGCATCAGTGTATATATCGGACCCCAAAGGCAGATGATCGATCCCCACATTGTCAGGAACACATCCTTTAGTGCGAGCCTTAAGTATCTCGTAGTTCGGTGGGACACCATCGGACTTGGGTCAAATCTCGTGGCTCGAATTGAAAATAGCAAAGATGAAAATAGTACTTACTAGGTAGTGGCAAAAGCAAGAACCCTTCGAGAGTTCTCAAACGCACAGAACACTTTCCTCTCCCTTCACGCCTAGAGCTTACATGTGAAGAACAAAAGCAAAGTATATACAGTTTTACGGGTGAGTGTTTCTCTACCGATCAGCCTTTTATAACAGGGGGCAAAGATTGGGAAAATAATTCATAGAAGTCACGGGAAGAAGTTTTCCAAAAGCAAAGTTTGGCAACAAAGCCTTGTCTGATATGACCAATCAGAATTATTTCTATCCAACACATGCGTTTCCTGACAGAAAGTTGCATGCACTTTGACAAAAGACAAGTAAGAGCAACAAATGTGAGCAATAAGTGATGCAAGGTAGTGAGTACACCTACGGAGCTAGGCTTGTTCACACCCTCACACAAAGACTAGATCATGAACCACTTGGGAGTCGGTAAAAACTCAAAACCAAGCGCACCCCAACTGAGGTTGGGATCGGCTAGCAAAGAGAAACTAAGAGCCATGGGACTCACCGAATTGGCAAAGGCACAAAACCAAGTGGGGATGGGATCGGCTAGGAGAAAGAAACCAAGAGGTATGGGACCCACCGGATTGGCAAAAACTCAAAGCCAAGCACACCTGGGGATGGGATCGGCCAGGAGAGAGAAACCAAGAGGTATGGGACCCACCGGATTGGCAAAACCTCAAAGCCAAGCGCACTTGGGGATGGGATTGGCCAGGAGAGAGAAACCAAGAGAGATGGGACCCACCGGATTGGCAAAAGCTCAAAACCAAGCGCACCCCAACTGGGGTTGGGATCGGCTATGAAAGATAAAGCAAGGAGCATAGGGCCCATTGGATTAGCAAAAGCTCAAAACCAAGCACACCAACTGGGGGTCGTTAGCAAAGAGGAAAATGCACAGGGGCCCACTAGATCGGCAAAGGTGCAGAAATCTGAAATAAATAAAAAAGGGTCCACTTGCGCATGGGATCGGATGTCCGCACTTGGATACTCCACATAGGGGTAACAGTCCACAGTTGGAAACTGAAAAGTTAGCAACGTGCATGAAAGTTCATAATTGAATATTTCACATGCAAGGTGTGAACGTAACATGCATGGGTTGGTGATAAGCCAATAGGAATCATATTTTTGGGCTTGACCAGCAAGCCCAAGGGAAAAAAGTATGGCTTATTTGGGCTCAGCCATGAGCCCATCAGGATGATATGCGCTCAACCCGAAGAAATCTTGTTCCAAAGTCTCACTTAGATCATTTTTCCCTCTCCACTCGCGAAGCGTGTAGAGAGGAAAAAAGGGGGGCACTGTGGGGACCAAATCTCATTTGTCATGGCTTAACCCATATGCCACAACCAAAAGACGTGGGATGATCGAGCTTCCCTCCCACTAGAGAAGTGTGGAGCGAAGGATATGCAAATCACTCGTCTGATCCAACTACCATGAAGTGGAGGACAGGATGCGCAAAGCTAGGGAAGTATGGCCAAACCCAAGAACTCGAAGCGCTATAAAAACCTGGCTAGACCTCCAGCCAAGGTACGAGAAATTCAATTGAACACTAAGAGTACGCTGCACAAACACTGACTTGAGCGTCGGAGTGACTTTTGCAGGTACTCACCCCTTTTCCGTCGTCTGACCTCGGGAACGTAATCCGTAGTTCTCTTTCAACCAAGGAAGCGTGCGGACTCCAGTCAAGAACCTGTGGAGATATTTCTTCTTGAAAGAAATCCTGCTCCAACAGGAACATTTGTGGATATTTGGAATAGTATTAAGGGAATACCATAATTTGAGGATATTTATTTTTACTTGGCTAGAAACTAGCTACAAAGAACTTGTGTCAACAACAGCAAATGTGAACTTGAGTACTGCGGATGTTCCAACTTCCAACTCGATCTTGGTTGAATACTTCAGAAGTTTTAGATGTTCTAACTTTAAAATTTGTAGATGTTCTAACTGTTATTAAAAATTGTGGTTTTTCTTTTTTAATTATAAAATTTTATTCAAACCCTTTAAATACAAATAATAAATAAAACAAAGCTTTAACAGTAAAGTAAAAATAAAGAAACAAATAATAGATAAGTACAATAATTCTAGAGTGAGAAAGCAAGCCTAGTATAGTGAAAGCACGTCAAAGACATTGTCCTAAAGCCTTTGTAGCCTCCCTACGTGCATGTAATGACAATCTACAAGACTCCAAGGTATGACCACAATACGCAGGCTTAAGGTCAGCTATAAGCACGTTCACAGTCGGATAGAAATCTCCAAGCCATGAACCGTTGCCCAAAAATAATATGGAAAATAGGGAATATATGAAAGTATGAGAACAGAAAAATCTGATTGTGGTGTGTTGAAATGTGAAGGAGGAGTGGCCTTTTATAGGCATCCAACACTCGTAACCTCCAAACATATTTAACTCGAAAATTAAGGCAATGAATAGAAAATAAAAACTGTAAAATTAAACAACTGTAACTCCTGTAATAACTAAAAGAAAACAACGAAAACATTAATAAAAAATAAAAAGTTCAAAATTTTAAAAGCCTTTCAAATAATAACACCAACTACGGAAGCCGCAGTTGTTCGAACTTGGGAAGTCTCAGATGTCACTTCGGTGTTGTGGATGTTCTGACTTCGGAAGTCTCTGATGTTCCAACTTTTGAACTCTCGGACCTTGCCTCCATCAGCCCATGCTTCATCTTCTCCCTATAAATACAAGACCCCCAACAACGTTCAAAGGGTCACCGACCAACAAGCCTCCCATGGAGCAACTTATCTTTTCTTGTCATTTATCTTCATGTCATGCACTTTCAATATCTTTAAATGCTTTCCTAGGAGTAGTGGTAAAGTTAATCCTTCCATCCATCAATATATCATACGACCCTAGATTTTCAAGGCACCGGAGCACCATCCTAGTTACTATTTTGTCCACCCCATATATCATACAACCTTCGTAATCTAGCGAGACGTTAGAGCACTATCCAAATCCACTGACCCCAATCAACAACCTTGTAGCTAAGGCCGTGAATTTGACGGCCGAGAACTGTTCCTTTCTCAACCACAATCGCTTTGAGCGAAGTCAAATCAAACAGGTGCACTCAATCCATCCATCTTCATCCTCATCAAATGCATGGTAGACCGTGCTGGCACGCCCGCGCACACCCTATACAACACGAAGTAAGACGACCTGTGTTGGCTCATATCCCCTCAACCAGGAACACCAGGGCGTAAGATTTGCGCAGCCAACATTTATATTTATGTTTTTTCATAAATTTCTTTAAATGTTTGTTGTTATTCTCATTTTTCTTAAAACCCAACAACGTGCAGGTCACATGACAAAAACTTACATGGACATCCAAAAAATTGACAACAAAATAGTTGAAGTCCTTAATTTACCAAAAAAATAGTTCATGAAGGAAATTGATAATTATGGTATAGTTCGGGGGGCAAAGCAATAGTTTAGTCTTATCACAAAAGCATAGAGTTGTAAGGAAAATTATATGCGAAACACATCTATCAAGTAACTCAAAACACAATGGTCAATAGAAATAAATTGTAGTGCATATTTCACTTCTCATAAATTGTCCATCAACATAAATGTTCACCTTTATCGAGCTTTTAACACGATCACTCTATTAATTTAAATTTATCTCTTTATTTAAATTCAAATTTATTAGTAAGCCAAATTAATATTCAAATCACATTATTAACCCAATCTAGATCCTTTAGCCGAATCCAAATGTCTTAGTCCCAATTAGGATAGGGTTGTTGATCTGATTCCCATTAATTATTTAATCTATTCCTTTTCCTTTTATTTTCATTACTTCTAAGTAAACATGCCATTAATATCCAATGCCTTAGTTCGAATCTATGCCAACCAAGTAACAACAACTCTAGCCCCACTCTTTTCTTTTTGGTGAAACTTAACTCTTCGTTTTGTTGTGCCTCATTATTTCTTTGTTCTTTTGGTCTTTCTTCTCCTTTATCTTTTCTTCATCTTTCCCTCTTTTTCATCTTTTGCATGATTCAACAAATCAATGGCCAGCTTACATCACCTATTGGCTGAACCGAATCATGCCCACCCCTAATTGACCGACCTAAAATAATATGATATGAAGTTAACTTGAGACCGACAAAGCCTACATCTATTCAAACCCATAGTATTTTGGACATATATCAGGCGTAATGATTTTCCAATAAGCCCAATTGAACCCAACCCAAATCCTAATTCATTCAAAAACCTCAATGCTTTATACCTTTTTTTATTAGTCTGTAATTTGCAAAGCTAATTGTGAGCATGGAACATTTTGGTAAAGTCATTTGGGGGCTACATGAATTTTGATGTCATTGTGGGCTCAAAATGGTGATAAGTAAGGAGATTTGGTAAAGTCCTTGAGTCTCTTAACACTTTGCTCACGTTTACTCCTTTAGTCACTGGAAGGTCTTTCACACAGCCTGCCCTTTGATTTTCAAAATGCGAGGTCCCATAGATATAATTCCAATTGCAGAAGACCAAATTTCAGGAGTCTCTGACATCTCTGAAATCTAGTACACTTTCTTACCAAAAGTATCTTGATATCCAATTGTCCGGATAAGTAGCCATTAAATTAATCTTCTACCAAAATTCCCGACAAGAACAACCATCATTCTTGAAATGGTGGAACCTGTTAGTATCCCTGACAATGATTTCCCTCCCTGTACAAGATGATGCAATCTTCGTAAAAGAATGGCAATCACCACAAATCCTAAGATTCTTCATGATCCTGATAGATGCATTTGAAGGTAAGCACATCAACCCCAAAGTAAGAGCAAGTTTCTCGCTGTGGTGCCTCAACAGTTCATGTTTTCTGTTCTCTCCCACATAATGAAGGTCATGTTCAGTCTCAGTCTTATAGCCCATAATCTTCAACTCTTCAATCAAACAGTCCAATTTTGAGTATATCTCAGCAATTCTAGCATGCTTTCTCTCTCCAACCATAAATGAGTGAACTTTGTCCTTGATTTCGATCCAACTCTTCCCTCTCTCCTTCTTCAACTCACTTTCTTTAAGAAGTTTCCTTATTCTTGCAACTTCATCCCATTTCTTATTTGCTGCATAAATGTTTGACAGCAGAATATGGTTTCCGGCATTATTAAGCTCTATCTCAGACAAATGCTTAGCTGCTACCTCAGCCAAGTGAAGTTTTCCATGGATCCTACAAGAAGCCAACAGTGAACACCACATGGAAGCAGTAGCATCAAATGGCATTTCCTCTATCAAATTATAGGCTTCAAGCAACAACCCTGAGCGACCAAAAAGATGAACCATGCAAGAATAGTGAACATTAGGTGAGACATTGTGTTCTGTTATCATGAGGTTGAAGTATTTCCTTCCACTTTCAACCAATCCCATATGACAAGAAGCAGTTAATACAGAAACATATGTTACTTCACTTGGGAATGTACCCATCTGCTGCATTTTCTAAAATAAGATCATCACCTCTAGGGAGCAAGCATGTCTAGCAAACCCAGAAATCATGGTATTCCATAACACAGTGTTTGCCCAACTGCAGTTGCAAATACCGAACTGTGAACCAGGGTTCCAAACAAGATAAGCCCTATCTTGATCAAGCTGGTTAACAACTTTTGCACATGTACCTTCCATGACTACATTGGAGTCTGGAATCTTCAACGCTTTACGCCAAGATGTTAAACCACTCACCCCATTCATCTTTCCAATATCGAGCAAAATCATCCTTCTCAGAATATTCATCAAGCCAGAAGTAGGAATGTACTTTGTACCCAGCTTGTCAACCAACCAATCAACTCGTTTGTACACACTAGGTTTCTTCTCATTCAACAACCTAAGCTTTAGTTGGTTGTGGTAGAACTCCATTGCTGCACAGGTTTCCTGGCTAGCAAGACGAAGATTTTGTAGAGCAGAGATCCACATCCCTATGTCAAAAAACATTTTTCTTGAATGAGTAATTCAAAAATAAAACAAAATTTTTTTTTTTTTTTTTTATTTAAAAAGGCTCAATAGAAAGGGGAGAAAGAAAACAAAAAGGCCACTATCTGCAAGACTAAATATTATGTTGAACCCCACGCAATAAATTGATCTTCTGCCAAATAAAGACTGCTTTACAATTAGCAGGCCAATTCTTAGCATATCAAATTCCCCTGTATACAAATGGATAATATTACATGCAAAGCATAAACTAAATTATATATTGCACAAACACACATACACATGAACATCCACACATTTATGCGATTATATATGTAAAATTTATGAATATACAAAACAGTCACCTGACTGTTTGCCTGCGACGATGACCGCGGTCGAGGTTCCCTCTGTCGGGCATTCCCCATCCCCCTACAATACGTTCCCGGCCTCCTCCCGAGAGTCTGATCCAACGTCTGCGTCAAAATCTGAAATCCAGCATCGTGCGGAGGATCCACAGACTCGATCGGAGTCTCAGGAGGAAGTTGGGAGGCGGACTCTTGAAGAACCAACTGGCTCCTCTCCACCATCGTTGTCTGTTTAACATTACATAAAATATAAATTCAAAAATGCATATAAATTGAAAGCGTAACATAAGAATTAAAATAAATAATACTTACATGAAGGGACTCGGCCAACTCATTCCCAGGTCGAACATAAACGTCACCAAAGACGTCGATCTCTGGGAATTTCGACCCCCCCTTAATTGAACAAGAGAAGGAAAATATTAGTATGAACAAAATAAATTAATAATAATGACGTATTAAAAATTAAATATAAATTATATTATTCTTACCCGACGCCGTGCATCCATCCTATATGAGAAGGGCCTGGAGCCGGAATGGTGGAGAAGAGTCTTCTTCTTCCTATTGCCCTTATTCACTTGGGCTTTATTCTGTTATACAAAAAATAAAACGTAATAGTTGAAATATAAATAAATTAAATAATAATGAGATATAAAAAATAAAATAAACATTAATAAGAAATATGTAATAATTAAACAAATATTATTAAAAAAATACCACATAATCGGGCGCCTGAAAATGAGCGCAGAGCCACGCCCAACTATCCTCCCGCCCCTCAAGCTCCTTCGGGCAACCCTCCTGAAGAGCGACTTGCGGATCATCAAACGCCTGAAAATGGTGGTGCAAGTCGCTCTTCCACTGCTTGTACCTCTCACCGAAGAGTCTGTTGACGTACGCCAAGGTCTCCTCGTTGAGGTCCTCTAAGTGGTAGTTCGTCTGCAATAAATTCATTACATACATTAAGTAATAGAAATATATAAAGTTTGAAAGAAAAATAATTAAAAGATAGGAAACATACCGACAACTGGCCGCGAACTTGCATCTTGATCTCGTCAGGCATGACCTTCCAAGACTTCCATTGCATCGGGCAATGGGTCCGAACGACGTGGCCAATGTCGTGGGCCAAGGAGCTATGCAAGTCCGCCGTCGGTGCAGCCCGATGGCGCTCGTCATATCCGATGCTGATACGACTGTTGGTCACCCGGGTGACCTTCGCCGTCTTCAGCTGCCGACACGGCCCTCGGGTGTTCCTCTTGGCTGCAAAGGGATATGACAATACTGTTACATAAATAACAAATTGAACCATAAAATTAAAAAATTAAAAAAAAATAAAAAAAAAAAACAAAAAAAAGTGGAAGGGTATATATACCTGGAGTGCCCCCGAGGCACCAGTACAGTCGGTCGATGTGGTGTCGGTGGTGGTAGCGGGTCGGTGTCGCCGCCTAGCGCTAAGAGGCTGCACCACCGAAGAAGATGATGATGCAGGCGCCTGGGATCCCCCAGGACCAGCTAGCACGTGGTCCTGCTCCATCAGTGCTGGAGCAGTGGCAGCTGATACCGGCTGAGCCGGGGGCTCCGAACTCGGTGTAGTCGTCACCGCCCTACGACGTCTAATCAAGTCTGACATCTGCACAATTTCATTAATCAAATTTAGCACATACAATGTGATTAAAAAATTGAACTTCAGCTCGATCCAACAGTCCGAACATATCAAACCCGGAAATCGCACAATAGGTTCGATCTGTTCGAGACTCAAACGGTAACCAAATTCCAATCCGAGCACACCTACACGCTCATGACAACGAAATCTTTGCACTGGGACCCAATGCCCTATGCCACAGTACCCCACCGCGCCGGCAGCGCGTGGGTGCCCAAAGCGATAACAATCACCGAGAAATCCTAAAAATTAAGGGCCAAGGTTCCTACCCTAGGTTCAAAACATCAATTGGAGGCACTTTTGTTCTCGGACCTACCCCGAAAAACGGCCGGAAGTGGCCGGAATTTCAATTTCAAAACCGGCCGAAACCTAGGGTTTCAAATTAACTACCCTATGCACACAATCAATCAAATCCTACCCAACCATCAGCTAAAGCATCAAAAATAGTCCAAAAGCATACCTCAATTGCCGGATTTGGTGCCCGGAGGAGAGAGAACAACGGCGGCGAAGATTCGGCCTAAACGGAGGAAATCACGGCGGCAGGATGGACGGCGACGGCGGAGAAGCTCCAGGGTTCGACGGTTGTGGCGGCAGGGTCTGAATTGGGGCGGAGTAGGGGCTGAGGTCACGGCGGAGAGAGAGGGAGGTTTTAGGGTTCAGTTTGAGAAACTGGGGAAGAAGGAGAAGATCGCGATTTTCAGAAAACTTATTCGACTTTGCGCGACGAATAACTAAATGCGTCGCGCAAAATTCATTAAATATATTTTGCGCGACGAAAAAATACTTTCCGTCGCGCAATGTCGCCATGTCCGCCAAAAATTTGGGATTGGGGTTTGAGTTGGCACTTTGCACAACGAAAAAACTTGTTTCGTCGCGCAAGGTTCTGAAAATATCACCTTTGCGCGACGTAGAGACCTACTTTCATCGCGCAAGGTTCTGAAAATATCACCTTTGCGCGACGTAAAGACCTAGTTTCGTCGCGCAACTTTGTCCAGTCGCCCAAATTTTAGGGATTTGATTTTGCGCGGGGAAGATAAATGAAATGATATTGCACGACGAACGTATCGTTCGTCGCGCAAACCTGTGTTTGCAAAAAAATTTTACTAAGTGTTGGGCCAGAGTATGGCTGCAATTGTGCCATGGGTTTGCGCGAGGAAGGGGACTTGTGTTCGTCGCGCAATCTAGATTTTGCCAAAAAAATTCGCTAAGTGTTGGAGCGGAGAAGGGGCTAAAATTCTTTCTCACATTGCGCGACGAATGCAAAGTGAATTTGTCACGAAGGATTTTCTTTGCGCGACAAATTCAATGTGAATTCGTCGCGCAAACCCATACCCTTGTACCCTAAACCCTAAAACCTATACCCTAAGCCCTAAACCCTAACTCCTGAACTAGTTTCAATGATCCAACCAGCAATCTTCTTTTTTATAGTTCGAGATCGTATACGTCGAAAATCAGAATGAATGAACATTCAGAGATTGAGTAACGGGACAAAACTTTTCGACGGTTCTAAACAAATTGTCCCGATTCAACGGTGATTTTAACTCTGATTTTGAAATTTTTTTACAGCTGCAGTTCTTGACCCTATATGAATACAGAGATGTAATTCGATCTTCAATTTCAGATATTTACAGTACAGGACATCACATAATCTTATGTTATACTGAATGAATGTATAAATAAATTCTTCATTTTTGATGAATATTGTGTTTTGATGGAATACGCATTCTAGGAAACTAGTTTCAGTAATCCAGCCGTCAAATATGTTTGTTTATACTTCGAGATCGTATACGTCGAAAATGAGAAAAAAAAACATTCAGAGATCAAGTAACGGGACAAAACGTTTCGACGGTTATAAACGAAAAGTCATGATTTAACGGTTATTTTGACTCTGATTTTGATGATTTTTTACAGCTACACTGTTTAACCCTATGTGAATACAGTGAACTACTTCGATCGTCAATTTCAAATATATACGTGTGTATATATCAGAAATATATATATGTATATGTTTGCGCGACGAGGTCTTTGTTTGTTCGTCGCGCAAAAGTTACTTGCGCGACGGAATTATTTGTCGCGCAAATAATAGAGTATGCGCGACGTGTACTTTTCCGTCGCGCAAAATGTGCGCGACAATTATGCCTTCGTCGCGCAAGGTTATTTTCATTCACATATTATTAAGCTGAATTATTCATCATTACATATAATTAATTGTATGAAAGTATGATTTATTCTATTTTCTTTTGATTTGAGAATTGAAGGATTGTTGATAATCTTATTTTCTTTGTATTCATTTTTTCGGTTATATGGTTTTCATTTTTTAAAAGTTTTTTGTCAAAATAAATTTAAAACTTTATTATTAAAATTACTTGGATATATTGATTTACCAATGGTTTATAACTACATTTATTTTAATAATGTTTCATTTCTCCACATATATAATGTTTGGATATAACAAGTACATATATGAAAACATTTGCATTACACAAAATATGTCCACTAACATAATAAAATTACAAAAAAAATTCATCATTCATCATCTGAACTATAATAACTTTCGTTATCGTCGCTATCATCACTTTCGGTCTCCCAATCCTCCTCCTCCTCCTCCTCTATAACTACATCATCGTCGTTGCTCGGGCCAACTGCAACATCGTATCGCGGAAGATCACCGAGGTCAATTGTAATTGACTGAATCGGTATTTCGATTGAAGACACTCCTTGTATTTGAAATGGCTCTTGTATAACATTTGTATCTCGAAGTGTTTCCGCATCATTTTCCATTGAAGATTCTAAACGTTGGTCAGCCACATTGTCGACGTCGTTGTCAGTTGGGTCTAGTTCTGGTATAGCATACACGTTCCTATGATCCATCTTTTGAACAACGTTCCAACCGCTCCCGGCTTTAGGGTCATCTAGATACACAATTTGTGTTGCCATGTTTGCCAAAATATAAGGGTCGTCATCATACCAAGTTCTGTTCATGTTCACAGATAGTAAGCCATGATCGATTTTAACACTTCCCGGCCTATTTGGGTTGGTGTCAAACCATCGACACTTAAACATGATCACTTGGTATCGATCTTTGTAAAGCAATTGCACGACAGTTGTGAGTTTGCCATAGAAATCAATGTCCGTACTTTCGCCTCCACCTGGGACATGGACACCGCTGTTTTGCGTACACAACTTGTCATCTCGTGCACCCCCAAAAATTTGACGCCGTGACATTACAACCCGAGAACAATTCAGCGCGAATCGGGCCGAACGCCAAGTTATATAACTCATCACTGTAAGTGGGGGAATTCGATGATTTCAACTTATTCACCTAATATTATACAAAACCATTCACATGTTAGTCTGACAAAATTAAAAACTACAATTTATATTTCTCAAATAACAAACACTGATAACTTACAGAATCCAAAAACCATTGTGGAAACAATTCACGGTGTTTCTGGGCAACCAAATGTGATGGATGTTCTCGCTTCATCATCTCTTCATGCTCATATAAGTATCCCATGATCTCATCACAATTGTTCAGTACGAACCAATGCGCTACCTCCATGTCATTTCTAGAAAACGACTCTCCTCGTCCAGGATCTCCAAAGGGTCGTGCGCTTTGGGCAAAAACAGAAAGTTTTTCATTTCTCATACCTCCGTCATGATTGCGCTGAGGACGATTGAAAACCGTCTCCACATCTTTTAAATACATTCCACAGAAAGTAAGCGACTCATATTGAACCCAAGCCTCTACATTGATCCTTCGGGCTTCGCCCTGTTGCGTACACTTTTTTTCAGCTCTCCGAGAAGCCTGCCAAAATAAAACGATATGATACAAATTAGCAAGCATGTGATAATGATGCATACACAAACGATAAGGATTATATACCTTTCTATTGGATACATCCAGCGATAGTTGACAGGACCAGCAAGCAATGCCTCTTCTGGCAAGTGAACCATCACGTGCATCATACTTGTGAAGAAAGCTGGAGGAAATATCATCTCAAACTTGCATAGGACTTGGACAATGTCATGGCGCAACTGAAACATGTCTGTTTTTCGCAATGTTTTTGCCGTCAGTTGGGAAAAAAATCTGGACAACAAAATGATTGGCTTCACTACATCTTCCGGCAATAGGTGTCGAATACCCACAGGAAGTAGGCGTTGCATAAACACATGGCAGTCATGGCTCTTAAGTCCAGTAAATTTACCCCCGTCAACATTCACACAACGTGCGATATTAGAAGCATACCCATCGGGAAACTTTACAGACGATACAAACTTTAGAAACTCTTTCTTGTCATTCGGTTTCATAGAAAAGAATGCAAGATCCCTTCTAGCTTTATCACTGTCCCTATTCATCCATAAACCCCTTCGTATGCCCATTCTTTCCAAATCAAGACGAGCTTTGATCGTGTCCTTTGTCTTGCCCTCGATATCTAGAATCGTGCCCACCAATGTGTCGAATACATTTTTCTCAACATGCATCACATCTAGATTGTGCCTCAATTTGAGTTTCGACCAATATGGGAGCTCAAAAAACATAGGCTTGTGCGTCCAGTTCATATGTGTAGAAGGTCTGATCCGACTAACTGTTTTCCCGAACGGAGCAAAATCCAAACGGTTAAGCTAGTCCAATATCTCATCACCGGACCATTCTCTAGGTCTGAGGCGACGCTCTGTGTTCCCGTCGAACTCTTTATCTTTTTCCCTCCACTCGTGGTCCCATGGCAACCATCTCCGATGACCAAGGTAACAAACTTTTCCAGCGTGCCAACCAGAAGTTACATCTTCCTTGCATACAGGACATGCCATATAACCCTTTGTGCTCCACCCAGAAACCATTGCATATGCTGGGAAATCATTCACAGTCCACATAACTGCTGCCCGCAAAGTGAACATCTTCCCAGTTGATTTATCGTACGTGCGAACACCGTTTGTCCATAAATCCTTCAGCTCATCAACCAGCGCCTTAAGTAAACATCGATTGACCTCCAGGATCCTCAGTTATCAAAACAGTCATCATCATGTATTCTTTTTTCATGCATTTCCAAGGCGGCAAATTATATGGGAATACGAAAATCGGCCAAGTGCTGTGGTGTTGGTTTAGAACCCCATACGGATTGAATCCGTCAGTGGCAAGTCCCAATCTAACATTTCGGGGATCAGCAGCAAACTCGGGGAACGTTCGATCGAACTCTTTCCATGCCTCCCCATCTGCAGGATGCCGCATCACATCATCGTCTACCCGTTTTTTCCTTATGCCATCTCATGTCTGTGGCAGTATGCGTCGACATATACAATCGCTGCAACCTAGGTTTCAGGGGCAAATAACGCATGACTTTTTGTGGGATCTTAGTCGTTCTATTCTGAGATGTCATTTTGAACCTCGACTCATTGCATATAGGACATGTATCCAACGTTTCATGCTCTTTGTAGAATAACATGCAATTGTTTTTGCAAGCATGAATTTTTTCATAACCCAATCCCAAGACCATTCAACACCTTCTGCGCGTGTTTATGGTCTTTCGGCAAACAATTGTCCTCGGAAGCATTCTCTTGAAAACCCCCAAAAAGTAATCGAAACACAGGTTCGAATACGATACTTTATTTTTCCGTGCATTAGCTCCACAATGGCCGTGAGAACGGAAAAGCTCTCGCACCCGGGTATAACTCTTGGTTGGCATTTTTTAACAATTTTTCATATTGTTCAAACTCCGCACTGGTGTTAAAAAAAAAAAAAAAAAAAAAAAAAAAAAAAAAAAAAAAAAAAAAAAAAAAAAAAAAAAAAAAAAAAAAAAAAAAAAAAAAAAAAAAAAAAAAAAAAAAAAAAAAAAAAAAAAAAAAAAAAAAAAAAAAAAAAAAAAAAAAAAAAAAAAAAAAAAAAAAAAAAAAAAAAAAAAAAAAAAAAAAAAAAAAAAAAAAAAAAAAAAAAAAAAAAAAAAAAAAAAAAAAAAAAAAAAAAAAAAAAAAAAAAAAAAAAAAAAAAAAAAAAAAAAAAAAAAAAAAAAAAAAAAAAAAAAAAAAAAAAAAAAAAAAAAAAAAAAAAAAAAAAAAAAAAAAAAAAAAAAAAAAAAAAAAAAAAAAAAAAAAAAAAAAAAAAAAAAAAAAAAAAAAACAATCAGTTTGCCATAATTGATACAATACTTCTTTGACCTACAAATTCGAAAGACAGACCACATTCTAACTACACGACCAGGAAACTTCTCCAACAGAATATTGCGCAATCTCCAAGCCACATTGAAACGTGGAATGGTTAGGTCAAACCTACATCAAGGATGAAGCACATCACCAATTAACAATGAAGATGAATAGATGAGGTTGAGGAAATAAAAACAGTTTACAGTAGTCATACTTCTGATAAACACTTTGTAATTGAAAGGGAAGGGAGGTGAAAAAGAAAAAAAGAAAAAAGAAAACCCGACCCGACCGACAAAAGCCGCCTAGACCCGCCTAAGCCCTGCCGACCCGCCTAGCAATTTCAGTTACATTGGCAGGCAGTCTAGTCTAGTTTATGAAATCAAAGCCACCAAGTGGACTGAGAACCACAACATTCGGGAGGATTTAGCAACAAGAAATGCTATTCTTGTTTGGTTCCCGAGAAATGAAAGACAATTACTGCTGAGCCCCGGGAAAGTCAAAACTTGACTGAAATTTCCTTTGAAGCCAAAACAGAAAAAACCCAAAACTGAGCAAGTTCAAACTTTTTGCAAAGAACAGATGTATTTTAGGAGATGAGCTTTAGGATTGGGTGACACTTGTCACAATCTGCGTAGAGGAGTGTTTGATATTATGTAAGCTATATAGAAGACTTTCTATGTAAGGACTGATTCATAAGAAAATAATTATCAGATGTATTCTCTCTTCTAGGTCTCGATCTAGCTACCTCTCTCGCTCTCTCTCTCTGGTTCCTTGGTTTCAAATATACCTATCAACCTGAGATAGAGTAAATTGGTATCAAATCGCCCATTGTGCTTTAAACTTGAAGGTTTTTAGATCCTCTGATGCTTTCAGCATTATCTTTGATCGGGCCGTACATTTCTTCCGATCGATACTTCATCTTCTCCCTTTCTGGATTTCTGCAATTCTAGGGTTTCGTGTCTCTCTTCTTCTTGATACGGTTCTTTCGAATCCTTGCACAGCAGGTGTTTGTGGGTATTGGTCACACCACAAGGGTTGATCTTGCAATTCACGATGGTGGACGGATTTCGCAGCTTCAGTTGTCTTTCCATCTCCAATTACGGCCTCTTATTTCCTTCCATTCTACATCTGTTAATGTCAAGCTGGATGATTCGACAACACCTCAATTTGGAACTTTCAGAGTTGCAACTTTTGCTTTGAAAGCCAATGACATCAGGGGGTATTGTGATGGTTCGGATCCTTGTCCATCCAAAACACGGGCGACCTCTGATGGAAATATGGTAATCATTTCTTCTTATCCACTGTGAAATATATGTGGTATGGAAAATGAGACAGAGCTATTATTGCAATTGATCCACTAAAACCATTATCACTATTTGCTATGTCTTGTGCGATGGTAGCACTAGCTCAAAGGATCTGTGGATTAGGCTAAAGGAACAATTTTCCCACTGTATCTCGGACTAGAATTTTTCAGATGAAATCAATTTGCAAACAATTAAGAAGGGTTCTGATTCGGATATATCTCAGATCTTATCGCATTAAAGGAAGCAGGGACTATCTTTGCTGCTGGGGTTGGTACTTTGCGGGATTGGGCGAAAAGGACATTGCATTCTTGCCTTGAATGACTACCTGCTGAGTGTAAACACCTTCAGAGGTGTTTATAGGGGGGCGTGAAAAGTGTGATTTTCTCTAAAAAGATTTTCGCTCACAGGTACTGGCAGAGGAAAACCCCAATGGTTGAACCATTCTGTTTAAAACCCTCTTATGCAAGGCCGATGGTTGCTAATACAGGTTCCCTTACACAAAGGGCTCCTTTTCAGCATAGAGTTTCTCCCATACATGGTCCCATTCTCAGGGTGGCCCACTAGAGGTTGTACACCTTATACCTGGGAACAAGAACAAGGGACAGGGCAGATTCCTAAGGTCTAGATTATCTTTCTAGACCAGGGTTTCTCCTATGGGCACCATATGCTTCCCAAACTATTCCTGGAGTTCGTGGTCAATCACCCTGGGTCCAAACAGTTTGGCCAACTTCTCTTCTGCAACCCATGGATTCAAATCTGTCAAATTATGGCAACTATGAGGACCATGCTGCCATTCTGTGGGGATTTCTCATGAGAAAAACAAATGTCACATCTGTGGTAGAAAGAATCTACCACTGGTATTGCTTCTATAATTGAAGAGGGTCCAAAAACTATATTGGGATACTACCACTGCTTTCCATTTATTTGCTGCACGGTCAATACTATTCCGGTGCAAAACCACTGAATTTGCAGTACACTTTTCATATCAAGGGCTCCTCCTCAGCCTTCCCATGCACCACCTTTCACGTGTTTCCGGCTCCGCCAAAACACCCTTTATGCAAAGCCTGAACACAGAGGTGCTTCAATTCTGCATTCTCAATTCATCCCAAGTTTCAAGGTTCTTTCTACGGTATGGCTCACTGATTCCCGGTGCCACCAATCAAAAAAATGACAGTGATTTGACTAATCTGTCACTGGCCTCCCCCGTATCCCCAACAAAGGAACAATTTCAACACGGAAAAACGGTGAAGGTTTTTAAAAAAGTGTCTCATGTTGGTCATTCGACCATTCATACATCAGTTTCCCCAATCAAAATTGAACTCTGTGCTCTATGGTTCTCAATTAAACTCAGAAACCTTGTGTCAGTAAATCGAATTTGTTCTGACAATAAATTGCTGGTTATATTTGATGCCTTTTGTTTTTGGATTCAGGGACAAAGCCAACAGGGAGGTCCTTTACAGAGGGCTTGTGGCAGGAATGGACTATATCCTATCCACTCCTTGTCCACTTCAAAACTCACAGACAACTCTAAGCTTAAAGGGCATCTTTGGCCAACGTGTTCAGTTCTAATCTGTGGAACCATGATAGGTTAGGCACCTACCCCAATAAATGTTGTTTCTTTGATTGTTGAATAAAGCTAATTTCATGGTCACCAAAAAACCTATCCCCTATGATGTGTAATACATGTTAGAAGGGAAATTTAGCAAAAACACCTTTGCCAACAACCAATCTCAATAAGTTCCTGTAACACTCCTCTTTGAATAAATAATCCCATACTGATTTGGGGGGGTCCTGACACCTGTATATCAGTTGATGGTTATAGATACTACACAATCTTTGTAGGATTGAAGGGTACCAGATATTGCTGGTCTTTTCCATGAATCACCCAAGTCTTGATTTGTTCACTCTGCGTTTGGTGCCTTTATTCTTTGTTGTACTCAAATTTTCTGCTACAATTAAAAGTCTTCGGGCTGAATGGGGGGGGGAGCGTATTACCAGCAACCACCAACATTGAAAAAATTTATGCTTGAAAAAGGGGGCAGTTAACATCACCTTCTCTTGTATACTCCTGAACAAACTGGGGTTGCTGAGAGGGAAACATAGGCATATCATTGAAAACCACTATCACCTATTACAAAAAGCCAATTTCATCTCAAGTTCTGGTCCTATGCTTGTCAAACAGCCACATATCTAATCAATCGTTGCCTACTGCTGTTCTTCATAAACAAAATCTCCTTTTGAGATGTTATTTGGGGGATATCCAACCCCTTTGCTTCACCTTAGAATTTTTTGGATGTGCTGTTTTCTTTACTCAAACAAACTATAATAGCACCAAATTGCAGGCCCAAAATACTACAAAGTGTGTGGTTATTGGGGCTGCCCACCCAAATATAAAGGGTATTTGTGCTAATCATGGCCTACAAAGAGAGTGTTGTTTCTAGGGCATGTTATCTTTGATGAATGCCATTTTTCCTACACAGATTTATTGCCCTACACATTCAAACACATTCACATTACACAATCATGGCCACGTTCCAATTGTTCAATGGCCCTAGGTTACTAACGAGAAATATAGTTGTCACAACCAATTCAGATTTACTCCTCCAATTCTGGTTCTCCATTAACCCTACTCCATCAACATATATAACCTGCTTCAGTTTCCTAACAAAACATTCTGCCTCCGATTTTTTAAGTTCTCCCAGTCCCAGTCATGCTGCTTCAATTCCAGCTCTTCTCCCTCCCTGTGGCACTTGACATTCAGCTCTAGCCTCGGATTAGAAACACATGATTATTCCTGATACTTTACAAAGTGTGGTTGTCCATTCCTCCACAATCTGCATCACCCATGCAACAACTAGAAGCAAAGGAGTGGGAGTATTTAAAAAGAAAAAGCTCTTCTTAGCAAGTGTTAAGGGAGACTATGGGGGAATGCTATGTCCTTGGTTGAACCAGTTAGGTGAAGGTCTGCCATCAAAGCCCGTGTGGTTACAGGCCATGAAAGAAGAAGTTAATGCTTTACATACTCAAGGCACTTGGAGTCTAGTCAATTGCCACAAACAAGAACCGCGTGGTTGTAAAAATGGATTTTCAAGATTAAGACACTCATATGGGGTCTATTGCCAGACCACAAAGCCACGGTTAGTTGCTAAGGGTTTCAGTCAAGAACTGGATTGGATTTATGGGAGACTTTTAGCCCTTGGTGAAGCCTACCCCGTTAGGTTTAGTTCTTGCTCTTGCTGCTCATTTCAATTTGGCCTCTTCGACAATTAGATGTCAAAAATGCTTTTTTGCCTGGCATCCTACAGAGAGAGTATACATGTCTCACCCTCCTGGTTTTGAAGATCCCTCATCCTCATCTTGTGTGAAACTGCATAAATCTCTATATGGGGCTAAACACGCTCCTAGGGCATGGAATGATCGGTTTTACTCAGTTTCTTCCTTCTTTGGGTTTTGAAAACACCATACTCTGACTCCTCATGTTTGTTAAGCATGTTGGTCATGAGATTGTGGTTCTGCTCCTCTATGTGGATGACATCATTATATACTGGCAGTGCTTCTGGTGCAATTACCCAGGTTATTAGTGCTCTTACTACTGAGTTTTGATATCAAGGATTTAGGGTTGCTCCACTATTTCTTAGGGATTCAAATCACTAAACTGCCACTGGTTTGTTTCTGTCACAAACCAAATATGTTGTTGATCTATTGGTTAAATCTGAAATGTTTGAAGCTAAACCATGTGATACACCATGCCTCCCTTACAACCGGTTACTCAAAGAGGATGGGGAACCTTATTCCAATCCTAAGTTGTATAGAAGTATTGTCGGCGCTCTACAATACTTAACTTTCACTAGGCCAGATATTGCGTTTTCTGTGCACCAAGTCTGTCAGTTTATGCAAAATCCAATGGTGTCTCATTTTACTGCAGTTAAACGTATATTACGATATCTAAAGGGCACAATGCAGTTTGGTATCTCATATACTAGAGGAGATTTGCAGTTAAAGGCCTTTAGTGATGCTGATTGGGCAGGGGACCCTAATGACAGAAGATCTACTACTGGTTTGGTGGTATTTTTGGGTAACAATCCAATTCGTGGTCCTCTAAGAAGCAACAAACTGTTTCCAGATCATCAACCGAAGCTGAATATCGAGCCTTATCCTTTACCTCAGCTGAATTGGATTGGATCAAACAATTATTAGCATTTCTGCACATTCCACTACCTAATGTGCCTGTCCTCTTTTGTGACAATCTCTCAGCCATTGCCTTATCTTTTAATCCTGTTCAGCATCAAAAGACCAAACACATAGAGATCGACGTGCATTTTGTTCGCGAAAGGGTATCACGGAAACAACTCTCTGTGCAGTTTGTGTCTTCCCAAGAGCAATTTGCTGATATTCTTACAAAGGGGTTGAGTGGTCCTCTTTTCAGAACTCATTGCTGCAATCTCATGCTTGGTTCCTCACAGCATGCTCTTGAGGGGGGATGTTAGAGTATAGAGCTTTAGATTGTGACACTTGTCACAATCTTGCTGTAGTAGTTAGTTTGTTTGATATATGTAGCTATATAGAGACTTTCTCATGTAATTACCGATTCATTAAGAAATATATCAGATTGATATTCTCTCTAGCTTCTCTCTCTAGCTACTCTCTCTACTCTCTCTCTCTGTTCTTGGTTCAATATACCTATCAGCTGATATAGCTTAACATGTATGAGTATGACCCGAAAAAGGAAATAAGAAACCTTTTCTTTGTTTTTGGGAAGTAAAGAACACAGCGTTTCATCACTCTTCAGTCTCATCCAATTATTGATTAAAATATTTTTCCTGAAATAAAATATCAATTTTACTGTCACATTATCGATCGGGACAAGCATTCAATAAAAAGAAAATTTCGCTGACGTTCATGGGTTTTTGCTATCACTTTGTCTTCACTCTGCAAAGCCATCTGGCTTACTTACTGTTTCATTCTCTAAAAATGACCACTATAAAAGTGGAAGTACACTTTGGTTATTAGTTGTTACTCAATTTACACGACTGCCACTGTTCAGTGTTGACCATTATCTGGTTGTGTTTGTTTTCTACTTCTGAGTGGCGTTTGTTGTTTTTGGGCAGGAGTTTGACTTGACAAATGAAAGGTTCCTTGTGCCGGAGATGATCTTCCATCCTGCTGATTTGGGTTTGTCTTATATTCTGGTTTCAAAGTACACACTTTTGGGGTTTTAGTTTGATTCTTGAAACAAATACGACGTATGATTCTTTGTTGTTGAATGAAACATTACAGTATCCTTTTGTGGTTCATGTTGGCTAGGGGTTATTACTTCTGCAAGTTGTTGCTTGATTCATGTAGATTAGCTGATTCTGTAGAATATGATACTGTGTGGCATAATAGGAGGTATTTAGAAATTCTATAACTTGTGTGAACATTGTATGTGATATAGTAATGACTAGCAAAGGTACCGCGCGATGCTGCGGGTTTTAAAACCGTGTCAAATGTATACAAAATCGTGAAAATATGTATGAAAGATGGTATTATTTATATAGACATGGAGATCCAAATAGTGGCATCATGCTTTGTTTAGCAAGTTACAAAAAAAAGACTAATAACATGTTTTATAAGCTGCTTGTCATGTAAAAATATTGACCATATTTTAATAGACCAAGCAGCAATCAAAACATCAAAATATCAGCAATTTTGAGATGTTCATTGTTCAAAAGAGTTTGGACAGGTCCTTGATGTCTGTTGGAAGGGGATCTTTCGGTTGATGGCTTTACTATAGAGGTGGCTTCTGTTCTTTCTTGTCCTTTTTGGTAAAAAATTTGAAAAATGGTAGGTGTTGGTGCAAACAAATAGGGAAAATTTAGTGAAGACAATGACTATTATTACAGAATTAAGGCCACAAAATCATCTGCACAAACCACAATTTAATACGCCAAGCATTCTACGAATGTGGTGGGCAAAAGTATAAAAATATGTTGTTGCCACAAATTATTAAATACCTATAACAGAATGAAACCAAAAGACCCAGACTTTAATAGAATCAAACCAAATACCCATAACAGAATCAAACCATGTGCAAGTTTGTTGTACAAAAGAATAAATTATCTATAGACACCTATGGTCAAAACTGATACATGTATTGCCATTTATAGGCTATGTTAATTTAATGGAGAAGCTATAAAACCAGAAATAACCTATAAACACCTATAGGTTGTAGAACCCTAATCAACTTACTGATAGCATCAAGGGAAGCCAAGAGGACCTGTCCAGGAACTATGGCAAAGAATGCATTCCCTGCTTGGGATTTAACCAAAAGTCCTATCACTGATCAAACCGCAACACCAACCCCATCAAGCACAGATTTGCCAAGCTTTGATGCCATTTTTGACAACTACTATCACTGAATTAGCAAAATAAAGTTGAAAGAACTGATAAGAAAAAATAAATTTAATGTGTTATAACTTATAACCATAAAAACTTAAAAAGAAATTCATATAGTCCTCAGGGGAACCTTTCAAATTGATTCAGTATGAAATCTAACATAAAAAAATCATAAGATAAACCTAACCTCCAACATAAAATACCCATTTCATATGAGATTTCCTTCCCTGTTTCTGCTTCATGTCACCTATATACCAAAGAAAAGATATCAAGAGAAATATCATTTTAAGCACAACTATGAAGGAAGAAACACATTCATTGTCCACATCTCAATTCATTATAAGGTATAAAAATAAACCATAACTAATCCTAAAATTAAGGATTTAAAGTAACAAATTTACAATAAAGATTTAAAAAAAGAAGTTAAAACTTAAAATGGAACCAAGTGAAGGAAGAGAAAACTACCAAAGGCTATGGTGGAGCATAAAGCATTTAAGTTTTTGAGAGGAATGTGCAGAGAAATAGGGTGTAAAAGAAGGTGTGGATATGCTGATAGGTTTTGATAATATTCGAGAGGATGCCTCTGGCGCAGCCTCCTTCACATCTGCCACCAAAGCCAAACATCAAATACAAAATACGATTCAAATGATCGAAACAAAATTAGAAAAAAGGGAAATAAATGTGATAAAAGAGTGACGCTTTGGGGTCAAAGGTGGAGACCTTTGGCAACAAATTGGATTTCGCCAGGAGGAGAGTTGAGAAGGAACCACTTCCCCACCGCAAAAAAAAACATTGACTACATTAGACACTGACAAATAATCAAAATGGGTACAAATTTATTAATTAGAAAAAAATAAAGTATAAACGGCAAAGAGAACAAACCTCATTAATGGCAAGCACTTGGCCATTGCTCTTCTTGACCTTCTTCAGCTTCCTCATGAAATACCTAATCCAAACAAATCAATCAACAATATTAAGTTTAACCCAAAATTCACCAATGAACATTTGGGATCACAAAAGCCAAGCTAAGGCTAAGGCTAAGGATTATTCCTGAACTTGGACTTGGCGTGAACCTCATTTGTGGCCCAGAGCTTCATAATTCTCCACTTGTTTAGTACATACACAAAGGACTTTCAACAAGCTCAGGCATTGGTGGTGCTATTACCTTAATAATTAGCTTGCATATTAAAAGTTTCATGATCCTGCAGGTTTCTTTGTCGGCAATCTGGCCTTCGCGAAGAATATCAGAAGTCAAGGGAGTGCCACCATAGGGGCTCTGTACCAGTGCTAAGCCAGCAACTTTGTCTTTCAAATCACACCAGTAGATTGACAATGCAGCTGCAGCATCAACACTGCCCTTGCTGTGCCCCAGCAGCATCACACGCTTACCAGATCCCCAGTAAAGCTCCTCAATATATTGCTTGAGTTCCATGCATTGTGCTCAATAGATGCCTTTATCCAAGAAAACATATGAAAAGGGAAGACAAATTTCACAAAACTCAGTCAGCAATGATCACGGAGTAATGACTCATTACCTCACTGTGAATTTTTGCAATGTGGCAAGCTAGACCCATCTTCGAAAAGAATTTCTTTGTTCCAACAAAGTATAAGGGGCCGTGATTGCTAGACATACAAGCAATAGGAACATACAAGAATAGACTAAACAGATATGATAACAAAATTGAACACAGTTCCTTAACAGTTCTAACCATCTAGTGCAGTGGAGCTATTATACTAGCTTGGTACCTTATTCTTGCTAGGCGGGTGCCCCTTTTTTTAAATAAACAGTATAGCCGCTCGGCTGTACGCCGAATTATTTCCTGTATAATAGAAGTATAGCCGCCCGGCTTTACTGGGGTCTTTTTTATAAATAGTATAGCAATTCATTTGTGTAAGCTAACAAAGAAATTTTGAAGGTTTTATCTGACTCAGCATTTGATTGTTATATTTGCCAAATCAGGAAAAGTCAAAGTAACAACAAAGTTCTTTAAATTGACTGATACTACTGAGACTTCAAGAGAGTCTTCAGAGATATATTAGAAACCAAGATCCATCGGAGCTATTCATCTATAATTTTGACAGCATATTAATCGCTACGAACAATTTCAGTATCACAAACAAACTCAGGGAAGGGGGCGGATTTGGTCCAGTTTACAAGGTGAATTTTTTATTTTGCCTTTTCTCTTTCTAAAGGAAAAAATTGTATCACAACAGCTACAATTCTATACAACTACAAGATAAGGACAACAGAAGGTTGTTTACTTAGATCAAGTCCAGGCCTGTCAGGTCGGGTAACTCCTGCACAACCTAAGTGTACGAACCTACACGGAACACAGGCAAAGAGATTCTTTAAAGACTAAAACAGAAAGCACACCTAGCAGATCAATTATGTTTAGTCATAAGAAGATAATCCAACAAAATGAAAAGAATGTGAAACCTGGTAGCTTGGATCTGCTCGATGTCGTAGGAGATTCTTTTAATCTGGGACTACAAATTAAAGTTATTAAAAAAGAGAAATTCAGATTATGATGTTCAATGGGTATATCCGAGCGGCTATAACTTTGAAAAATTCTTTTTAAACATTATAGCCGCACGGCTATACTTTTGAAAAATTCTACCGGCGGTTATACATGAGAGTTGCAGACGTGATGGCGGCCATTGCAACTGCAGCATCATTCTTCTGCTCGTTCTGGTCACCAGATTGAGGTGGGCCTGCTGGTTCCAAGACCTTGATGATCATCTTCTGGCCTCTCTCGCAGTGCCCAGAAACCCCACTAATGAAATAGAACAAACCAGGCCGGTCCAATGTGAACACGGTCACACCATTGTTGGAGAAGAAGATGGGATGAGCAGAATGGCATTTTTCGTACTCGTCCTTGGTCACCACCATCACCGAGTCTTTGGTAGTTGAAATCTAAGTCCATGAAAAACAATATCTATAAAAATTAAAAATAAATAAAAGAGTCCCGCCTAGGCAGCCGCCTAGCGCCTAGGCGCCCGCCTAGCTCCTGGGCACCCACCGCCTAGGCCGATTTTCCGAAAATGACTATCTAGTAGCTCAGGGCAAGGCATCGAAGAGTTGAAGAATGAGTCCATGAAAAACAACATATATAAAAGAAAAGACCCGCCTAGGGTGCCGCCTAGCTCCTGGGCGCCCACCGCCTAGGCTGATTTTTCGAAAATGACTATCTTGCAGTAGCTCAGGGCAAGGCATCGAAGAGTTGAAGAATGAGTCCATGAAAAACAATATCTATGAAAAATATAGTAACCATCCATCGCTGATCACTGCAATTAGAAGAAAAGGACCCCCACAAATGACATAATGCAGGACATGAGAGTTGCAGAAGTGATGGCGGCCATTGCAACTGCAGCATCATTCTTCTGCTCCTTCTGGTCACCAGATTGAGGTGGGCCTGCTGGTTCCAAGACCTTGATGATCATCTTCTGGCCTCTCTCGCAGTGCCCAGAAACCCCACTAATGAAATAGAACAAACCAGGCCGGTCCAATGTGAACACGGTCACACCATTGTTGGAGAAGAAGATGGGATGAGCAGAATGGCATTTTTCGTACTCGTCCTTGGTCACCACCATCACCGAGTCTTTGGTAGTTGAAATCTAAGTCCATGAAAAACAATATCTATAAAAATTAAAAATAAATAAAAGAGTCCCGCCTAGGCAGCCGCCTAGCGCCTAGGCGCCCGCCTAGCTCCTGGGCACCCACCGCCTAGGCCGATTTTCCGAAAATGACTATCTAGTAGCTCAGGGCAAGGCATCGAAGAGTTGAAGAATGAGTCCATGAAAAACAACATATATAAAAGAAAAGACCCGCCTAGGGTGCCGCCTAGCTCCTGGGCGCCCACCGCCTAGGCTGATTTTTCGAAAATGACTATCTTGCAGTAGCTCAGGGCAAGGCATCGAAGAGTTGAAGAATGAGTCCATGAAAAACAATATCTATGAAAAATATAGTAACCATCCATCGCTGATCACTGCAATTAGAAGAAAAGGACCCCCACAAATGACATAATGCAGGACATGAGAGTTGCAGAAGTGATGGCGGCCATTGCAACTGCAGCATCATTCTTCTGCTCCTTCTGGTCACCAGATTGAGGTGGGCCTGCTGGTTCCAAGACCTTGATGATCATCTTCTGGCCTCTCTCGCAGTGCCCAGAAACCCCACTAATGAAATAGAACAAACCAGGCCGGTCCAATGTGAACACGGTCACACCATTGTTGGAGAAGAAGATGGGATGAGCAGAATGGCATTTTTCGTACTCGTCCTTGGTCACCACCATCACCGAGTCTTTGGTAGTTGAAATCTAAGTCCATGAAAAACAATATCTATAAAAATTAAAAATAAATAAAAGAGTCCCGCCTAGGCAGCCGCCTAGCGCCTAGGCGCCCGCCTAGCTCCTGGGCACCCACCGCCTAGGCCGATTTTCCGAAAATGACTATCTAGTAGCTCAGGGCAAGGCATCGAAGAGTTGAAGAATGAGTCCATGAAAAACAACATATATAAAAGAAAAGACCCGCCTAGGGTGCCGCCTAGCTCCTGGGCGCCCACCGCCTAGGCCGATTTTTCGAAAATGACTGTCTTGCAGTAGCTCAGGGCAAGGCATCGAAGAGTTGAAGATTGAGATTCTTTTGATCTCCAAACTCCAACACAAGAATCTTGTCAAGCTCAACAAAAGCTTGGATATGATATCGATATTATTGGGTTAGTTTCACTGGCCCTTTATGTTTGGCCAAGTTTCTCATTGTCGCCTAATCTTTCTTCAGTATCATTGATAATGTCTGAGTTCTTCCTATCCTAGTATGCGGAACTCAGGGTGACTATTGATTTCATTTCTAATGGCAATGGGTGTATTGATTAGATCCAATGAGAAGAGCAGTGTTTGATTGAGCTAAACGCTTCAATATTATTCAAGGTATTGCTAGAGGACTTGTTTATCTCCACCATGATTCCTGTTTTAAGGTAAGTAATATTCTGTTGGATGAGAAGATGAGCCCAAAAATTTCAGATGTTGTATATATAGACACCAAGCAAAATTTAGCTTTTTTTATATTTTCCTTGGTGTCTATATATACAAGAGTTCGTCTTCTTATAATTTTCATTAAAAGGAACCTTCTCTCCTTCCCTTCCCAGTATATATAGGCCGCCACTCTCATATCTTAAATTAATTTAATATTGTGCATGATTTGACTGCTGTTATTTTTAAGCACTCTCCCAAAACTAAATTGTGGTGCTAAATTGTTTTGCTCTACTTCTTTTTCCATTTTGTTTGCCACTACTGCCTTGCATAACCAACCAATTGTGCTATGTTTTGAACAGGTTGGTAGACTGCAGCGCAAATGGATGGGCAAAACTCAACTCATTAGTAGTACTCTCCTACCCAAAGAACGAAACATGGCAAGGCTGGTGAGGAGAGATGCCAGGCCCATACGATACTTTGTAAACTGCCTGGTTGGTTGTGATGAACACAGCCACGCAGGAACTAGCAGTCGTAAGCTGAATAGAAAAAAAACGCTGCTGCAAGTTACCATTTCTTCATCTTCTTTTTTAATAAGTGTGTTACAAAAACACAAAAGAGAAGAAAGAATTTCACTCAAATGAATGGTCAAGGCTCATAAATTAAAGCCCCAGTTTGTCTATATATTTGGCCCTGTAAATTGCTATTTAGTAGCATTGGGCCAGAAACAGATCCAAAATAATTGAACCAAACTTTGCATGGGTTTGATGTGGCTTTGAGCAAACCCAATTCCAAATTTTCATATTTCCATTCATCAAATCACATATTTACACGTTGACGGTCCAAATTGAAACAACCAAAAGCATGAACCTGCTCCAATTACCCCCTCAAAGAACTTCACTTAAGTTGACGGTCCAGATTGAACCCCTCAAAGTACCCCCGCACTATAAGACCCTCATTATAGAAGATCTTTAAACCTTAATACAATTCTTTTTTTCTATTTTTAAAGTACAAGAGATATCAGAGCATGGGGAAATCGAAACAAAACCACTTTATAAATGAAATACCACAGCCAGAAAGCATTTTGTACCGTTGGATGGCTAGGAGTGTATCTAAACTATTTTTAGTCTGTAGCTAAGGCATTATGTTATCTTTATGAATTCATTAAACAAGAACTTTTCTCATATATGGTGGATTCCAGGCTTTGTTCTCTTAAGTTAATCGTTTAATTGCCTTGTTACGTGTTGCCACAATCACATAGTTAACCTTGAAAGATGTAGTGGATGCCACTAGCATGGTATCACCTCGGTGGAGGCGTCTAGTGTTGCATCCAATACTAACAAGGCTCAATCTTGAATTCGACATTCCAAACGTTTTCGGAATCAGCATTGATGATGATGATTACTGTGATGACAACGACCTGATTGCTGATAAACTTCAGAAACAAGACTTTATAAGATGTGTGAACAAAGTTTTGCAGCTCCACCATGGCAATAAGGTAGACTCTTTCAAAGTGAATTTCTACTTCAACAGAGAATCTACCGCCATTCTTGACGAATGGATTCGCTTCGTAATCACAAAGGGAGCTGAAGTGCTTTACCTTCATTTCAGTCGTTGCCCGGAAGCAGGAAAAGAAAATTATTATGATTTCCCTTGCTGGTTGCTTTCAGAGCTGAGGCCATCAACTCTAAAAAATTTGTCACTGACCGGATGTGTTCTAAGACTTCCACCCAGTTTTGACAGATTCAGTCATCTAACAACTCTTTATCTGTACAAAGTTATCGTAGACAACATTTCTCTGGCACGTCTCTTATTTGACTGTTTGCTCCTGGAAAGCTTGACCTTAGATTATTGCTGGGGTGCCTCGGAGTTGATGGTTAAAGGTCCATCACTTCGTCTCAATGATTTGAAAGTGGTCCATTGTTATGATATGCAAAGAGTTGATATTTCTCTAGTAAAGCTTGCGTCCTGGGAGATCTTGAGTGGAAGTTTACACATGAATCTTTCCATCAAACTTCCATATCCAGCAAAAATTTCTTTTGGTTCGATTCTTCACTTTAACTTATGTGCTCGACTAACCCGATTTGCATCGTTTTCTGGGCTTGAGACTCTTCATCTGCAACTGGAGATGCTGAGTCATGACGTGAGTGAAGATTTATTTGTAGCTTTCAAAAGCATGTCAGTTGATATTATTTTGCGAAACTAACCTTTAGACTGTTGATGTTTATGTGCAGGAATTGCCCCGAAGCTTACCAACGTTTAGAGACCTCAAGAAACTGGAGGTGGATCTGTTTTCACCGAAAGCTGACCCCGCAGGGGTTCTGAATCTTCTCAAGGCTACACCTTTTCTGGAACAACTTGTAGTATCGGTTGGTAATTCTAAAGGGTTCACTTGCTATGCAAATCAGTTGTGTGTGTCCTCTGATTCTGTTGCTTCTTGTTATTTGTATATCTCATCCAACCAAATTAAATGGCAGGTATTGCATGTGTGCGGTGCTTGTTTCGATGATAGTTTCTGTGAGGATGAACAAGAGATACGAAAATTTTCGGGGCTGAAACATAATCATCTGAGAAAAGTTAAGTTGCAGGCATTTCAAAGTACGCCGTACGAGATAGAGTTTGCCATTTCTATCTTGAAGAACACAACAAAGCCCGAGATCATGGAAATCGATCCGTTTGGAGAAGTATATCTGGGTGCTGGAGTGTGGCGCAAGGTCATGGGCATATACGGTCAATATACATCAAACTCATTTTGGGAAGAAAAAGACAGGGCACTTGTACAAGAGCAACTAAAGGAAGTAAAGACTGATGCCAGAATTATAATTCTGTAATGATTTTATTGAAACCTTAATTAGGACAATCTAATTATTGAAAGGTTTGATAAATTTTATTAGGGTCGGGGACATTTTATTATTAGATGGTGCAAATTGCATCATGATCTAACCTTAAAATAATAGGACAAAAATATTAGTTTAATCATGGTCTACTTAATCTAATTTTCGTGTTCTATCATTAAAAAGTAAAAATCATCAAATTAATAGAAAATATATGTTTTTACCAGACAATTACACAGCCAAAGACAATTCTTGATCCAAAAAGACATGGTTCTCCACACTGCTGCTACGCTTGGTCACTAAGGTAAGCTCCCATGTTGCCTCCCTCCAGAATCAATGTGATGTCGCACCAAGTGTCACTTTCTAATGTAAGGGGCAGATTTGTCCTGTTGGTTAGCTTAAAGAGGATTCTTGATATGCTCTGCTCCTTTATGTGATTGCTTTCTTACGATGAATTTGGAGATCGCATTTGTCTAACATCCAATCGGAAATCGGAAATCGGAAAAGAGTCAAATCCTTGGTGTGAGGACAGCTGCCCTCCGCTTTGCATACTCGTGCGCAATGCTCATTGAACTCTTGCTATGCCGCAGAGAGAATTCAGCAAGCAGAATTTGGCTCTCTTCAAATGTCAGATCACCATGGCAACCCTGTACATTCGTGCACACTAGTTATTAGCATATGCTGTTTGAAATTTAAGTGAACATGCAACAGCTGTAAAGGTTTGTTGTAGAAAAGAAGGAAAAATTTAAGATCCAAAACTGAATTTGGCTTCATATACGCAATACAAAAACTCAGGCATGCTCAATTGCACATTCAGTTAAGAACTGAATTTCAAAACCTATCAAAAGCCAGCATAGAATATTTGATCTACGATGGCCTGGTAATTTAATCTCATTAGATATCACTTGAAAAGTGCCTTTTTCTATTAAAAAACATACAGCAATGAAGACCCGCATAAAATAACAGTAACAATAATTTTCTAAGCAATAGTGTGATTACCAGGCGAGAAGTTCTATCACAAACAGCATGGTGCATGAGAATGCCTGCAGCAACTGAAACATTGAAAGAGTCCACCATGCCTTTCATCGGAATACTGCAATGCAAATCTGACAAATCCAGGGCCTCATCACTTATTCCCCTGTATTCAGAAAATTCAAATTAAAAATAAAACTACTATAATTAATATCCAAGAACATATAGCAATGCATTAACTAGAGGCAAAGCAAGAGCAGAATATATGATTAGCATTCTCAACATAATAGGCCAGCACAAAAAGAATGTACTAACGGATCTCACATTCCAAAAGAGTATATAAAAGTGTGTATCACAATGAACAGGACTCCAACTAAATTTCTTTTTGAAAGAGCATTGTATCGAAGGCATAATTTTCTTAGTGTTATACTTGGTTGAATTTCTAAATTCATCCATTGGTGAAAAAGGAACTAATGTATATTTGATATTGATCAGATGGAAACAAGTATATCAGCATTCCTAAACCCTAAAGTTTAGGGATATGTAAATAGTAAAAGGTATAAATACCTATTTTCATTTCCGACTACTATTGCTGTTGGGCATGACCAATCCATGTCATAAACAGACACCTTCAAAAATTAAATGCAAGGGTCAATCAGACACAAGCTTGAACTTTCAGGATGCAGAAGAGAACCCAAAAATCAATCTACCACTTGTAATCAGAAAATATAAAAAAAATTCAAATCTTTTTAGATTATGGTGCATTCCTGGAAGTAATATTACTCTTTGAACATCCTTTCATGCAAACAAATTCTAAATAAGATGAAAGTATGATAATTACCGCATCCATGCCCACATGTGTTGTGGCAATTCGATAACCACGCGATTTCAGAACTTCACAAGCACTCAGGAGTAAAGTTCAAAGTTCCCAAAGTTCAATGTCCAACCCATTTCTCTGCTCCCATACTGACATGGCGATTGTCTCTATACCTGAAACATCTTTTACAAAAAAAAAAAAAAAAAAAAAAAAAAAAAGAGTTAGAAAATTAAAAAAAAAAAAACAAACTCAATAAAACTCATATTACAGCTTCAAAGTTAAAACTTAAACTTAATCGAAATAAAACAAATCTCCTTTTTAATTTTATAAAATTTTGAAGTAAAACCAGACCCTTTTCACCTCAAATGCCGTTGCACCTTTTGGAGCTGTCGCACGAAAGCACATGAACCGACTGAAACCCGAGCGCATCGGCGGACCGGAATGCGGCCGAGACGTTGCCGAAATCGCCCAACCCTTCGACCACCAAACACACCGAGTAGCTCCGGTTCTTCACCACCCTCCTGAACCTCTCCTTCCTCACATCCAATATGTACGGATCCAAAGCTTCCAGAACCTCAGCGCTGTTGAGATAAGCATCTTCCCCGCAGCTGAACTTATCGAGGTATGGGAACCACCGACCGCCGCGCTGGTGTGCGGACTCAGGGCTGCGCTCCATTTTCATCAGGCGTCCGACGTCGTTTTTTCTGCTTGAGCAGTTGCTCCACGGTGTCTTGCGTCGGATTCTCCGGTGGTTCTAGGGTTGAGTCAGTGGATTGGGCTTCGTCTGTGAAATCTGCCGCTTCTGTTGAAATTGAAGCGTACGGCCGTGAAGGAACATTGTGCGAAGCAAGTCTGAGCCCTGTAATAAAATTGAATTAGACATTTGTGTATGAGTGTAGTGAGAGAGAGAGAGAGAAAGAGAATACCTTGATTGGGTGAAAGGGGAGGAGAGAAGCGGAGGGAGGGCGACTGGAGAAGAGGGATGGGTGGTCCACTGGCTCGGAGACTGGAACTGATCGAAGAGAGAGATGTACGGACTAGGGTTTTGCAGGCACTCATTTTGCAGTGATTTTGGCGCCAAGCCGTGGATGCTTGCAACTCGAGCTGCTCACTAATCACTATAGCCGTCCAGAGGACCACAGGGGATTTTCATTTGGGATAGCGTTCACATCTTACGACGTCGTTCCATACTCAGTATCAGAATGATTTGGGCCCATTGGGCTATTTTAAAGAAGGGTGATTTTATTGGCACCCCATTATTTGCTCTTTACACCCCAAACAAATTTTAAATATAAATAACATATTTTACCTTTGTACACAATTACCATTAAGGACAAAAAAATTTAAAATTAAAATTAAAATTGCTCACTACACCCCACATATGTTCCTGCAACCCTAGTTTGAGTTTTTTCTCAAACTATCATGTTCCTAAACCCTAAACCCTAGATTTATACGTTTATACTGATGCAAAAATATCTTGTATTTATTCATGAAGGGTGAGATTGAAGTTAGACAGGCTTCGAATGAGGTACGAGTTTATTTTTTGGCGTTTTTTCAAGTTTAGTATTTCATAACAGTCGCTGGTTGCGTTCAGCACATCAGTACCGAACGCGACAGGTAAATTTGGTGGGATGCCACCGAAAAGTTGCACCATTTTCGGTAGGGTTTGACAGGCCAGAAACATAATATTCGGTGGAGATCCACCGAAATATGGAACGTAGTTCAGTGGTATACTACCGAAATATTACCTGCGTTTCAGTGGCATCCAACCGAAATTTATTTATTTTTTCAGTAACTTATTGCCGACCACAAATTTAATCCAAGCTATTTTGATCTTACTCCCATTGAAGGAACAAAAACAAGGTGACGCCCCTACTGAAGGCAACAATGTGGGAACAGAATGTGTAATGGACTATAGTGATCAATTCACAACTTATTCGGTAATTATTTATTTGAAATCCTTTTTAGTATCATTAACGTGGCATTAATGTTTCAAATTTTATATTTAAATAATATGAGTTTTATGTGTAGATATTCAATAGTAGCGATGCATTACTTCGATGGGCTCGTGAACAAGGAAAATTGAATAATATTGTCATTGTAATTAAAAGGTCTGATTATGGAGGTGATGGCAAGAGGGAGACCTCGTGTAATACTTGCTTGTGAGAGGAACGGTAATTATAAGTCTTGCAAGTCTAGTGAGACAACTGATATAAGGTCGGATGCAAATAGTGATATGAAAAATGTGCTAGGGACACTGGTACCAAGAAATGTGGATGCCCATTCTTGTTAAAAGGTGTCAATATTGGTGATGGGGATGATTGGAAGTTGGAGGTGGTTTGTGGAGTACACAACCATCTTATTTCAGAGTATCTTCAAGGTCATTCATTTGTGGGGCGACTTACTGAAGAGGAGAATGCCTTGTTGGTATGCGTATATGAATAGATTCTTGCTTTGTAGGTTCATTTGTCTCCAGATCATCCTATTCCACCAGTTTCTAGAATGTGGCATGAACAAAGTGACATATGCAATGTAACACATTTGTACTCGAGGTACCAAGCACGTGTGGATGCTTTTCAACAACTTCCGGGAGTGGAGAATGTAGCTACTATAGATACTGTCATCCTAATGACTGATGAAAATGCACCTGTTACAGAATTGAGATTATAGATCTAATAATTCTATTTAATTTTTTTTCACATGTAACCTGAAAAGTACATCTTTGTGTGCATAGTCATTTAAAAGTCACTCTTTTCAAATTCTCTTCCTTTACTATTAAGCCTTTCAACACTAGAACGTATTATATGTACCATACTAACCTGTCCAAGAAAAACTTCTTACTCTTTATCAGGATGGTACGACATACTGGTCTTGTAGACTCCAAAGGGAGAATTCGTTATTGCTTGTAATGAAAAGTCTATTGGCTTTATTTGAAAAAAGTTAATTAATTAAATTTCATTCAGTTCTCTTGTTAATTTTCCCTATCTTATGGCTTGGTTACTAACAATGCAGGTACTGTTTTTGCTCATGGTGTACGCAATGACAAGGGCAAGTTTCCCTTTCATCAAGCCATTATTTTGAAAAATAAAAATAAAAGAAGGAATTATCTAATATAGAATATCATAGCATAATGAGAATGCCGTTAGAAATTAATACCTTCCAAATCATCCAGTAATCATATTTTAAGTACAAACTTCATAATTAATCAAAACAACAAAAGTTCCATGAGTTCTAATACAAACATGCAATAACTAATCAAAACAACAAAATTCCATGAGTACTACGCATGCTAGCAATTCAGTTAACCATGATGACGTTGATATGTCATGGTAGACCGTATGTTTGTACCCTCTAAAATCTGTTGCAAGGTCTCAACTGCTTGATAAACTTGGCAAGGTCTCAACCATGATGACAATGTGATGGCCATCTCACCAAAAGGCATGTGAAAGGTGTTCGTTTCGGGATGCCACCTCTCAACAAATGTAGATACCACAATCTTATCAGCATTCCGATAAGAACACCTAATAAGGTGCTATAATCCAGACATCTAAATGTACCCTTTGAATATACTATTATTTGGATTACCCCACCAATTCCACTCACGAAGGGTAGATGTTTTCGACATGCACCTAAGGGGCTCACGTTCCTAGTTAAACAAAAAAACAAAATTAAGGTTAATTACCATGAACCAGACTTATATTCTACCTTCTATTGTCACAGTAAAACGACTTACCTGGTTATTCCAAATTGCAGCTGCTATGTGAGTTTTAAAACTCGTAAGTAAAGATGGATCAATGGGATCTACTCGAGATGGCTCAGTAGGCTCGGCATGTACCTCAACATTACTATCCTGAGTAGCAGCTACATCTTCAACCTCTGCATCAGCATTACTATCATGAGTAGGAACTACATCTTCAACCTCTGTAGTATCCTCAAAGTGATCTTGAGGAGCCGCTCTCTGTCTCCTCGTTGAGGCCGTGGGACGCTGTCTATTAGGTCGGGTTGATGAAGCCTCAGTAGTACCTCTACGAGTCCTCTTCATATCTAAAAACAAACAATATTCAATACACACTCAGTAACGTATCCGGTAGATGATCACTGAAAAAAGGAAATAAATTCGGTGGACTATCACTGAAAAAAGAACACATATTCGGTAGAGTACCACTGAAAAACCGAAATAAATTCGGTGGGAATCTCCTGAAAAATAGAAACAGATTCGGTGGACAATCACCGAAATAAGGTAACAATTTCGGTGGTAATCCACCGAAAGTAAGGTTCAAATTCGGTGGATTACCACTGAATCAATGTAACCATTTCGGTGGTAATCCACCGAAACTAGAATCCAATTTCGTACAACCAGGTCCGAACCTAAACCCGTTGAAATCAAAATCAAAACCAGAATCAGACGACCAAACTGCCACAAATAACTAATATTTCTTGGGCTTCGATAGTCTTACCAGAACCACGTGGCTACCGACGACGGTGATGGGAGAGATAAGAGAAGGTGAAGGATCAGAATCGGACCTGGCCACTGACGACGGCGATGGGGGTTTGCTGGGTTATGCGATGACAGGTTTGCTGGGTTGTGCGATTTCAGGTTTGCTGGGTTGTGCGATGGGTCTTTGCAAAGGGCTGCGACGGGGTGTATCTGCAAGATGAAGGAATTTTCGATGGGGTAGGGCTTTGATATCAGATGGGTTGGGGTTTAATTTTAGATGGGGTGTGTTGAAAGGGAATGAGGTTTTCGGTGGGTGGTGCCTGATATGGGATGGGGTTTACAAAGTGAGTTAGGGAATGGGGTTCATGAGGGCGATTTAGGAAAAAAAATGGGGTATAATGAGTAATTTGAAATTTTATTAATATTTAGTGGGGTGTAAAAAATTATGGGGTGTAAAGAGCAATTATTGGGGTTCATATAGAATTTCCCTTTAAAGAAAGGTACTAATACTATAAAACCTAACACCTTCAGTGGTCCTTCCTCACATTGAAGAAAAGTTTTAATTTAAGTATTGGGACAAATGATATTTCTCATTAATCAACAACTGAGAGCTCATCAAGCATAAACTAATCCAAACCAGTTTTAATCTGAGATGCCGGCCGTTCTTCAGAGGCAACCGACCCATAATATTTTAAACTGAGATGCCGTTCCTCAGAGGCAACCAACCCATAATATTTTAAAGTCTTTAGCAAAGTCTTTCTTTATGCTAATTTTTAAATGCTAATTGTCCTTTCTCCGATCACTTGATTCCAAGTTTGGTGAAAATTGTGATCAAGTGTTCAACTAACCCATTTGTCAGATTGGTTGCTATAAAATAAAAAAATACAACCATCAGCATTATTTGGTGAATTTAAGAGGAGCGGCATTTGCTAGTGCATTGACATCTTTGCACATTTCATCGCCATGTCAAAAACCACAGCTTCTCCTCCTCACATAGCTCTGTTGCCAAGTGCTGGGATGGGTCATTTGACCCCCTTCCTCCGCCTTGCTTCCATGCTTTCCTCCAGAAGTTGTACCGTCACCTTGATCACTGCCTCCCCTTCTGTTTCTGCTGCAGAGTCTTCTCACATTTCTTTCTTTTTATCTCAGCATCCACTGGTCAAGCACATTGAGTTTCAAGTCATTCCCTCCAAGCCCTCCTCCAATCCCACCACTGACGACCCTTTCTTCCTCCAGTTTGAAGCCACCAACCGCTCTGTCCATCTTCTTTACCCTTCACTTGCTTCTGCATCTCCCCCTCTCTCAGCCATCTTTTCTGACTTTGCAGTGGCTTCCAGTTTTGCTCCTGTTGCTGCTGATCTTGGCATCCCCAATTACATCATCACCACCACCTCTTGTAAGTTTTTCTGTCTCATGGCCTACCTTCCAGTCCTTCTATCCGACCCTTTGAGTTTTAGCAGCAGCCTCAGTGAAGTCAGCATCCCAGGCGTCACCCCGATGCCCCTACCAAGCATTCCTCCTCAATTTAAGAACCCAAATCATCTTTTCACATCACTAATTGCTACAAGCGCTCAAGCTCTTTCTAAGGCCAATGGGATTCTAATGAACACTTTCGATGATTTTGAACCGGAAACTCTAGCTGCTATCAACAGTGGCAGAGTTTTAGACAATCTCCCACCAATCCTCCCCATTGGACCATTAGAAACTTTTGAGCCCAAGAAAGAGCAGGACCAGTCCTATCTGCCATGGTTAGACAGCCAACCAGAAGAGTCTGTAGTTTATGTGAGCTTTGGAAGCAGAACAGCCATGTCCAGTGCTCAGATAAGAGAGCTGTCAAAAGGGTTGGAGAGAAGTGGATATAGATTTTTGTGGGTACTTAAAACAAGAAAAGTTGATAAAGATGATAAAGAAGAGCTGAAAGATCTTCTGGAGGAGTCATTTTTGGACAGAACAAAGAACAAGGGAAGAGTAGTGAAGGGGTGGGTGAGCCAGCAGGACATTCTTGAACACCCTGCCATTGGCGGATTTCTCAATCACTGCGGGTGGAATTCGGTCATGGAAGCAGCCCGGAAGGGCATACCGATGCTGGCATGGCCGCAACACGGGGATCAAAGTGGGAATGCAGAGGTTCTGGAGAAGGCAGGGCTGGGAATATGGGAGAGGAAATGGGGTTGGGGTCTTGAAGGGTTGGTGAGTGGTGAGGAGATAGGGAAAAAGATTGTGGAGCTAATGGAAGATGAGAAGCTGAGGGGTTTGGCCAGGAAGGTAGGGGAAAATGCTGGGAAGGCTACTGGTATTGGTGGGAAATCTGAGAAGGTGCTCACTGAAGTCCTGGAATATCTTGAGCAGAAGAAGAACTGATGAGAAGTCCTTGGATTTGTGTATTTAATTTTAGGGCTTGTCCAATATAGGTCCCTACAATTTCTATTTCCTAGATATATACCCGTAATTCTATAAATCTATGTGTAAAAGCCAATTTCAAATTTAAATGACTAGTAAGATATAAAATATCGTAGTATTCCTATGTTTTTACATCCTTGCCATCAGACTTCATATTTTATTTATAATTTATTCCAAGCATTTCATTAACTACCATAATTGTAATTAAAACTCCCTCTTAATAGCATATCAATCACCCCATTTCTTTTGGTTGCCATTCCCTCTAACATATGGCCCTTTAAAATTGCAAAAAAAAATGTAAATTACATATCCAATAATGTACATATGAAAAATATAAATATAAATATATACTTATAAAATATAGGTATATTATTTGCCAAAAAAATTAACAAAAATATATTTAGTTTGTAATTGAAATTTCCGTACATTTTTCATAATTTAAAAATAGGTACACAATAATTTATAGAAAATAGGTACGTTGTATAATTGAAATTTATGCACATTTTTTATAAACTAAAAATAGGTAAATTATTTATAAGAAAAAAATAAGTTCATTATACTAGGTAAATTGTTTTACTAGGTATACATTATTAGAGAAAAAAAATAGGTACATTATTTAGAGAAAAAAATAGGTTCATTATACTAGGTAAATTGTTTTACTAGGTACATTATTTTGAGAGAAAAAATAGGTACATTATTTAGAAAAAAATAGGTACATTATTAGAGAAGAAAACAATAGGTTCATTATACGAGGTAAATTGTTTTACTAGGTACATTATTAGAGGAAAAAAAAAATAGGTACATTACTTTGAGAGAAAAAATAGGCTCATTTAAAAAAAATTGTTTTCATAAAACAAACAATAAAAAGATAATCAAATTATTTTCATAAAACAAGTAATAAAGAAAAAAAATAAGTACAATATTTGGAGAAAAAATAGGTTCATTAAAAAATGTTTATAAACAAAACAATAAATAGATTATCAAATTATTTTTCAACATAATTAGAATGTACACTATTATTCATAAAACTATAATAAAAAAGAATACTGGTCATATAATTCATAAAAGACAACAACATTAATTCCTAAATTTAATATTGAATTTAAATTACTAATACTTGAAATAGATCACTAGTCCTAATTCATAGAAGGAAAACACCATTAATTTAAAAATAGATTACTAGTCGTAAAATAGATTACTGATACTTTAATGTGGAATTTAATATTTAATTTCAAATAAGTTTCTAAATTAGTAATTTTCACCTTGGTGCATAAAGTGCCTCTTTGCCACTAACCGATTGCTTGGGGAGCTTAATGCTACTATTATCACCTTGGTGCCTACAGTGCCTTCGCCAAGCTCTATGGGTGATTACCGGCCAATCTCTTGCTGCAACACCATTTATAAAATAATTTCTAAGTTATTGGCAAGCAGTGGCGGATTCAAAATTCAAAAGTCAGGTAGGCGAAACTTACTTTAAAAACTCGACGGTACGAGTGAATTTCATTCATGAAATAAAAAGATATACTTAGTCGGGGAGAACATAATGAGATTTACTCTCAGATATGCACCTTTATACATAAATAAAAACTTAATAAAACAAATTAATGCAATGCAACACAAAACTAAACTATTTAAATCTAAAACTAAATTAAACTATTAAAAAACTTAAGATGCATACATTTATTTTAAGAAAAAGCCAATAGAAGAATACTTGTTGGCCTTAGATATGAGAAAATGCTACCAAGAGAGAATGTCCAGACTCAAGAAGAAGCTGCAAAGGATAATGATTTGGAACTGTCGACTATTACACAGTCGCAAGGGAATTGGCTGCTTACTTATATTGCTTCCTCCCCTTTTCTTTTTTAAGTTTGACTGAGCCATATAACACACGTGGGTTCCTTTTAAGTTTGGGTACGCATGGGTTCACACCATTACATGGATGGGTAGGAATAGCTTTACTTACATATAGGTTTTTTTTTGTTGAAAAAATTTGGGTAGGCAGTTGCCTACCCTACCCTTGCTGTAGGACTGCTGTAGGACCGTCATTGATTAGATTCTCAGCTGCCTACCCTACCCTTGCTGTAGGACCGTCATTGATTAGATTCTGGTGAGATGCTGTTCTTCAGAGGGAACCAACCCATAATATTTTAAAGTCTTTAGCAAGTCTTTCTTTATGCTAATTTTTAAATGCTAATTGCTCCTTTCTCCGATCACTTGCTTCAGAAAGTTTGGTGAAAATTGTGAACAAGTGTTCAACTAACCCATTTGTCAGACTGGTTGCTATAAAAAAAAATAGAACCATCAGCATCATTTAAAGAAGGACAATGCTTGGCTCCTGATATATTAGGAGTCATTCCTCCTCAACGGCTAACATGGCTTCTTTACAAAACAATATATGTTTTTTTTTCTTTTTAATTTTTTTTTCTCTCAACCCCTTTAACTCAAGTCTTTTGCTGGTTTTTTAACTTGGGTAAGTTAAGGAGAGAGAAACGAAGGCGGGGGAGGGTGACTTGCAGGTTTTTTTTTGTTTTTAAACAAAAAAAAGATTTTTCATGGTTGTTGAAGAAAGGAGGAGGAGAGGGAGGAGAAAACTTAGATGCTAAATAGAGGTGAAACCAAAAAAATTTGCCGGTGCAGTTCTAGCCACACCAAGTTAGGCAAAAACGGAAAAAAAAAGAAAAAAGAAAAAAGGCCAGAGACACCATACTAAGCCAGCCAAAATGGAAATAAAATGAAGATCTATCTTCAGTTGATATGAGGATCGGGTAAAAAAAAATTGGAAAAAAGGTTGTCTTTATTTCATTAAAATTCCTAAATTATAAGAAGGAAAAAGAAAGAAAGAAAATACAACCGGAGAGAGGAAGAAAGAAGAAGGGGAAAACAAAAGAAATGGTTGAAGGACGAAAGAGGGCAATAACCAGCTGGCGGAGAGAGGAAGAAGAACGTTTTAATATTTTACTATTTTAACCTATATATTATATCTATTTCTTATAATAATATTACATTACAAGGCACCGCCCCTGCCTTCGTCATTTCCCCCTTACTCTAAAACTACACCCTAAAGTTAAAGAAAACCAACAAAAAACAGTTGAGTTAAAGGAGTTGAAAGAATAAAAGAGAAAAGAGAAAATAAAAGAAACACGTGTTGTTTTGTAGAGAAGCCACGTTAGCCGTGAGGAAGAAGCATTGTACCCAAAGGCCTCTATTTGGTGAATTTAAGAGGAGCGGCATTTGCTAGTGCATTGACATCTTTACACATTTCATCGCCATGTCAAAAACCACAGCTTCTCCTCCTCACATAGCTCTGTTGCCAAGTGCTGGGATGGGTCATTTGACCCCCTTCCTCCGCCTTGCTTCCATGCTCTCCTCCAGAAGTTGTACCGTCACCTTGATCACTGCCTCCCCTTCTGTTTCTGCTGCAGAGTCTTCTCATATTTCTTTCTTTTTATCTCAGCATCCACTGGTCAAGCACATTGAGTTTCAAATCATTCCCTCCAAGCCCTCCTCCAATCCCACCACTGACGACCCTTTCTGCCTCCAGTTTGAAGCCACCAACCGCTCTGTCCATCTTCTTTACCCTTCACTTGCTTCTGCATCTCCACCTCTCTCAGCCATCTTTTCTGACTTTGCAGTGGCTTCCAGTTTTGCTCCTGTTGCTGCTGATCTTGGCATCCCCAATTACATCATCACCACCACCTCTTGTAAGTTTTTCTGTCTCATGGCCTACCTTCCAGTCCTTCTATCCGACCCTTTGAGTTTTAGCAGAAGCCTCAGTGAAGTCAGCATCCCAGGCGTCACCCCGATGCCCCTACCAAGCATTCCTCCTCAATTTAAGAACCCAAATCATCTTTTCACATCACTAATTGCTACAAGCGCTCAAGCTCTTTCTAAGGCCAATGGGATTCTAATGAACACTTTCGATGATTTTGAACCGGAAACTCTAGCTGCTATCAACAGTGGCAGAGTTTTGGACAATCTCCCACCAATCCTCCCCATTGGACCATTAGAAACTTTTGAGCCCAAGAAAGAGCAGGACCAGTCCTATCTGCCATGGTTAGACAGCCAACCAGAAGAGTCTGTAGTTTATGTGAGCTTTGGAAGCAGAACAGCCATGTCCAGTGCTCAGATAAGAGAGCTGTCAAAAGGGTTGGAGAGAAGTGGATATAGATTTTTGTGGGTACTTAAAACAAGAAAAGTTGATAAAGATGATAAAGAAGAGCTGAAAGATCTTCTGGAGGAGTCATTTTTGGACAGAACAAAGAACAAGGGAAGAGTAGTGAAGGGGTGGGTGAGCCAGCAGGACATTCTTGAACACCCTGCCATTGGCGGATTTCTCAATCACTGCGGGTGGAATTCGGTCATGGAAGCAGCCCGGAAGGGCATACCGATGCTGGCATGGCCGCAACACGGGGATCAAAGTGGGAATGCAGAGGTTCTGGAGAAGGCAGGGCTGGGAATATGGGAGAGGAAATGGGGTTGGGGTCTTGAAGGGTTGGTGAGTGGTGAGGAGATAGGGAAAAAGATTGTGGAGCTAATGGAAGATGAGAAGCTGAGGGGTTTGGCCAGGAAGGTAGGGGAAAATGCTGGGAAGGCTACTGGTATTGGTGGGAAATCTGAGAAGGTGCTCACTGAAGTCCTGGAATATCTTGAGCAGAAGAAGAACTGATGAGAAGTCCTTGGATTTGTGTATTTAATTTTAAGTATCATGTCATTTTCCAATCTCAAGTTGGCAATATCTCAGATTTGTGTGAGTAGTTTTTAGCCTCAGAGCCCTCCAGCTTCTGAAGCAGCATCTCAATTTGTAGCTAAAAGAATTCGCAAAAACTTAAAAGATTTTCAGTATCCTTTGCTTGGTTAATTTCTTCCCTCTCTACTGACCTTGGGTTGTTCATTCCTTTGGGTTTTTTGCTCGGTTGTTTCTTTGTCCCCATGAGTCTCCTCGTGGTTGTTTGTATTAGGCTTTAGCCTCTTTTTGGTCATACATTATTAACTTACCCAAAAAAAAATTGATAAGCAATTTTGATTTGGACATGTCAACGCTCTGTTAGTTGGAAAAGTTCAAACTTTCTTGGCCTTCAAGATAAGTTGTATGTCCTTTTTGCAGCTGGATTTGGCCTATTTGACTATTCTGGTCACACACGTGAGACATTTGACCACATAAGCAACACATTCAGTGCACCTGCTGATCATGGAAGCATATTTTCGTTGTCGTAATGTCCACACTCATACGCATGCCTCCTTAGCTTATAAGTACGGCCTCCACTGCTTCCATTGTAGCTACTCTAAAACTCATCAAAGTTCTATCACCAAACCATTCTTTTCCATTAAAATGTCGGATTCCGGTGATCTACAAGTCACTCATGTAGCTCTCCTTCCAAGCGCCGGCATGGGCCATCTCACGCCCTTCCTTCGACTTGCTGCTTTACTCACGGCACACAATGTCCATGTCACCTTCATCACTCCAAGTCCAACCGTCTCACTTGCAGAATCACAGAGCTTGTCTCACTTATTCACTACCTTTCCACAAATTACTCAAAAGCATCTTCATCTCCTTCCACTTGATCAGCCCTCTGCCAATTCAGAAGACCCTTTTTACTACCATTTCGAATTAATTCGCCGTTCTTCTCACCTACTCCCCCCTCTTTTATCTTCGCTCTGTCCACCTCTCTCTGCTATAATCACAGACATGAGCTTGGCCTCCACAGTTACCCCTTTAACTGATTCTCTTGGACTTCCTAACTACATTTTCTTCACATCATCTGCCAAAATGTTGACAATTTATGTATCCTTCCACACTATGCTTGGTCCAAATCATGAGATAGAAGACCACACAAAAGTTTCAGGTTTAGAACAAATACCAAAAGCATGGATTCCTCCACCACTTCTACAGGGCGGTAATAATCTTCTGAAGACCTTTTTCATAGAGAACGGTAAGAAGATGACAGAATCAAGTGGAATTTTGGTAAACACATATGAAAGTATAGAGCGTGAGACTCTGGCAGCACTAAATGAGGGCAAAGTATTGAGAAAGCTACCATCAGTGATTGCCATTGGGCCACTTGCACCATGTACCTTCGAGGAAAGTCAACAACTGGCATGGCTTGATGATCAACCAACTGGGTCAGTGCTCTATGTCAGCTTTGGAAGTAGGACTGCCATGTCAAGGGACCAAATTAGAGAGTTGGGTGATGGCTTAGTGAGGAGTGGTTGTAGGTTTCTGTGGGCTGTTAAGGATAAGAAAGTTGACGTGGAAGACGACGAGAAGCTGATTGAGGTGCTTGGACAGGGATTACTGGAAAGGGTTAAGGAAAACGGATTGGCAGTGAAGAACTGGCTCAACCAAGAGGAGATATTGAGCCATCCAGCAATTGGTGGGTTTTTAAGCCACTGTGGGTGGAACTCCTTGACTGAGGCTCTCTGGAACGGTGTGCGAATATTAGCATGGCCGCAACATGGGGACCAGAAAATCAATGCAGATTTGGTGGAGAGAATTGGACTGGGAACGTGGGATAAGAGTTGGGGTTGGGGTGAGGGGGAGATGTTGGTGAAAGCACAGGTAATAGCGGAGAGGGTTAGAGAGATAATGGGAAACAAGTTGCTGAGATTGCAAACTGACCACATTAGAGAAGAGGCCAGAATGGCTGTTGGAGATGGTGGTAGTTCTACAAAGAGACTTTATGCTCTCATCGAGACATGGAAGAGGGTTCAGATAGTATGATAGTTAAAACCTTCATTTTCCGAACCCATCTGCGTCGGGAAATTCCTAGATGAAAACAGCACTGAGATCAGATTAGAAACAAAGATGTATTCAGTTGAGACAAATCATATATAGGTCAAACCACAATCTCATAATATTTGAAACCACTGTTAGGTTACATCAAACTATAATAATAGAACAAAAATAACTTCTGCGTTTATTATGTCTTCTTGTTCCATGGGTACTGCCAACTAAAGATTTATTTTCTCAGAGTGATGTAGCAGTTAACCAGAAATAGCTTTCTTTGAAATGACATCAAAAGAAATTCCATTCTCTTGGAGCCTTTCCTGGAGATCAGTTGGGCCAAATACAATCCCAGGTGGGAAAACTCCTCCCTTTGGAAGGTTGTTACGTTGGTGTAGAAGAATAAGAGCACACTGCAATAGAATTATTGGAGTGGTCAAATAGCCAATCTCAGGACCCATCACTCTTGTTATTATTTCCATATCAGGTTTTCTGTTTCCCTGTGAAACAAGACTGCTGTCGCTGAAACCTTTTCCAACAAACCACATCTTAAATGAAGCACTTCTCACCTCATCCTCAGACGGACCCTTCTTCCTAAACCATCCAACACTGAAGAATGAGGGAAACTTTAAGAGAAGCCATCTCCCAAAGGAAAATCTTCCCAAGAGCCCAATAAAGATTCCAACGGTCATGATACGCAAAATGCCCAACAGAGACTTAGAGCCTATCTTCACCCCAAAATGAACTGGCTTCACTGTTGACCAGAAGGCTTCTCTTTTTTCAATCTGTTCTGCACTCTCATTGCTTCCAGGAAGACCACGAGGGTTTTCAGTCAGAACTCCAAGTGTTCTACGTACCACAATAGCATCTGCTGAAGGTAGCTTCACAGCCCAAAGGCCAATATCTTTCTGTTGTTCTATAGTTGGTCCTTTAGGAGGAGGGGGTCCAGGAATCTGCAACCATTAAAGTAAAAAAAGATTAACCTATTGAGCTGCCATGCCTAGGTAATGTACACATGCATCAACCTAAAAAGGAGCATACATAAATTACTCAAACTTAAGATCTTGCATTTGTTGATGTCTATTAACTGCAAGCATTTGGAGTAACACAACAAACCCAGAAAAGCAAATAAATAAATAACTTTGCATGAACAATGAACCCCTATACATGAACTACAAAATCAATAAGCAGACCATCAATGGTTCCAAAATAGTTGAGTAAGAACTGAAAATGCATCTAGGATCCGTTGTAATTTTTGCTTAATGAGCAGACTAAAAAATTGAAAGCAACATACAATACAAAGCACAACTTCAAATTTATATTGGCTTCTAACTATAACAGGATCCGAATTGTGACAACAGTTGTAGAAAGGTTTAACATTTTATCCCTGTTCTCTCCCTACATCATTCCAGCAATAGACAAAGCAGCAAAAAGGATAAATAAATTTAAAGAAAATCAATTTAACGTAATCAAGATTATTAAAATCATACCACTAAGGCCATATCAAATTTGCATCTCCCAGAAAATTCATAGAATCACAATGCGAACAACAAACTAAAAATCTGAGTTTTATTTGACTTCCTTACCGCAGGCCTTGGTTTTCTGGGTCTGGACCGCCTGAGCTCCTGCAACTTGTCGGCATTAGCCACACCCAACACCGCCGATTCAAACGTGCCGAAATTCCCAACAATCCTCTTCTCCGACTCCAAGCTCACATAAGCCTCGACCCGGTTCGGCAGAGCCGGATCGACCCACTGCCTCGAATTGAACATCAACCCAAACTCAGCCGGAACCGAGTCGAACCCACATGCCGAAATCACCAAAGAACCGACCTCCACGGCCCGGTCATGGTACTTAGCCTCCATCCTCTCCATGAACTCAGGCTCTCCACATATATCCAAGTAATCGCAGCCAGTTTCGGCGCAAGCGGCCACCACCGGCTCGCCGTAGAGGCGAAAGGGCCCCACGCAGTTGAGGATAAGTTTGGTTTGGATGCAGAGGCGGTGGAGCGATGGTGGGTCGGTGGTGTCGGCGGTGATGATGGGAATGGGCGGTGGTGGGTTTGGGTGAGCTGCCCATTTGAGGGTCTGGGTTAGTTTTGTGGGGCTGCGACCAGCTAAAGCCAGAGACTTGAGAGGGGAGGAGGGTGTGTTGAGGAATTTCAGAGCTTCTTTGACAACGTACTTGCCTGTGAAGCCTGAGGCTCCAAGGATTATCAGATCGTAGGGAGGGCTGGGGGTGTTGGGTTGAAGTTCTGGCATGATTGAATGAGAGCAGGAGGTTTGGAGCTGAGAGTTGAAATTTGAAAGTGGGCTTTTATAAGCTGACGAAACTCGTGTCAGCTTGCTGTAGTTATGTGTGCCATTTTTGGTGACTGGCAGGAGCAAAATATGTCATCTTGTAGATGATGAGAGAAGCTTCTAACAAAATGAAAGAGTACCTTTTTACCTAATTTTCTCAGCTAAATTAGCTACCAAGAGGTTCATTTAATTAGGAAAAGATAAACATTATCTATTACGTACAAGAAACATAATCTTTTGTTTGCAAGTCACCACCAATAAGTGAGGGTCGGTTATTCAAACTTAGGAATCAAAATTGAATTGGACGAGAGGAGAAATTCACATATCGAACCCCTGTTTATCTATGCACCTCTATTAGACTATACCCTGGAGTTCTTTTTAAACCTCTCTGTTTTGCTGCGTCTCTTACTCTGACTACTTCACCCCATTTTCCACCTTCTGCATATAAATTTGACACCATGGCAAAAACACTTGAGTTCTCCGGGTCTAAATCCAAGAGGCGTCTTCCTAAAATCTCACCCATCTTCGTATTTCCATGTACTTTACAAGCAGCAAGCAAAGTTCTTACTGTAGAAGCAGTAAGCCCTGATGGCAGGGATTTAACCAGATTATATGCTTCTTCAAGCAATCCTGCTCGGCTTAACAAATCTACCATGCAGCCATAATGCTCTTCACAGGGAACTATGGAATATTCTTCTATCATGGATTTGAAAACTTCCAGGCCCTCGTTTACCATGCCGGAATGGCTACAAGCAGTGAGAATTGATGTAAAGGTTACCTCATCAGGGACAATCTTCACATTCTTCATCTGTTCAAATAGCATTAGGGCCTCCTTACATTTCCCATGCATCCCACATGCAAGTATCATCGTGTTCCATGATGTCAGACACCGTTCGACTGCATGCTCAAAAAGATTTGCAGCCATATTTAATTTCCCACACTTGGAATAATTAGTAATCAAAGAATTGGTGATAGATATATCATTGTTCATGTTAGCTCGATATAAGTGGCAGTGAACTTCCTTTGCTAAACTCAGACTTCCAAGCTGACAAATTGCCTGAAGCAAAGTTATAAAAGTAACTGAATCATGCTCTGCTTGCTCTCTTTGCATCAAGCGGAACAATACAATGGCTTCATCAGCATGACCATGACAAACATAGCTCATCATCATTAAAGTCCATGAGACCAAGTCCCTAGATCTGAACTTATTAAAGATTTGCCTCGCATTGCCTATACAACCACATTTTGCATACATGTAGATGATTTGATTGGTAATTTCGGCATTTGAGTCAAACCCAAGTCTTAATACATGTCCGTGGATGCACTTGCCTTTTCTTATATCTTTCAGCTCAGAAGTTGCAGAAAGTACACTCAACATGGAACCTAGGTTTGGTTTGATGCCTTCTCCAACCATTTCAAGAAAGATGTCCATAGCTTCACTGGCAAAGTAATTGTAGAGGTAGCCTGCCATCATCACATCATAAGATATAGCATCCTTTTCCTCCATTTTCTCAAATAAATACCTGGCTTGGATCAACTTGTTTGATTTGGAGTACAAGTCGACCAGGGCGGTGGATGCCACTAGATCAAGTTGAACACCAACTCGAATAATGTAACCATGGATACTCTTTCCCTGCTGCAAATAATTCAAGTGAGCACAGGACAGAATCCCATTGGACAAAGTTATCAAATCCGGGACAAAGTTATCTTGCATCCCTTGACAGAACAGGTGGAAAGCTTCTGAGGGTTGCTCCATTTTAAGATAACCAGCAATCATCGCATTCCAAGAACCAATTGTCTTTTTATCCATTTTGCTAAAAATGCAGGCTGCCATTCTAGGGGCTTTACATTTGTTATACATGTCCAAGAGACTCGTTTCAAATACTTCATCCGAACTACCAATTCCTCTTCTAACAGCATAGCCATGAACTGAACAACCTTCTTTTAGTGTTTCTAACTGTGACGCTGCCTGAAGTAAGCTCACCAGAGTGACCCGATTAGGATGCAATCCTTGCCTCTGCATATGGCGGGCAAACCGAAAAGCCTCGTAGGCACGCTGATCACCCCTCTGAGCATACCCAGTAATTATTGAAGTGTAGACAACAGTATCTCTGTCAGTTATTTCTTCGAACACTTTAGACGCATCGTTAATACGCCCACATTTACAATACAAGCCAATAAGCGACGAACCCACAAATCCGTTTGCATTCAACCCAGACTTTAAAGCATCCCCATGAATTCCTTGGCCAAATTCCAAATTTCCCAACTCAATACAACTTTTCAAGCTGAATGTAATGGCCGCGCTATCCAACCCAATATTCCATTGCTTCAAATTTATGTACCGCCTAATAACTTCTTCAAAGTGCCCGCTTCTGAAATATCCAACAAGAATTGAATTCCAAAGAGAGAGATTTCCATTGATAATTCTGTCAAAAACCCATCTAGATTCAGATAAAAGGCCAAACTTTGCATAGCAATTCAGAAGCTTCGACCCGAGAAAAATATGGTTTCCGAGCCCGTGAGCTAAAATGCGAGCATGGAGTTTTCTCAGTGAAAAAGCGTCTGCACAATTATCCAAGAAAGAAGCGAACTTTTCTGAAAGAAATGAAGATGGAGAACCCGGGTCTTCAACAATTAGTTTACAGAGAGATCTAATCTGGGTTGTGGTACCTAATGATCCGAACCCAGATTTAATACCATTCATGATTGTAAATGATTGGTGAGAAAGCAAGCATTTTGATACTCAAGAGTCGAAGTGATCCCCCTCTTTCTCTCTCTTCTACAAACTAATTTTTGAAATTACCGCCATAAAAAATGGCTGGTCTTTACTAATATATAGCAAAGTTATAAAGCTTTCCTCTGATTTTATGTTGGCATTGAAAATGAAAGACGTTGTTTACCTTGAGTCCTTGACTGTGGCTCATGGCATGAGGGTGGACATTTTTGGGCTCGTAACATAAGAATAAAAACATGTTTGGGCCCATTAGGGACCTCCTGATGACGGTAATATTGGAAGGTTTAGGGTTAATTTTGTGCATCGCCTTCCAGCTCAGAAATATTTAAAGTAACATTTATCCACGTAGGTTATAAATATATTACATGCTAGATGACTCGGTTTACCCATGGTTTTGACTTTCGCATTTCGTGTGGTGGATGCATGCATTGGGTGGATTCGCATGCAATGTGCACCAGCCGGTTGTACGAGTGGCACTGCCACCTGTGACTTGATTAAAAATACTAATCAATATACCAAATCTATATATAGTCCAATACATAAACATAATTAACGTCCTAACAAAAAAATAAATAAATAAACTTAATTAACGTGTGGAAAAAGTATATATATGTATAAACTACATGCAATGTGATGCATGCATGCACTAATATGATAAAATATTTCAAAAATATAAAAATTATCTCTTAATTTAGTAAGATTTCTTTTTCTAACGTTAGAAAGGAATCTAAATTAAAACGTCGCAATAGTAGTAGGTCTAGCTAGGAAGCCCACTCTGCTGCTCGGCCTCCCGGGTCAAGTGGAAGAGCTCTTTCAACTTGTCGAAGGCATGAACAAGTTCTTCAACTGCACACCGGTACAATCTTTTCAAAACGACTGCACTTTCATGGTACGACTTGATTACAGCAATCACAAAGCAAAGGCTCCAGACGACGATGGCGAAGCACCCAAAAGCTGGAACAATGACCAGCAATTCTAAATTCAAGGCCAGGGTTCCAGAGGAGAGGCTAATCTTATCCATGAACTCAGCCAAATCCTGGTTGTGGTCGTGTGCTTGGAGTAGTATCTTGACAGCCAAAGAACCAAAGTAAACCATTAAAGCAACAACAAACGCCATTAGAGATGCGGTTCTGTGCTTGAGTGGGAGAAGCACGGCTAGCGTGGTGATGAGAGTGGAAATACATTTGTGCAATGCCTTTGTAGAACTCTGCTCTCCTCCGCCTCTTTTATGATAATTAGATGAATAAACAAGACTGAATGTATGTTAAAGAGAACTGCACGATTTTCAGGCGTGAAATGAGAAAATCTTGGAGCACATGCGCATGCATGTATGAGTAGCGTAGCTATGACTTAGATAAATATAAATATGAACTTACGCATGAGGTAAAGGGGCGTTCACAGGAAGGTTAGGAGCTAGATCCATATATGCCAATGTCGTACAAGGCCCTTTGCCTATAAAGAAACAGATTAGGAGAGGAATTAATATTTAAGTGTTAATTAATATAAGAAAGTTCATATCTAATTATAAACCCAAATACATGGACTTTGGAATTTAATTAGCGTACGATGGCGGAAGCAATAAGGAAAAGAAATGTTCAATAATGTAACATATGCAAACTTTACAAAGTGAAAGAAAAGAAGTATTAACTTACTCGATCTTCCAAGAGCTCTCCGATCCTTGAGAAGAACAAACAGATATGAACTCATCTCTTCTCCCTTTGTGCTTTTGAAGGAGAGTTCAAGGGTAAATTAGTACAAAATAATCTGTGATTTTGGAAGGAAAAATGAGGGGTAGATCAGTAAAAAGCCTTAAAAGTCAAGGGTATATATAGTCTCGCCTTAGATGATACCTGAATGTTTTGACCAAAAAAACAGATATAATATATACCTGAATGAATGCATTCCGATTGCTATTTAAAATGTTGGTATTCAGCTTAAGTGCTTCATGTTGGGATCACTCTCCCCTTTTTCCGTGTTTACATTGGGAATCGATGGAAGAAGATTAATGGAAGAGGTTAACTTGCATGGCAAGGTTCGTGGAAATTACGTACCCACACACACACACAAAATATTGATCATCTATTTAATCTAATTGTCTCCATGATACCACAACAACTAGTAACAATTCAATTTGTATCTGGTCCCCTCTCTTTTTTCTTTGCATATAAAAATAAGCATAGCAATGATAGGCCCTCTCCTCGCTTCAAAGGAGCTAAATCATGCTCTTCTCTGAACTCTCATTTCATATATTTGGGGTTTATGTATATTTTTGTTATGAGAGGGTTTTTTTTCTTGCTTGTTTTCAGAATCTAGATACATGTAAGGGGCTTCGGATTCAGTTCATTAGTTGGGGGGCGTTAGATTGAAGTTCTTAGTTGCATATCATTGCAAATGAAGATGACATTTTTGCTTCTTCTTCTTCTTTTTTTTTGGTCGAAATCTGAAAATTTCCTTTCAATATAAAGACAAATTTGAGCACATTGACATGAAGACAAATTTTGGGACGTCAAGAACTTGGCTACTTTGTAGTCATACGAACACGCCCTAAACTTAGCCATCAACGTCAAGGCTTCAGCTCAATCTGTCTGTATATGTTCTCTGTACGCCCTAGACTTAAACTGCAGGGCCTTTCTGTACGGCCTTACAAGTTACAAGAAAAACAGATGAACAGTGGTGCTGGCATATTGTTGCGAAGCTTATTTCAGAAATACAATCGAATCAAATGAACAATGCATGCATGGCTGGTTTCTCTTTAATCTCCCAGCACAAGTTACATTTGCACACTATTTTTAATTAATTAGTAACTTTGTGTTTTCAGCTTCTACATTGCTTACATCGCCCCCTCACTTCTCAAGTAGCATTTTGGCATCAAGTTAATTAGTCATGTGATCTTCCCTAAGTATTCCTTCATTCAGATAGCTTGAGTAGTCGTGATCTTAAATTGTAAGCTTAATTGTCACCCATAAATCTGATTTTTAGTTACCGATAACTAAAGGCTTTTCTGGTCATCATGGCTGCAGGTTAATTTAATGGCGCAAGATATTGCTCTCCCACACAAATCCTGGTGCGGTTTCCCTTTTGTTTTGGTGCTCAGGTTATAATAATTTTGTGTTAATCTTTATTGTTAGTTTTGACTTTCTTGAAAACAGATGAACTGCTAAGTAATGTAGCAGAAATTACAACACACATCTTGGCTTATTTAGAGCCTACATTTCTCTCTCTCTCTCTCCTCTCTCTCTCTCTCTCTCTCTCTCTCTCTCTCTCTCTCTCTCTCTCTCTCTCTCTCTCTCTCTGTGAAACACATTTTGATTATTCTTCCTTACTTCCCTAGACTATGCCTCGTGTTTCTAATAAAATGCATCGCAGAAAATCATATGATAGGCATTTTCTCTTTCCTCTCTTACCTTTCTTATGTGAACGTACTTGTGTGAATATGTAGGGGGCGAGAAGTTCCTTACAATATTCTTGGAACAGAAGAGCTTGGGAGTGATTATGCTGGCCCTTCGAAGTTTTGCCTGAGGATTCTAATGAGATCAACTCCAAACCTCTCTTCTCCTCTAATTTGTAAGTGCAAATACTACTAGCTAGACATGTTGCGATTTGGATGAAATTGGCTTATATAATTTAAAACTGAATTTGCCAAGTAATTGAATAATTAACACTAGCCTCTCTGCACGCGCTTCTGCGCCTACAAGAGGTTTTTTCTTTTAAAAAAATTAAATTTATTTTAGAATTAAAAAAGATAATGGGTAGTTGTGTTATTTTTCTTTTAATTTTAATTTTTTAAATATTTTTTAATGAGCAGAGAATAGTGAAACATTCAAAATACCAGAAAATGTCCTTGGTTAATTTAAACATGAAGAATTGAAATTATTAATTAAGTGAGGATAATATGGTAAATTCACATTTTTCATAATATAAAAAATCAGATAATAGATCCTAATTTTATGGAACATAACTACCATGTTATCTTTTCTTAATTCTAAAAATAAAAGAAAAAGAAAAAAGAAAACCAACACATGTGCTAAGGAGCTAATGTTTGCATTAACCAATGACATTTTATGGTATTTTAAATATTTTACCATTCTCTACATTTTCCTTTATATATATAGATTATCATATTTCACTTATCATGTTATATGCCATATGGATCGAATTCAAATATAATTTGTTTGTTCTCGGATCTGTTTTAAGTCCTAGAAAGATTAGAATCCCATTTAATCAACTTTTCTACTTATTTTGATTTGAACTTAATTATACAAATAAGGATATTAACCCAAAAATCCAAGCATTCATTTGAAAAACCCGTGGGTTTTTTTAGGATCAATTGAGGCTCATTTTTGGGTTTATATCAAAATTTGAATTAATGGCCATGATGAGGTGTCAACTGATTTTTTGATCTAGATAGGTTGACTTTTCTCAATGCCCATTTTACCCCCAATAATATCTCTCTATTTTTTTTTTTTTACTTTTTAAACAAACAAACACAAATTGTGAAACAAAGTACACAATAACCATTTATAATACAAATTGACACCATTTGTGTACCTAGGTAGCGGAGGTTTATATCAAAGGGGAATGATTCTTGAGTTTTCTACATATGCAAGCGTACTAATTATGTCCTTCCTATTAATAAGGTAACACAATTTTATATGTCTATACATATATTCTTCCTTTTGGCCTTTTGGTTAGGTATATTATATGTATGTTTTGTGCATTTTATAATTTTTTATTCTAGCCATAAATATTCAAAAGCCAAATTCAAAATTTAAGGAGTAACAATGCTTTAAATTTGTTTTCATTATTTACCTTCAAGGGAAAATAGACATAAAAAATAAAAAATAAATGAAAATTGGACTTTGATTTTAAATTTTTTTTAATAGGGAAAATTGGACCCCCAATAGTTTTAGCATGGAATGGCACTGTATGAAAAGACCCCAAAAGAAAGAAGAAAAAAGATGGGGCATTAAAAGCATTATCTATATATATAAAGCAAAAGTCAGATAATGGTAAAACATTCAAAATACAAAAAAATACCCTTGTGTTTATAAAAGAAACAATAAAAGTACTCTTAAAAAACCCAATTTGTATTATTTAGGTAGAGAAAAATAGAAAGTATGGGAATTGAATGAAACTAAAAAAATCCGTTAAATAATAATCAGATGATTGATGATTATAAGATTGAATAACAGTTACTATTTCATAATAACCTCGAAACGCATATAAGTAATAAAACAACTCAATGCAGTGCAACTGTAATTAAATTGAAAATATATACAGTACAAACCATTTTATTTTTATTTTCTTGTGTCCCGGAAACGTATAGTAACTATTTCACAGGTATGTATAATGTACTTCCTTCAAACGTGGTAGAAAACTAAAATTATGAAACATGATTCTGCCCCTCCTCCATTCTAATTTCTTGCTGATGAACATGATTCTGCTCCTCCGTGGAAATCGAAGGGCCACTCTGATTCAGCATCACCTCTTTCACTCTGTCAATGGCACGAACAGCTACACTGGTATACGATGTCACAGTTACAACGTCCTTCACAAAATAAATGGCCCACAAGAGGAGGCTGAGCCACCCGAGAGCCGGGACGAGGATCAGCAATAGTAAAACGGAGGCAAGAGTTCCAGACAGGAGGCTAACGTTGTCCATGAATTCAGACAAGTCTGGATCATTAATCGCAGCTTGGTGGTCTAGTTTCTTGACAGTCGCCAATAAGGCCACGTAAACAAATAAAACAACAGTGAACGTGATTACAGTAACGTAGTTGCTGACAAATGGAGACGCAATATTTCCTGACTTCAGTTGGAGGAGCAAGCCCAGCATGCCCAGCAGAAAGAAAATATATTTGTGCACTGCCCCAAGAGAATTCTGACCCTCTTCTTCTTCTTCCCTTGTGCTATAAATATTTATATACAGAGAGAAATGTTAATAATGTTGCATATTGGACTATATATATAACGTAAAAGAAGAAGAAAAAAGGGAATTGGCCAGACAGGGAATTAGATATACAGATCCGTTACTCTACTAATTCTTCCTATTTGAAGAGCAACTAATTACTACAAACACTACTAGTTAATAGTCCTCTTTTTATTTTTCGCTTAAAATTTACCAAAATAATAATAAACACCAAAACTAAAAAAAAAAAAAAAAAGAAAATAACATTGAGCCACAACTGGGGTTTCATTTTCATGATCGGAAGGGTGAGGTAGCCACCGTTAACCTAGAACATAACCCAGTGAGACACAGACACATGCATATATATATATATATATATATGAAGGGTGCATGAGGTGAGAGACAGATGAGGAAGGCGGAACCAGCTCAAGGATCTCAGGTCAGAGAGGCTTACAAGAAGCAGATATAGAAATCACCATAGACAAGGTTACAAGAAGGTTCATGAGTACGCTAAACCTCCAAGGCTCCTAAAAGCTATGGGTTTTCTTGGGCTCAGCTTAAACCACAAAGACCTGAAAAGCTGATGGTACCACCTTCAATATCTTATGTAACGCTATCCATGGCCGATAACGGCGATATCTTGGGTTTCTCCCCTCAGAAGCAGATAGAAGTCGCCGCCTGAGAAACATACAAGATGACTGCTACTTATTACCATAGTCCTCAAGAGATCAAGCTAAACGTTTTTATGGGTAAACAATAATTTCTGAGTTAGATTGTTTGCGGTTTGCGGTTTCTCGGTCGGATCCTTTAGCTACGATCTCGTATTTGATGGTCAGCAGCTGTAATTAGTATACGCCGGCGGGCCCTTTTGTATAGATTGTCAGGGATGTAAGCATACTTTAATTGTTTGAGCTTTCAGAGGTCAGGGTTGTCGCTGGAAGTCGTAGAAGGGAAGCCTATATCGATCGAAACACCGGCATTCACATACAAAATTCTAGCTTTTGTAGAATTTATTATGAAACTGATGATATAGCTTTTGGTCTCCCCCAGAAAGGAAAAAAACATAAAACCACAAACAGGTCATCTTCCTAGATAATATTCATATGATCAGTCCATTTGCAAGATTGCAATTGGCTCATCTCAATCTAAACAGATTGATATAATTTCGTGCAGGCAGCAGCAGCAGCAGCAGCAGCATCCACATAAATTTAATGAAGATTTAATCACATATGTTCATGTATAATATAAGTGCATCGATCCCTCGAGCAATAATATTATTTGCTTGCTTCAATTAAAAAAGAAGTGAGCTACTTACTCTTCCAAACGTTGAGGAGGAGGAGGGTTAACAGAAATGTTGGCATCCATAACGACTTTGCGTATTGCTTTGCTCTCTCAGCTTCCTATCAATCTCGTTCCTGCGCTGTTTCTGTTCTGACAGCTTGCTCTCGTTTTAAAAATCCATTTGACGACCTCCGCAAGGACGTATTTTTCTTTTTCTTTATTTTCATTGAAAAAACAAAAACAAAAAATGATACGAAATTACGTGTGTCTACTTTTTTTTGGTCGAAAGGGAAACTTCATTGAAGGGAAAATAACCCAAAAGGAACAGAAACAAGGAAAGAAAAAGATAGCAGCCTTGGGGACAGACCCGCCCAGGAGCAAGCAGAAAAAAAAACACAGACATGCTAGAGAAAAAGAAAACAGAAAGTAACAGAAACCAGAGGGCCACAAACTAGGATGTCACCAAAGGAGCACGTCAGCCTCTAGCTAAAAGAAGGAGATTAACATGGGGGGCAAGGCAGACCATCCAATAGAAGAACAAACACAAGGGAAGAAGGGGGTCTGTCAAGCCAAACCTTATCGCACTTCGTCCTCCCAGCAATAGCCGCAACGGCCTCAGCGGCCTTATTGGCCCGGCGAGAGACCAATCACAAGAGATAAAATTGTTGCAGCATCTTCTAATGGCAGAGAGGATGAGGTAGATGGACCAAATTCATTTACGAATTTTGCCCCTTGCGCAATTCACAAGCACTTATGCTAGACGTGGTAAATCAACAGTTAAAAAATAATTAACTTTGGGTCGATGTTGGTCAAATAGTCAAGGAACTCTACTGTGAAAGCCAACATGGCACTTTTACAAACAATTTTACCAAACACTTATAAATTGATTGTTGTACTAAAATTGCTTTTACCAAAAGTAAAACTACTTTCATTAACAGCTAATTTCTCTCACAGTAAATCTAAAAGAGATTATTTTCACAGCACATCAATGCCAAATTCGCCCATAATATGGCAAAATACATATTAACATAAAACCTACATACAAAACACAAGCACTGTAACAAGACGAAAGCAAAAACATGTTTTTGGTTTTTTCTCTAATTTGCAAGCAGAGGTGTTTACTAACAAACGCCGACCAAGCTAAATCAAAAGCCCCAGTTATGAATTTATCGTTTGCTTATTAATACCTCTGGTTAGAAATCCATAATGCACGACAAGCATGGAATTGGTAGGCAAATGTTTTGTACCATGTCCGTATACGATTTATCATTTGTCCTTAATAGCCCTTGTCTTCATGATGTATGTTCCTTGTCTTTATAATGTCCTCAAATATTCCTCTAATTCGATAACATAAACATGAAATGTCAAATTTAACAATTGTTAACATAAACATGATGCTATTCAAACCCAATATTGATGCGGCTTTAGCGAAGATTGAGACTCAATTTGGTTCATCAGAAAGAATGAAACTTTGACCACAAGCAAGAAACTAACGACTAGTTAAAAATTTTGAGAGCATGAGTTAGCTCCAAACATAGTGTTTTTGGAGAAAAAAAAATGGTGGCGTGGCTTTCAAATACCATTAAATTAAATGGATATTCAAGATTCCTAATTCAGGTAAATGCACATAGACTTGAGATCCTTCTACTCTTTATTTTATTTTCCCATTCACCTCGTATTTTCACTCCTTATTAAATTTTAAAAAAGATTTTAACTTTTTTCCGTGGTCCATCCACTACTATTCTTAAAATATATTTTATAAATCAATTTAATCACTTTACTAATAAACACTATTTTCACCCTTCAAATTTATTTCTCCGCTCCATTCTTCCACAACAATTCTATGTTAGAAACTCAATACTTTTTTCTTATTTGTTTGCCATTCATCTCACAAGGCATCTTTATTTAATCTTGCGTAGTTCAATTGGGCTTCTTAGGATTTCCTTACGTCTTCATATGCTTTAGAAAACAAGGTCATCTTTTGATTGGATAATTTGGATAGTCATCCTTCCTCCAACTAAAGGACCTGATACTTAGACAATAGATTCAAAACGAAAACGAGGACCATTAATCTGCGCACACTTTGGGCTTAGCCCAAGAAGGAGCAATGCCTAAACTTTGCTCAAGTAGTTAATTATTCAAGCGTATGGGAATAATGAATTAAGGCAACCCATTCTGGTTTGGGGCCTGGGACTCATCAGTCAATAAGGGAGGAGGAGGCCCTTCAATCTCATGATCAGCTCCAGGAATTTGTCAAGTGCCTCGGCTGCACACACCTTTTTCAAGTAAGGGTAGGACTTAGCTGAAAACTTTAGAAGAATTGGAGAGAATTCATGAAAACTGATTTTCTTATTTCTCTTGTTAACTGGTAATTATACCATTACAGTGCTTATATATCTGCACCTACAGCATAACCACTTCTTATCAGCCTAACCACATTCTAACAGACTAATTAGAGTGACACGTGGATAACAAGCCTTTGGTTAGGATGTCAGCAACTTGTTGAGAAGAGGAAACATGCTGAAGCTGGTGCGAACAAAGTGATAGTCAACTTCAATATGCTTAGCACGAGAATGCATAATAGGATTAGTAGAGAGGGCCATAGCAGACAGATTGTCACAGTAAAGAAGAGGAGATTTGGCAAGAGGAAAGGAGAGATCTGTCAACAACTGCTGTAACCACACAACTTCAGCAGCAGTGGCAGCCATGGCACGATATTCTGCCTCGGTGGAAGATCTGAATGAATGCATTCCGGTTGCAGGACATCCGCTGCTAGTTGAAAACTTGACCAAAGAAACAGATTATATACAGGAAGGGGGAATGCAGGACATCCGCTGCTAGTTGAAAACTTGGAATTCACCTTTTATTGATCACTTTCTCTTAAGTTGTATTGAAAATATCCAAAGAGAAAACGACACAAAATATGTGGGATGGTGTGCTAATATATAGTATAATATAAGAATGGTAAGATATAAGCACATTCCCAATTCATTATATAAAAAAACAAAGACAATTTCCCAATTAGCCATTAGCTTCTGTTTTTGTTTTTGTGGTAAAAAAACAAAGACAAATTCCCAATTCATGAAATAGTTATGGCCATTGACCCAAAAAAGAAGAAGAAATAGTTATGGCCACATAAATATTGAAAATATCTGTAAAGCAAAAACAAACAAATTCGAGCTACGCGCAACAAAGAGGATTCACCCTCCCTTTTTCTGTATTTATATTGGGAAGGTTACCTTGCATGGCAAGGCTCGAGGAAGTTACAGAAAACAAAAACATAAGTTAACCTAATGGTGTGCCCTAAAATCATGATCATCTATTTAACTTAATGGTCTCTATGATGCCACGTTAGCTAGTAACATTTTTGTAGTTATACGACGTACTTTCGAGCTTACGCCCCTAAACTTTGCTTCATTTGCTTGGGCTCAATCTGTCTGTAGTTTGACATACAAGAGAAAATGAGATGAGCAGTGCTGGGCTGGCATGTTCAATCGAAGCCCACATTCTTTGCGAAGCAATATTTCAGAAATATAATAAAAGCATGGCCGGTCTCTCTTTAATTTCCAGCACACAAATATATATAATTACTTAGGTAACTTTGTATTTGCAGCTTCTGCTTTGCTTATATCGCCCTCACTTCTTATATTCTCATATAATTGATCTCCCATCTTCTGTACGCGTTTGTCTCAAAGTAGTATTTGTGCTTTTCCTTCATTTCGAGAGCTTGAGTAGTGGTGATCTTATTTGTCACCCCTAAATCTGAATGTTAGTTGCCGATTAAATGGTCTTCTGGCCATCATGACCTTCATGGCTATCTTTTTCAATTCTAATATTCTGGTTTTGACGACTGCAGGTTATTAATATGGCGGCGCAAGATATTGCTCCTACACCTATCCTGGTGGGGTTTCCCTTTGTTTTAGTGCTCAGGTTAATTTTGTGGTGATCTGTATTGTTATTGTTCGTTTTCTTATTGACAACAGATGAGCCATTCCCCAAAATACTATAACTTGATACTCTCTCTCTCTCTCTCTCTCTCCTCTCTCTCTCTCTCTCTCTGTATGCCTCGTGTTTCTGAAAGGCATCATTCTGTCAAGTCTATCATCTCTTTTGCTAGCCAAATAATTGAATAATTAACATTAACAGATGTCACTTTATCTGTCTAGGTCATATTCAACAAGGACCGAATTCAAATATAAGTGTTTTATTATTGGATCTGTTTTAAGACCTAGACAGATTAAAATCTCATTTAATCAACTTTTTCCTTCTCTACAATTTTTTTTTTTTGGAGTTTGAACTTAATTAATATAAGCATTTTTGGGTGGTTATATGAGATAAATTATTATATATGATGGTATCAAAATACGGTCATGTGATATATTTCGGTCATGGTCATGTGTTGTGGTAGGGAGTTAGTCAAAAAACAAATAGATAATGGACAATTAATCAAACTGTAACTAAATTGAAAATGTATATGTGTATAGTACTTATTTCCTTTTATTTATTTCGGCCGCAATACTTATAATTATGACAATAGTAACTATTTCACAGGTATATACTTACTTCAAATGTGGTAGAAAACTGTAATCGCGCAACACGTACACCCGCCCATCTGATGGAATAATTATAGAATACTTGGGTAGTATGGCCACATGGTACGTCTTGTACACGTGTTATAATATGAGTGAACAACATAATTTATTTTCCCTTATTTTAGAAAATAGTATCAATATAAAATAGTATCAATAAATATCCATTTATAAATATAAGTAAATTTAGGTTTTAGCAACAAAAAAATTTTCACTTTTAGAAAAAGCCAAAGCTTTTTCAAAAAAGACAGAAAAACCTTTCAACTTTCAAATCAAAGACATGCAAATGTAAAGGATTCTTTAGGAAATCCAAAAATAAATAAGGGCAATTTTGTCCATTTTGGCTTCTTTACAAAAAAATTTCACTTTTAGATAAAACCAAAGCTTTACATCTATAATATAACACGTGTGCAAAATGTATCACGTGACTGTAGAGCTAGAAAACTGAAATTACGTAACACCCAGCTGATCAGCGAGGTGGCCCATTCTGCCCCTCCTCCATTCTAATTTCTTGTTCATCACAATTATTCTGCTCCTGAATATTCATAAGCTCTTTCACTCTGTCAAAGACATGAAGAGCGACACTGATATACGATCTCACAGTTACAACGTCCTTCACAAAATAAGTGATCCACAAGAGGAGGGTGAGCCACCCGAGAGCCGGGATGAGGATCAGCAATAGTAAAGCAGAGGCAAGAACTCCTGACAGGAGGCTAACGTTGTTCATGAATTCAGCCAAATCTGGATTGTTTTCCAACATCTCGACAGTCACCAATGAGGCCACGTAAACAAATAAGTCAACAATAAAAATGAGTAGAGTAACGTAGTTCGTGACAAATGGAGAGGCAATGTTTGCGGCTGCGTGCTTCAGTTGGAGGAGAGCGCCCAGCATGGCCAGCAGAAAGAAATTATATTTGTGCAGTGCCCCGTGAGAATTGTGAACCTCTTCTTCTTCTTCTTCTTCTTCTTCCCTTGTGCTATAAGAGAACTGTTAACATTGCATCTTGGACTATATATATGCATAATCTTAAAATATAAGAAATCTTATAAAAGTAATAATGTTAATCTTTGTCTGAGTTAATAATTTTGTGTTTTGACCACCCAAAAAAAAACCTAGTCCTCCATTTCTCTACTAATTCTTCCTACTTGAAGATCCACTAATTAACACTACAAGTTAATAGTATTTTTTTATCTCTTAGCAAAAAAAACTAAAAACTAACATTCAGCCACTACTGGGTTTCATTTTCATGATCGAAAGGGTGATGTAGCCATCGTTAGCTTAGAACTTAACCCAGTGACACGCGCGTACACACATACATATATGAAGGTACCCCAGAACCAGCTCAAGGATCTCAGGTTGGAGTTAGCTATCCTCCGCATCGCCAAGTTCATTGGTGGTGCACCCAATAAATTTAACGAACCATACATCCATATTGACATTGCAAAAGCAGATATAGAAGTCACCACAGAGAAGCATGGCGGAGCCAGGATTTCACATTAGAGGGGGCCTTTTACAAAAAATTTAAAAATAATTCGAATAGAAGTCCTCAAGCGCTAAACGGGTTAATAAGTTAATAATATCATTTCATACTGATTAATAATTTATCCATTTATTACAATCATAATTGTCCTGAATTTCATATTTTAACATAGTTGAATATTAATCTCATCATCTACACTATTAAATACTCAAAATTTAATAATTTATACTTCAATAGAAAGAAGAAATTCAAAAAAATTTCATAAATCCCAATATTAAGATACCCTACTTAGACATGTAAAATAGGGGAAAGGGGAATTCACAAAGCTTAAATTAATCAAAAGAGGAAGAGAAGGAGGAAAAAAAAAAAAGAGTCTTTACTCCAAGGAGCAAACATATAAGTAAAAATATGAGAAAATAAAAAAAATGAGAGAGGGCCTGGGTCCACCCTGGTCCTTAGGTGGCTCCGCCAACAAGAAGAATAATTCATGAGTACTTAACTAGATATACGCAGACAGCTAAGGCTCCTAAGCCCAAGTTTTTTTGGGTTATACTTTCATCATCCTCTTGAACTCATCAAAATCAAGAATACCATCCCCATCCCAGTCAACCTTCTTAACCATCTCCTTGCAATCCTCCACCTTATTTCCCTCTCTCAAACCCAAAGAACACAACACCACCCCCAACTCCTCCACTGAAATCAACCCATCTTTATCTTCATGTCAAACATCTGAAAAGCCTCCTCTGCCTCCTCCTTTCTACTTAAGCCTTTCTCATCTTCAACGTCCATTCCCCGATCAATTGGTTAAGTACTGCATCCCCTCAAGCTATATGATTTTATTTAATTAGAAAACAAAAGGATATGAGAGCTACTTACTCATCCAAACGTAGAGAAGGGTTGACAGAAGTGGTGGCATCCATGAGTAGAACAGATGCGCTGGCTAACTGCATGGAAAAGAGGTTGGGTTCTCCATCTGATACTTGGGTTAGGGTCATCTGAGTCTCACCAGTTGAACCCATTTTGGTGTTGTAGAGAACATGGGTGAGCTGAGTGGCATTATATATATGGTGGTTTGTATTCTCACATGCCGCCTCCGCATCTTGATACTAACCTTCACTATTGAATTATTTCATATCTCCTTTTTAAAAATCGAGTTGGCGATGAGGACGGCTTACGGGTACGTCTACTAGATTGTACTCTCTCTCTCTCTCATTTTGTCTTTCCTCTCTTCTCTTTCTTATATGAACGTAGTACTTGTGTGAAATTAGGGGGCCTATTTAGACCCATGCCCCCTAAATACTACATTTACATTCTCATTCTCTCTCTCTCTCTCTCTCTGAAACACATTGAAAATATCTAAATAGAAGAAAAGACACAATATGAGGGATGAGTTTTTTGGGGATGAGTTTTTTGGAAGTTATGGCCACGTAAATATCGAAAATAACTGTAAAACGAAAGCAAACAAATTTTTTGAAAGAGTTTTTTGGAAGTTATGGCTACGCAAAACAAAACGAAAGGCCAAAAACAATATATATTGGCATCCAGCTAAAGTGCTTTGTGTTAGGATCACCCTCAATTTTTCAGTGTTTTATATTTGGAAGGTTAACTTGCATGGCAAGTTCCGAGGAAATTACACATCAACAAAATGAGGATCAATCTCCTCTGAAGTGTGCCCTAAAATCCTGATCATCTAATCTAATGGTCTCTCTGATGCCCCACATCAGCTAGTAATATTTTAATTTGTATTTTCTCAAAACTGACGGCAACACAGCCGTTAATTCCTCCTTTGTTTTGGTCCCATTTTGAGAGGATTTGGTGGAAAAGCTTCTCCCTCCCCTGTCTTCAATCTTTGTACCCTCTCTTTTTAATTTGCATATAAAAATAGCCATAGCAATAATAGGCCCTCCTCTCTTCAAAGGAGTCAAATCATGTTTTTCTCTCAACTCTGATTTCATATATTTGGGGTTTGTAAGACGTTAAGTTAGCTCGAATAATTTACTTGAATACGTAATATATTATATGGGTTTCTATTTATGGCGTATATATTTCACATACATATATACTCATCTACACACACTATAAAAAGAAATCCCATAAAATATATACCCTAAAGTGGTACCTTCTATTCATCATATGGTTATCTAGGATTCAATATTGATTAAGGACTCTAATATCACTATATATGCCGGCAACTTTTGTATACATGTTTAAGTTAAAATATAAGGGCTAAGGGATTCCTACTTAACATGGATTAGGGTTTGCAATAAGGATTGCTTGAGAGTTTCTTGATGGACAAGACTCTTAATTAAGGAGATGCATATACAAGGGCCCATGCTCAACCGATTAATGAAACCTACACTAAAGAATTCACCCTGTCTATAATTAGTGTGTGAGGGACCTGATTGAGGAGAAGAAATTTTGTAGCAATTCTTGTTTTCTAGACAATTCTCATGAGAGACCAAGGTATGTGTTCTATTATATGACTTTTACCTTTCATTGAATTTGTGATTGTTAATAAGCTTTTGGTTTTGGTTTTGTGCTTGTAAGGGAGAAGGTAACGTAAAAAAGAAAAATTGCATTGGTTCATTGATTCACTGAATAAGGTTATTACCAAAAGTTTTATTAGGAGTCCTATTACAATTATAGCTATTCCATTTAGTTTTGATATGCAAAATCAGTGGGAGTTGAGTTCTAGTCCACTTAATTTCATTCTTTTTTGGAGACAGTTCAATTATTTTGTGTATTGATATTTAGTTCAGTTCTTTTATTGGATTGTGTGACTTCAATTTTTATGTTTACTATTATTTGACAAATAAATCCAATTATATGTCATCATGCAGTATAAATAGCTCCAATCAATGCATAAGACATGAGATCGTGACAATGTCATTCTTTTGCTTATGCAAAAGGAGAGATCTTGGTAGTCTCTTTAGGAAGGTCTTATGAATGGAAGTGACCTATGTAAACACAAATTAAGTTGGTCATGATCATAAGCCTTATGTATTTTTGGAGGCTTACATGAGTTCAAGTGTTTTGATAGTTCCATGTAAGTTTACATATTTGACAATGGCTTGATTTTGAAATATGGTGATTTTGAGTTCTACATGGCCATTCAATGATCAATATTGCAGTCTTGATGATTATTTGACCAAGTAGGAGAATGTAAGACGTTAAGTTTATATGTTTACCTACCTAAAGTGGTTTTCTAATCATCATATGGTTATCTAGAATTCAATATTGATTAAGGACTCTAATATCACTATGCCGGAAACTTTTGTATACGTGTTTAGGTTAAAATACAAGGGTTAAGGGATTCCTACTTAACATGGATTAGGGTTTTATTAACCTAATGCAATAATGACTGCTTGAGAGTTTTTTTGATGGGCAAGACTCTTAGGCAGATGCATATAAACACAAGTGCCCATGTGCTCAACCAATTAACAAAACCTACACTAAAGAATTCACCCCATCTAGAATTAGTATGTGAGAGATCAGATTGAGGAGAAGAGCTCTTGTACCATTCTTGTTTTCTAGACAATTCTCATGGGAGACCAAGGTTACAAGGTATGTGTTCTATTATATGCGCAGTAAATATGGTTTACAGGGTTGTTTTTCTTGCTCAAGGCTGAAATGTTGTTCTTTAAAAAAAATTAATATACTAGTTCCGAATCTAGATCTCAGGAGGCCTCTGATCCAGTTCATTAGTTGGAGAGCGTTAGCTTGGTGTTCTTTATTGCATATCATTGTAAATGACGACGACATTTTTGCTTCTTCTTAATTTTTGTCGAAATCTGAAGATTTCCTTTAATATAAAGACAAATTTGAGCACATGAAGACAAATTTTGGGACGTCAAGAACTTGGCTACTTTTGTAGTCATACGAACTTTCAAGCTGACTTAGCCATCAACATCAAGGCTTCGGCTCAGGCTCAATCTGTCTGTATATGTTCTCTGTACGCCCTGAACTTAAACTACAGGGCATTTCTGTACGGCCTTACAAGTTACAAGAAAAACATATGAACAGTGCTGCTGGCATATTCTTGCGAAGCTTATTTCAGAAATACAATCGAATCAAATGAACAGTGCATGCATGGCCGGTTTCTCTTTCATCTCCAGCACAAACTACATTTGCACTAATTTTAATTAATTAATAACTTTGTATTTTCAGCTTCTACATTGCTTACATCGCCCTCACTTCTAATATTTACATATAAATTGATTTCCCCATCCTCTCTACGCGTTTGTCTCAGGTAGCATTTGGGCATGAAGTTAATTTGTCATATCATCTATCCTAAGTATTCCTTCATTCCGAGAGCTTGAGTAGTGGTGATCTTATTTGTAAGCTTAATTATCACCCATAAATCTGATTTTTAGTTACCGATAAGTAAACGCTTTTCTGGTCATCATGACTGCAGGTTAATTTGGTGGCGCAAGATATTGCTCTCCCACACAAATCCTGGTGCGGCTTCCCTCTTGTTTCGTGCTCAGGTTATAATAATTTTGTGTTCATCTTTATTATTTGTGTTGATTTTCTTGAACTGCTAAGTAATGTAGCAGAAATTGCAACACAGAACTTGGCTTATTTAGATCTCTCTCTCTCCTCTCTCGTCTCTCTCTCTCCTCTCTCCTCTCTCTCTCTCTCTCTCTCTCTCTCTCGTTCGATTTGATATAATATTATTTATAGCGAAATATATGTTAACAGAAAAACTAGGTACAAAACAGAAGCACTATAACAAAACGAAAGCAAAAACATGTTTTTGGTATTATGAATTTGTCGTTTGCTTATTAATACCTCTAGATATAAATCCATAATGCGTACCATGTCCATTCCATAAACAATTTATCATCGTTTGTCCTTAATAGCCCTTTGTCTTTATAATGTCCTGAATATTCCTTTAATTCAATAACATGTACATGAAGGTCAAATTTGGGTCAAACAAAATAAATGAAGTAGCTTTATATATTAGATGCTGTGCTAATCCAATCTACTATTCATATTAGATTTGGGTCATGTAAACAAACTTAGTGTTTTTGGAGAAAGAAAAAAAAAATCATGATGGCATGGCTTTCAAATACCATTAAATTAAAAGATTCTCCTAAATGTAGGTAAATACACAGAGACTCGAGATCCTCCTACCCTTTTTCCATTCACCTCGTATTTTCACTCCATATAAAATTTTAAAAAAGAATTGAACTTTTTTCTGTAGTCCACCCACTGTTATTATTAAAATATATTTTATAAATCAATTTAATCACTTTACTAATAAACACTATTTCACCCTTTAAATTTATTTCTCCGGCTCCATTCTTCCATAACAATTCCATATTAGAAACTCAATACTTTTTTCTTATTTGTTTGCCATTCATCTCACAAGGCATCTTTATTAATCTTGCGTAGTTCAATTGGGCTTATCAGGATTCCTTACGTCTTCATATGCTTTAGAAAACAATGTCATCCTTTGTTGGATAATTGGATACTTATCCTTGCGCACACTTTGGGCTTAGCCCAAGAAGGAGCAATCCTAAACTTTGCTCAAGTAGTTAATTATATAAGCGTGTGGGAAAAATGAATTAAGGCAACCCATTCTGGTTTGGGGCCTGGGACTCATCAGTCAATAAGGGGAGGAGGAGGCCCTTCAATCTCATGATCAGCTCCTGGAATTTGTCAAGTGCCTCGGCTGCACATACCTTTTTCAAGTAAGGGTAGGACTTAGCTACAATTATCACAAAATATATAATCCAGCAACTGAGAGTGAACCACCCAAAATCTGGAACAAGGATGAGCGACAGTAAAACTATGGTTATAGTTATGGACATGTGTCAAATTTTTTAAATGGTGATGATAGTACAACTTGGGTTAAAGTGGTGAGCAAAAATACTTCCAATAAAAATTAGGTCGAAAGTAGTAATAATTAAAATAAAAATATCAAATTCTTATAATGAGTGACGAGTTATAGAACTCAATGTCTCAATCAAAAGTACAAAAGTGGAAACTTGAGTAACAAGTACAAGTAGGATCC